CACCAAAGGTCAGTCCGAATATGTCTTTCTGCTGCTTCTGTTCGGCGACTAATCTTTCAGTATTGTCATATTACAAATTGCAAATGTAAATGTTTAAAAAAAGATATTCCAATTTCAAATCAGGGTGAGAAAATTACCCGTTCTTTTGTATCATTTTGACATATGGTTTAATAAATACATGAACATATTTTGTATGAAAGCAGTATTTTCTACAAAAAATGGCCAAAGTGTGTTAATGAATAAGTTGTATTACTTCATTATTTACCTGAGCATCTAAACATTGTGTATTTTAGAAGGTTTTGTAACGAATCAGGTGTATGAATCGGGAACGCATGCTTCGGATAGGTAGCCATTCCCAGTAATTCGGCATGATTAATGCTATTTCCTACTGCTATTGCGTATATCTTAACCATTCTTGCTTTTAAATTTGCAGCTTGCAGTGCGGTATCTACAGGATCAGAGGACAGGCCGTCAGTTAACACTATTACATAATGCTCAACAGAATCTCTTGCACCGTTGACAGTATCAAACACTTCATTATTTACTTTCTCTAATGCTTTTCCAGTAAAACTAGGTCCTCCACTTTCGACTGTTATAGCATCAATGGCGTCTAATAATGTATTGTTGTCTTGGTGACTTTTTAGATAAAAATGTATGACAGGTTCAAAAGAAAATGTTACCAAACTGAACCGGTATCGAAAATCGAGCGGTCCAACTGGAAATTTTGAAACAAAGTTTTTAATAAATTGTTTCTGTTGAACAAAAGTTTCACTCCCTTCACTTTCAGAAACGTCAGCAACAAAAACTATGTCAGCTTTTGTATATGGCGTACATACATCTGAAAAGTATATGATTGTATTTATAATTATGTTATGTTTCGAATCCAACTGTTACAGTTGGTAGGTCAATTTGGGACTTAAAATAGTAATTATTATTACACGGAGTTGAAATGTCTAAACAGTTTACTTTTCAGTTAGGCATGCTTTGAAATATCATATATTCTATGTGATAAACTTTAATTCTATAGTTGCATTTCCTTTATCATGAACACTTGCAGCATTATGTACCATATATTCGAGTTATAGCAGGTCAGTCTGCACATTTTTTCCGTCTGACAAAGCTTTAAACTGTCAGTAGCTCATTCTTTTATTTCACTGTTGAAAGCCCTTAAACGTTGAATTGACACTTCCAAATTTTGAGCATGACAAATCGATTACCTTAAGGAGGTTGAGGGTTAGTACATAACTTACCAATATCCCCACAGTTTGAACCCGTCCATCCGTACGTACAGGAACATGAGTAATAATAGCCACTGCTTATAGGTGTACAGGTTCCACCATTAAGACAGTGCATAGGATAGGAGCAGTCTAAAATATTCAATGAAAGATACAATGTTGATGTTAAATGTAAACCGCCAGTCATAATACTTGATACATGATGAACATGTCTGTACCAATAAACTATTTGACTTGATTTTAACTACACGCAACGAATGTGCTTCATGTTAACTATCAATTTGTGTCAATCTATTGCTAAAACGAAAGTCATTGTAAGTATATGAGCCAGTATATTAAAAAGTAATCAAATTGAAAGAAATGAAAAAGCTCACAAGGCAGCTAAAATATTGTATTTTAAACCTTAATATTTCCAGGAAAATGTTTACATTCACGATAATTTGAGAGAATGACAATCTAATTCCCGTATCGAAGGAAAATTTAATGTTTGGTCAATATATATTAATAGAATAACGCCTATATTCGTTAGTTCTATAGTTATGACATATTTCATAGATCAATATTTATTTTTGTCTTTTTATAATGACAAAATCTTTACATATTTTCTTACATATTTTATGATATGTAATTAAATTGAACAAAAGGAAATAAAGTACTTTTATCGGTTCTTGTAAGGCAAATGATCAAACATGGTTTTCATACATGGCATTTTGACTTAATTATTTTGTTCAAGATATTTTTGTATAATATTTATTTCGTAACGGATGCAAGCTCGACCCTCTAACTTTCATTTACAATTTTATAAATGAAATAAATATTTGAGACTGTAGGTACTGACTTTTAACTTACCAACTTGTTCACAGTCAGGCCCAATCCAGCCACCGGCACAGTTGCATGTATGTCCTGTCCCACCATTTGTAAGGGAACATGTTCCCCCATTCTTACAATACACTGAACTGTTACAATCTAAAAAAATTATATCTGTTTTATTGCTTAAGCTATAAGAAACTGTTACAATGAATTACAAAGGGAAAGGATCTTAGTATATGTTTGGTTCGTCATAGATTAGAATGGTAGTTTTTTTCCCTTTCTTTTTTCCAAGTAGTACTTAGTAGTAATTATCGAACACTCTTTTTCAAGTAAAAACAAGTACATCCCTAGCTGGTTCTGCTTAAAATGTTTTGTAAGAAAATGTATTTTTTTTTCTTTCATTTGTTTTATGCACTAGTCATTTTTCACCAACACCGATAATAGCAGGTTTCTTTGATTTTGAACAATTTTTTAAAAAACCACGAAATTTAAAAAGAGGAGTCGAAAGCTTTCCAAAATTTCTAGAGTAAAATTTCGCAAGGCAAAATTTTTTACTGCTGTTTCAAACCCGGGAAAGCAAAAAGTAAAACCTCTAGACTAGCCCCGCCATTTTCAACAATTCCCGATGGGTGTTCAATGGACAGATTTTACAATTGACTTATTCATAACTTAGGCAAAACAAAGTTGTGAATACGTCATTGTTTTGCAATGGGCAAATTGTGCCAAATATAACAATGGAGATAATTTCTTTTCTCTCAGTCAAGAGCTTCAAATAACCTCAACAATGTCATTAATATTTGTATGCATCATAGATGAAAACGTATACGCGCAAGTTTATATGTCTATGAAAATTTTTGTAAAGTTTGAAGATTCTATATATGGTAGATCAGGAGCTGTTTGCGCACCTCAGTAGTTCTGGAAAGAATATCGATTTTGACTAAAGCATGGGTCACAATTCCATCCTTACACAAATTACAGGTACACAGCTTCACACGTCAGTGAATAAAAGTAAGTGACTCCAGAAATTAATATGTCACATGGATGCATGCTCGATCGACGTATTAAAATCAATATAACTCAAATGATTTGGTGCATAAAAGCTGCATAAATATAACAACCGCTGCCGCCGCCGCCATGCTCCATCTTCTCCTTCCCCTCCCTCTTCTCCTTATTATCATCGTCATTATCATAATCGAAGTCATCACAATCATTTTTACTGAATATTTGAACGTTAAGCTTTGTAAAAAAAGATGTTTGTCTTAATACTTTCATGATGCAGAAAGGCACATTTCCGCCCAATTTAAAGAAAACGAATGTTTTATGCGTTGAGCGTTTGTTGAAAATCGCCGTTTTAACAAAGTCGAGCTCGTTTATGCGTCAGTGGTGTTATATGCGCTGTGACACGAATTCACATTGAAAAAAAATGAAATTCTAACATTACTATTTATAAATAGTATTTATATCTGGTTCTTTTTTTCAATAAAAGCATAAACAGACTGACAGATGTCACAAGTATCAGTGTAAACATCAACAGTACTCATCTTTATTCATATATGTAGTTAATTTTTTACTAATAAATTATTTCATAAGTGCCAAAGTACGAACTTTTCAGAGAGAAAACAAGACTGTCAGCAATAGCTTATGAAGTCAGAATTCTTCTAAAACGGTGTTGTCGAAAGCCGTTAGTACATTACGTGCAGTCATTTTCCAGCGTAAATTTAACAGAAAATGTGTTTTGAAAATGATACATACCAACAGACTGGCAGTTAGTTCCCGTGAAACCAGGCTGACAAGTGCACGTGTAAGAATAACCGTTGTCTAAGCGATTACACGTTGCTCCGTTTTGACAGTTGTTAGTGTGTGCATGTTCGCAATCTGAAAGGAATAGTTGATGAAACAAGGTACATTACTCTAAAAGTTATATTAAAAAGTTCATTGATACAGTTATTCCTCTTTGAAAACAACGCTATCACAATTAAGTCTGTCATTGTGTTATCATTTATTTTCATGTCAAAATATATATTTTCCCATTTTAGTATTATAAAAAGATATACATATCAAAGCAAATAAGCGTTTTTTAAGTGATTTTAATTATGTTTACACATGGAGATGTATGAACATGGAAAAGTTTATTTGTATAAAGCAAATAAACGAGCTTACAATGCGGTCCACCCCCGCTCACGATGCAAACGTTCATGAACGCTGAAATGGAAAGAAATACTATACAGAACACACGTATTTTTGTCATGTTTCGTCAATATTTCCATTTAATCCCAATATAAATATATATATCATTAAAAAAATATCAATGTAAAATGTCATGACTTACCCAAAAATAATACTGCTAACATACTTCTCTAGAGTCTTTGAATAACAAAAAGAAAATTACCAAAAAATTCAACAGTTTGGGTTTTAAGGGGGAATACCCTGTTTTCATTCTCTCCAATCGAATCATGATCAATAAACGTTTACAATACACCCAAATCGGCTGTACATGTGTAATCTTTCAACAGAATATCAAATTTCAAATAGCGTATACAATGCGGGACTTTTTATATAAAGCACAGTAAGCTATATAAAGTTCAGTAAGTTTATTAAAAAATTAATAAGATTTTAATATTAAAATAAGGCGAAAGTCTTTTTATAGACATATTTTAAATATTTGTTTCAAAACATTACATGCATCATTAAGTATAATTACCTTCTCTTATATTAAAAACTGTATTTGCATATTTAAAGAAATTAAATTATCACTCACGGATTACAAGATACAATCTTAATCAAATGATTGTTTAAAGATAATCATGTTTCTTCAAAAAAGATATTTATGAAAATATGTTCAGTAAATTATGCTGAACTTTGATACTTGAAAATGAAAATACTTTTCAATGAAAACAGCCATTTTTTACAAAATGCTCATGCAGAAATGGGTTAATGTACTTATATATATATATATTGGAATATTGTAAAATTAAGAAACAGAGTAATTTAAATTATACAACACCAGCTATCTAAAATGTGTTAATATTTGCAATTGAAAAAGGCAATGAAAAATGAAAAGCCTTTAATTTGATGAAAGCTTTGTATAATTGACACATAATGAATTAAATTTTAAAATCATTATAAAATTATATAAAATAATCATAGGCTCGCATAACATGGTATATATATTCAAACTTTCTTGGCTCCAAGCGAATTCGTAGACCAGTGGTTCCGCGCCATTTTACTTAAACAGAGTTCACATGTTTAATATCTTGCTCCACCACTAACGATTTAATGGTCTTTCGGATGAGATCTTAAAAAGCGAGGCTTCGTATGTCGGCGTTCTAAACCAGGAATGTAAAAAAAGAACGGAATATGAAAAAGAGGCGTTTCGATTTCTTATCTAGACTATATCTATGCAATATTAACATGTCAATGGACAATAATATTGTATATTTTATGTATTTTGACCATTTGATTATTATCGTACATGTTTGTATAGAATAGAAGTCATGTTGCCTCATTCTAAAATTAATAGAGTAAATGTTCCGTTCTGTTCTGTTTTACAAGCAATAATTATCTTGTTTTGACTTTATTAGAAATTATCTGTGAATAATCGAGAGTCGGGTTTTGATAGTCTGGATGGATAACTACCATACGACTCTTATGGTAAAAGAATAAAATTCTTTAAAAACACACAAGCGTCATTTTTTATGTGAAATGTATATTGTCGCAACTTTGTTTATAGGCATAATTATAACTGACAATATTCTCTATGAACAAAACATTCTGTTTTACAAACATTTTTCGTTCAAAGTTTTTTAAAGTTAATCGGTATATGGTGGAAGGTAAATAATACAAAGAATAATAACGTTGAAAGTAATAAGTTTCAGACATAAAAAAAACAAACCAGGAAAAAATACTAGTAATATATGAAAGTTGTTAGGAAGTGTAAAATTATGATCCGACATCAAATCTATTTATATAACAGATAATAAAGTGTTCTTGAACAAAGTATTATTATTCATCATATAAATGTTGTACTATATGAAGGTCCGCTGCATACAGTATATCTACGTGGTGCATATCTACGTAGGGCATACAGTATATTTACGTGATACGATTTATGAAACTATAACGATAACAACGATAACAACATTTTTTTCAGCAACATTTTATAAGAATACCTAATTGATACATTTCTATTGGTCTTTATCAATATTTAAAATACTAATGGAAAAAATTGCCTATTGTAGACCTATCCCTTTGAAAAGCTAATCGGACGGTAAGCATGAAAGGGTGGCTCACTAAACATGTGGACAGTGTCCGTACACCAATGTTGTTTTTAGTGAATCAAGAACTTTAACGTCAATGTTCACGTCATCTCCGAGTATAAACGTAAAGAATGGATCTGACGCTATTTCTAATAAGTTTGTATAATTTGAATTCAATCCAGCACCTATTGTGACGACAATCACTCCTTGATCCTTAAAATGCTTCGCCTTCATAAGAACTTTTTGCATATCTGAAATATTTCCAGACGTTATCAAGATTAAAATTTGTCTAGCTCCGGGCCTTGCACCTGTTGAATTTGAAAATCCGTGCAAATATATGACGTCCAAAGCCTTTGCGACGTCGACGTTTGTTGATGATGCCTGTTTTGTTTTCCTACTCACCTCAGCTATGTGATCACGACTATCGTTGTAAGTGTCAAAGTCATAGATAGTATTAGCAGTGTCAGTAAAAGTGGAGTACCGTAACTGAGTAAACTCTGGCCCGATGTCTGCGTTTGCCAGTATATGAATGACTGCCTGTACCTGGGTACTAAAATCTTTTTCTTTGATATTGGCTGACACATCCATAAGTATTTGGACGTCTGACGCACCTATTGAACATTCTGCAAAATAATTGATTATTATAATGATAAACTGAAGATAGAAATAAACCATACATAAATATTTGAACGTTTGACACACCTATTAACCATTCTACAAAATAATAAATGATTAAAATAATAAACTAAAAATAGCAATAAACCAGAAGTATGACTTTTCAGAACAATAAACTTGTCCGAAAGGGTCACCGATTTTTTTTCTTAGATGTATGAAAGTTGAAAATACAAGATTTATTATGTCAACTGAAGATAATTGATATTTTTTAGTTATTTAAAAATGCATATATTTTTAAATAAACATCCTTTTTTGTGATGTACATCGTCGGATACCCACGATTAATAAACATGTCACATAACATGCAATCAATAAATGATAAATGTTAATGGTTCGGTCGTGGGTATCTGACGATGGTGATGTAATGCTTTAAAAAGTCTATTACTCACTATCGCATTCAAACATGGTGTACTTCAGAAGATGTTGAATCGAGTCATCTGTTGCCATTGGAAAAACTAGTACGTGATCATCATATGCTGAAAATTTTGATATATCTAGCAACTCCTCGTGTCTTATAGAATCACCGGTACCTACTGAGTATATCGTCACACCGTTGCGTTTCAGCAAAACGGCCTCTTCCACAGCATGAATTGGGTATGATGACAAACCGTCAGTCACTAATATAACATACTGTTCTACAGGTTTGTCTCTAGCACCATTAACTGTTGTTAAGACGTCATTTCGGACGGTTTTCAAAGCAGTTTTAGTCATACTTGGACCACTACAATTTTCTTTCATTGAATCTATTGCGTTCTGTAAATCTGTAATGTTGCTAAAGGTGTTCAAGTAAAAGTGAACTTTCGCCTGTAGGGAATATGTTACGAGGCTAAATTGGTAACGATAGTTCGGCGGCCCTGTTTGGTATTGGTATCTTGAGATGAACTTTTTGACGTATTGTTTCTGTTTCTCAAATGCATCATCACCTTCACTCATGGAAGTGTCCAAGACAAAAACAATGTCGGCTTTTTTATACGGCGTACAAACATCTGGAATGCAAGTATATCTTTAGATTTAAACCGGATGTGGTGCATTAAATCTCGGCATCATAAATAGCATGATAATTACTAGATGCAAGAAACCTTGCATAAATTTTGTTTGTGGAATTCGTATGTGGCTTTTTCTGAAGTTTCAAAATGTCCAGATGAACACTAAATTTAACATTAATGCGATGCCTCAGTAATTGTTGGCAAATGTGTAGAACAAGGTTTAAAATGTGTCCTCGTGCGTCAGCATATGTTAATGCATTTAAAAGATGCATTAACCTTCTTTTTTACCTTGACTCGTGATACAAAAAAATCGGTATTATGCCAATAAACACTGGCTGTTCTTGTTGATATGTACCCCCTCCAATAAAATAGGTATACAACGATACCAATCATATGACCATTTATAAGTAGCGTAATAACATCATGCAGTCTGAAACTATACATAAAATGACGCCAGAATGATGTCATACAAGAAACATGGATGAGAATGAGGAGTGATAATCTAGCACTACTGTTAACAACATACAATCCAGTGTGATACGTAAGTTTTAATTGTAAAATAAATGATTGAAAATAAAGATATATACCATTCTTAAAGCTTAACTTTTCTTGTTATCTCGTTTCTTTTTTTTAACTTTTGTGACATTAGGATACATAATAGAACAGCAAGATACAATTAAAAGATCTCATTACGTTTATCTTGTTACAATTGAAATCATATTGGTCTGAGCGGTGTTTATCGGCTATTTAATATTCGACACGAAGGCCGATATTATTATTTAAATATACCTAAGTACATTGTACCTAAGATACGCCTTTTAAGCAGTTCAGACATTTAGTATTATTAATCAGTTAAGATGGAAAATTATCTGCACAACGTTAATTCAGATAATGTTCAGAATTAATGAAATTAACGAGTGATTTTTTTTGAAAATGTATATATAATAAGTTATAATGGCATGTGGCCTACTAGTATCTGAACTAATCATGAATGCAAAAGAAATATATTTCGTGATGTAACTTTCACTATAGAGACTATTATTACGTTGACTTACTTTTTTCATAAAATCTATTACAGTTTTATATATCTATACAACGTTTAAAGTCGAATTAGATTTATTTTTTGCCCCGGAGCCGTTATAGTGGGCAACCTTACTTTGCAATTCCTAGACACATACATAGATTTTACGAAAAATTGTTCGGTTATTCATTAATATATTTATATTTTTCTTTGTGGAATACCAAATTTTAGTAAATTTAACGCGAAATCGATCTTAAATATGCACCTTCTTTTTGACAATTATTTCCCGTCCATCCATTCGTGCAGTGACACTCAGAACTCGTCCCTCCGTTTGTTGGAACACACATCCCTCCATTTAAACAATACAGAGGACTGGAACAGTCTTCAAGAACATACAAATGCGAAAACAGCTGTATTAAATAACATAATGAACAATATATTTCGAGAATTCAATTCCTTGGATTAAAGATTACAACCACCGTAGACAAAATTTCAATGCAATGTTAACGTGTATGAAAATGGCCATATTTTCATCAGTTCTGTTGCGGATATAATGTTACATAACATTAAAAGTATTGTTAGCACTGAAGAGAACCATACTGGCTAGATATCCAGGAATACCCGTCATGTGGATCGACCCAAGAAATGACCAAAATAAGTGTAACAATCAATATAAAACTTAAAAACGACAGAAAAAAGACAAATCAAAAGCAGAACAGCATAAACTTGAAGAACATTTATGTAAACAAACAAACATTTATATAAAAGAGAATGCGACAACAAAACTGAACTTACCGATTTGGTTGCAATTTTTTGCTTTCCATCCTGGCTCACATGTGCAATTATAAGAATGTCCGTTGTTATTTGAGCTACACACCCCGTGCTCACAAGGGTCAATTCCATTATCTTTTTCCTTAATGAAGATAAAACAGGTAAACTTACATAGCCCGTGTTCCGGGTTCCTTTTTACAGATCAAGTACAGGTACACAACAAATACGTTATACAAAAATGATGTTTATACGATTAGCTTCGGTTGTATTGTAAAACAAAATTATTATCTCTTTCCGTTTTTTTTTTTTATATTTTCTGATTTATTTGACTTGTTAAATGGTTTCAATCTGGACAATCCCATTCATTGTTCTAATGGAAATTTTAATTTTTTTATCGGCTGAATAACGAACAGTACAGGCCATGATTGCACGACACGAATGTGTCAGTTAATCTTGGTATGAAGTGGTTGCATGGGTAGATTTGTTGCCTGTCGTAGTGGCGATAACAATTCTACCCTTGCAAGCCTAAAACATTATAAAAGGAAAAGAAACTTCAAAAATATAACGTGACACTTAACAAACTGTGCACTTATTTTTGTTAGGGCAGAAATAACTGAACAGTTTGTAGAAAGAGGTTATCGAATATGAATAAAAAGATATTATAAGATTCCTCTTATATACGATGGCGTAAAAGCGCGCTTATGTTACACGAATCAACAAAAATTGACATTTTTTAACTAAAATTGTTGTTTTTCTGGATACGTGATAAACAGAGAACAGAGAATGTTACATTCGTGTAGATTTAATACTGAGTTTTTAACTCGTATAGTTCGTATAAGACTCGTATAAAATTTATTGTGATTTTACCCGATAAATACAATCATGTGTTATCTTCCATTTACCGGAATTTTAAAAAACCATAATGAAATATGTTTACTGGGTACAAAGATGTTACTGAGCAATATTCAATTGTTGTTTTTTTTTTGTGTTTTTTTTCGGGGGGGGGGGGTGGGGGTGTTGTTGCTGTTGGAATATGAATACAATTTTTTGAAAACAACATTTTTAATACACCAGGTAGTTCTAATAATTATATAGATAAAATACAGAAAACCAGAATCCCTAAAGAAAGCCCCCGAACGGCAAAATTGAAAATGCTGCAGGCTCGGTCAGACTGAGCATATTCATTAACAGTAGTTGTAATTGCAAGTTACTGTCCACGCCCCCTAGCACCGGCTCAAGCAGAATTCACCATTTAACACGAACTGGTAAAATAAAAAAAAATCTACAGATGTGTTTATACGACGGTATTCATGGAACCTTCAATGTGACACGTGAGTGCCATTTAACGAAAAGCGGTATATGGTCCCCAAGTTAAAGAAATGCATGTGCCCCTAACAAGAAAACAATGGGCGATACTAAATGATATGAAATTTTGATTAAACAGTATTCAAGTGAGGAATACTGGAACCACCCGACTAGAAAAAAGTACCAAAATCGTGTATTCACAACAATAATAACGTGCGCAACGATCTTCAGGGGTCGAAAATATGACGTCAATAAAATAGAGGAAAACAGAATCCCTAAAGAATGCCCAACTTAGCAAAATTGAAAATGTTGCTGCGTCAGTTTGATTAAGCCTGTTCATGGACGGTGGTGTTAATAACAGAAAGCCTTACCCATTTGCAATCTGAAACACAATAGTATTTTGCTTCATTAAAATCAACGTTAGAAAACAACTGAAACATATGTTTTTATTTAATTTTACCTATGAAATATGGTGCTTTACCAGTCAAATAAATGTCATATTTGTGGGGAAAAAATATGAAAAATGAATATGAAAGTGGGTGGAGCCAAAACTCATATTTATTTTTGGGACTACTTTCTATTGCAGTCAGTAGCTCCAGCTATTCACTTAATCAACGGAAATTAGCTGCTTATGTTTTTCAAAACGGTTTAAGGTGGCTGTGATGTATTCGAACCGTCTCAGGCCCCAACAATTAATCAATGTATGACTGAGCGCTGTACAATTGACACAAACAATTATAGAAAATTTGAATTTATAGAAACGAAAAAAACACTATTATCCGATATTTGAAATGAAGTTAAGCACTCTATTACTTAAATTTTCTATACTTCAACTTACAGTGATGGAAGCCTCTCTTCACTCTGCTGGCAACGTCAGTTTCAGCTGTGAGCATGTTTGAAACCATGAAAACCAGCGCTGTCATGACAAATATTGATATACTGTTTATTATCGCCAATTTATAGAAAGTTACAATTCATTTGTATCCGTCAAATTGCATTTGAAATTGAAAATATTTCAAACTGTAAAAGTTATATTTTAGGTATAAATATATGTTCAAAACATATACTACGTGTTAGGGCTCTAGAACCAGACATTTACGAAAAATATTTCTTAAATCCTATGAAATAAAGTTTGATGCATTAATTTAAACCTTCAAAATAATTCACTTACACGTTAGAAAAAATATCCTCCATTTTATAAAATACATCTTACTTGAAATAAAGCTGTTTTGAAAATGAAATCCTAATTTATTTATTTTAGATAAGTATTGATAACGCAGTGTTCTTCAAATACCAAATTTATTTAACCGTAACTTCCTGATCAGTCTGGTTATCAGTTTGACCCTTAACCCTCTGAATAAGTGTTAATGATTTATCCTGTGTTAAATGTGGAAAAGCCCATTTGAATTTCATTTGATTTCATTCATAAAAAACTTGAGGTGCCATTGATAAAGAGCCTGACCAGTTTCATCAAGAGTATCTGGTTAGCAATCAAAATACTCATTAACTTTAGTGTAGAATGTTGAAGATTATCGTAACTGGCAACGATTTTGCCACAGTACTGTAAAACTTTGCTGATTTTGTTTTTAATGATCCGGCGAGATAGTTACAAACACAAAAGAAACCCATCAAGTCAACCATTAAATTCAAAACTTACAAATATTTGTCTGGCCTCAACGATAATGACCATGTCATTTTTATCAAGAATATGTCAGGAAATTAAGTGATTTTAACGGTTGTACGTCCAACAATACTGTAAAAACATAATGGCATATATTTATCATTCAGCACTTATACCTGCATTTTATCTTATCAAGGATTTTCAAAAATTTTAATCTTGATTCTATACCATTAACTTAAAACATCATTGACCTTAATACGTTTAAAATTAGTCGTAAATTATATGTAATATAGAGGAAATAGGATTCTCTAAAATCCGAAAACGGCAAAATTGAAAATATTGCAGGCTCAGTTTGATTGAGCCTGTTCATGAACGGTACTGTCTGGTGCAAAATACCGTCCACGCCCCCTGGCACCGGGTTAAGCAGAATTCAACAATACACGTCCATGTGACGGATAATGTGGGCTTAAAGAGGAAAGTATCCATAATACTCGATCTCAAAACTCGAAAAGTTCTGAATCATGCCACATTAGTGACCAAAATGTCTGATATATGAACACTTTTCATTTCAAAGACAATACAGACAGTTTTGTGTTTTCTTGTTTTGTTTGTTGTTTTTTTTTTTGTTGTTATTGTTGTTATTGTTGCTTATGTTGTTTGTGCCTGATTTCACTTTTATAGTTAATAAATACAACCAATATGTTCAGTATGGTTACAAACTATATGTATGTTTTTGCTCAAGTACGAACTTTCCTTTTTATTAAATGGAAACGTTGTGTTAACTTAGCTTCTTTTTTAAAGAAATGCGACTCCACTATTTTTAATATAATGAAACCTCTCTGCAACAATGACAAAATTTTTGTCTCCAAATGGATGACGTTCTTCAAAGTTTGTAATAAAATTTATTTCATACACACATACCAGTACAACTGAAACGTTGCCATATTACCATTTAGTGTTGCTGTGACTTAAAAATCCCTAAATTACTACATCTACAAAACATCACCTACCGGAACATGCATTGCTGAATAAGAACAGTGGTTCGTTATAAAATATAGATCAGATTTCTTTGAAATAAATGTTTAATTGCCCTTGATTTATTTTCAAATAAAGTAAAGGAAATCTAAATTTATACAACAAAAAAATCCTCGTTCTTCCCTCTAAAACGTGTCCATCTCAAAAAAGACCAATACGGTTGACGCTATTACATGTAGTAATTCTTCTATATTATTTATTGTAACTTACATTTTGATAACGTTTGCAGTGCACATATTTAGTGGAAAGGTCTATTTTTACAAACGATGAATTGATGTATAACAAAATTGATTAAGAAAATCGTTTATACAAGTTTGTCCAAATCTTAGGGCAAAATGATGAATCAATAAAGTAAATGTATGGTCTCTTCAAAGGGGTAAATAAGTTGTGATTCTCAAATGTTCAAAACATGAAAACATGTTTTTGTTTGTTTGTTTTGGGTTTTACGTCACATGGACACAGTATAGGTCATATCGCGACGTTCCAGCTTTACTGGTGGAGGAAGACCTCAGGTGCCCTTCCGTGCATTATCTCAGGCACGAACGGGCACCTGAGTAGAACCACCGACGTTCCGTAAGCTAGCTGGATAGCTTCCTCACATGAAAGAATCCAAAGTCCCTGTCGGGATTCGAACCCACAGCGGTGAGGGGCAAGTGGTTTGAAGTCAACGACCTTTGAAAACATGTAAATAGCTTTTTACTAAAGATATCGTAAAATGAGGGTAGTATCGACTTCAACTTCTAAAACTAAATATTTAGAAATAATAGTTTATGTACATTTTCAGCTCATGCGTAATAGAGCATAAGAATAATTTTTATCAATGTGTGTGTGCGTGAGTGTGTGCGAGCGTATAGGTGCTCGTGCATGTGTGTGCGTACGTGCGTGTGAACAAAAGGCAAGCCTTTAATCGTATCACGTTAAATCTAACAATATCGTCAATAATCAAACATGTGAACATTCATCATACTCGAGCAACGTTTTTAAGGAATCTAAAACTTTGACGTTAATATGAACGTCATCACCGAGTATAAATGTTAAGGCGGGGTCTGACGATATCTCCAACAGATTTGTATAATTTGCATTCAACCCAGCACCTACAGTTACAATTATCTTCCCAGAGTTCCTAAGTTTATTTGTTTCTGTTAAAACCTGTTTCATATCATTCGTACTTCCGGTGGTAACAACCACAATGATCTTCCTTGCGTCTAGTCTTGAACCTCTCCCTGCTGAAAATCCATTTTGCTTTAATTCATTCAACGCGTTCGCTAAATTTGCAGTTGTTGAAATAGTCTGCCTAGTTTTCTTACTAATATCAGCAATTTGATCGGCTCGTGACTTATATGTTGTGAAGTCGTAAACATTGTGGACTGTCTCTGTAAACGTAGAGTAACTAAACTGAGTAGCCTTTGGTCCAACTTTTGTGATCCCGAGTAAATGTATGACGGCTCTGATCTGGATATCCAGCTCTTGGTGTTTAATACTGGCTGACACATCCATTAGGATCGCAACATCGGATACTTTTGATGAACATTCTGAAAGAAGTCATTGCAGAATAAGATTAACCTAACGTAAGAAAACGGAAATATCTATTTTCAGTCTGACGTGACGCTAGGAAAGAAAGTTTTATTATGTTATATTTTAGTAGGCAAGTAGTACATTGTATACTAAACATCATTTGGTTTATGATTGTTATACCGTATGCTATATTACTTTTCTTACCAAGGTATTCATTTACCTACATCTTCAGCATAACATGTTAAAAGTCTTCTTATAACTATAACATGTCAAAATTGACGTCTCTGCAGAAGAATGAAAATCAGAAATATATCTCTATTGCAATGCACTTCTTTATTTTATGCTTTTCAGTGGATTACTGATTTATCCGTGAAAATTATATTTGATAATTTCACAGTGAAAATTATCAAAATATAATTTCACTCTTTTCAATGACGAAACTACTTTTTTAAGATTTTCCCCATGTGATACCTCAATTTTATTTTTACTGACAATTCTGACAATGTCAGGCTTTTAAAAGAAATAGCAAAGCTGAAATAGATAAATAACTTAAATGTCAAAAGTAATAAAGAGAGAAAACTTACTTCTATTTATTCAAATTCCAATCACCAAATTTCGTCTCTAAATTTTTTTGTTTCGTTTTTTACAGTCTGAAAAAATACATTCCTTCCCCGTGCAAAACTGCTCTTGATGACATTTGGGCATATTTTAAGTATCCTACGAGCAATAACTGCCGTATGCTTTATGAAAAATTGAAAAGCATTGACAGCCATCACTCGTAGAATAAGTAAAACAACCCAGCGTTCCTTAGCAAGCTTCAAGTTTTCCATTTTCCTAGCTCCTTTTCTGAATGTTTTCACTTCTGTCAACACTTATTTTTTGTCTGTTACAATCCTCAAATAAGTTTTCTTTCTTTTAAAAAGGTGTATGACTAACAAATCCAAATTATATCCCTTTGAATCTTACACAACTTATGGCTGCCGCTTACATTTTACAAAGCCAGGTCTAATATAAATTCGCAGTAAGTAACAGAAATATGGATGGATGGTTGGACTTTTTCTCCTACAAGAATTGTTTGTTTTTATTATTAAAACAAGCGATCATTCATATTTTTTTAATAAAATGAATAAATATCACCGTCATTTAACCTTGATAGGCGGACTTATTTTTCAGCTCAAGACTTCTTGTTTTTAATGAGAAATTCCGTCTAAATGGGGCTCTCAATGGGGGAAACAGATTTTAATATTAACGTTAAAGTTATGGAAATTTCGTTTTAACTTGTTTTTAAGCATAAAATAAAAAGAAAATTTGTCTGTTTGTTGTGTAAATTGTAATTTTATTTCATCTCGTGAACTTTAAAAACAGTATTCTCACTCGTGACTACGCCACTCGTGAGAATACTGTTTTTAAAGCCCACTCGATGAAATAAAATTTCATCTTACACACAAACAAACAAATATCCTCTATTTATTCGCCTTTATCTCCAATCTGAGCTCATACCTTTTGGATATTATATCAGTGATAAATTCTAGATATATAATTATCTATTTTTGATGTTTCAATAGAAAACGAAAACGAATTTAACTTACTTTTGCAACCAAACATTGTGTGTTTTAGAAGTGTTTGTATCCCATCCTCTGTTGCCATATGAAATACGTAATCATTAAATGATGATATTTCTAACAAGTTCTCATGAAGTATTGATTTTCCGCTGCCAATTGTGTATATCTTAAAGCCATTGACCTTTAATACATTTGCTTCTAGGATGGTGTCTGGCGCATCCGACAAAAGTCCATCTGATAGTAACATAATATACCGTTCAACGTCAGGATCCTTTCGTGCACCGTTAGAGGTTTGGAACACATCTCCTCGGACTATCTTCAAAGCATTTCCAGCTAAACTAGGACCACTACAATTAACTTTTAACAAATCCATCGCGTTTTGTAAATCTGTCTCGTTGTTGAAGGTATTGAAGTAAAAGTGGACGGTCGCATGTAGAGAATATGTTATTAGGCTAAATTGGTAACGATAATTCGGTGGCCCAATTTGGTATTGGTATTTTGATATGAACCTCTTGACGTATTGTTTCTGTTTCTCAAATCCATCATCACCTTCACTCAGGGAAGTGTCCAAGACAAATACAATGTCGGCTTTTTTATATGGCGTACAAACATCTGGAATGTATATAAGGGTATTTATAAATTAACATCAGATTTGTTGCATTTTAGTCTCGCCAATTAAATTGGAAGCTTTTTACCATAAAAGATGATCCAAAAAAATCGGTGCTATCAGAATTTATTAATCTATTTATAGCGACTTTGTTGCGTATATTGATAATAGCATATGATTTTCAAAAGAATACGTTCAGCAATTGCTTAAAATCGATTCATATATTTTTATGCTAAATTTTTATTTTTAATAATAGTAGATGTTTGAAAACAGCAAAACAAATTCCAAAGGTAAAATGTATATAATTCTTATGAAGTAATGAATAATTTGTCTGCAAGTATATGAAGGAATGTATTATGGCAGCAAGTTTATAAACATTTAATGGCTGAAATATACACATAGCGTATTGTTCAAATTTTCATTGAAATACCTCATGTAAAAACAGTAATCGTATTGTAAAACTTAAATTGCACAAAATAAGCTTTTTAGTGTTCATTATTTACTTTAGCCAGTATATAAAAACAACATAAAACTTTATTCCGTGACCACTGGAATCAAACTAACCAATCTGTTCACAATTTGACCCCATCCAGCCGTCGGCACAGTTACATGTATATTTTGTACCTCCATTTAAAGTCGAACATGTTCCACCATTTATACAATATAAGGAACTACTGCAATCTTAAAAAAGATACAGATAGTTGCTTTGATATATGTGAATACAAAATTATGGATATTTCAGCAAAATTTCGAAGGAAAAATAATCTAAGGCAATTTATGTTTGTTATTTTACAATTTTCAAGCAAAATATAAGTAATTCCTTGTTCCAAATTGAAATTTTATATTTAGGAATAACCAAACTATTGAAAAGTTTAATTTAATAAATATTATTTCTGCTAATCTTTGGAAAGATATTCTTTAACTTATACCAAACCAATCTTTTTAATTCCATTCTTTTCTGTGAAAATGCAGTAAAATGCCAGATGGCTAAACACCATGACCGTATCAAACTTACCAATCTGTTCACAGTTTGATCCCATCCAGCCATTGGCACACTTACACGTATATCTTGAACCTCCATTAAAACTGGAACATGTTCCTCCGTTTATACAATATAAGGAACTACTGCAATCTTAATAAAGATACAGAGAGTTGCTTTGATACATGAGAAATACAAAATTATGGATATTTTAGCATAATTTAGAAGGAAAAATTGTGTAAGGCAGTTTATGTTTGTTATTTAATAATTTTTCAGCAAAATGTAAGTAATTCCGTGTTCCTATATTATAAAAATTGTATATTTAGAAATAACCAAACTATAAAAAAAGTTTTATTTGATCAATACTATTTCTGCTTACCTTTGAAATAATTCGCTTTAACTTATGCCAAAGCAACCTTTATAATTTCATTCTTTTCTGTGAAAATGGAAAATGCAGTAAAATACCAGGTGACTTAACACCTTGACCGTAATCAAACATACCAATCTGTTCACAGTTTGAACCCATCCAGCCATTGCCACACTTACATGTATATCTTGAACCTCCATTAAAAGTGGAACATGTTCCTCCATTTTTACAATATATCGAACTACTGCAGTCTAAAGTAAATTTAAGAGTGTTAGTTTGATTTTGGTTTATTGGAGATATTTAAAGTATTTGTCCATGATTATTGAGTATGCTATAGTATTTTATGTTAGACACATTAAGTACAGTAACAGGTGATTATATGTAATAATGATGCTGTGTAAACTATTTTGAATCTGCGTCTGGTTTAAATCAAATAAAGTTATAAAATAAGTCAGATCGAATAGCATATACAGGATGAGCGATCAGCGTGTGCCCATTCCAATGACACACAACTTTCCATTGTAGCTCTTTTATTTTTGCCGTTACGCTTGCATTTTTTTAATGCTTGAAAATGTTGACGAATATATGTGGTAACATTGCAATGTATTTCTACAAACAAATCGGAAAAAGTACCAAAAAAACTATATAGGAAAAGTTACATTAAGTAAGTTTATATACTGAGTAAAGCTCTTATCAAAGTTATACGCACCGAATGATTGGCAATCAGTCCCAGTAAAACCTGGCATACACGTACACATATAAAAATGTCCGTTGCTTATGGCGATACACGTTGCCCCATTCTGGCAAGGATCATGGCCGGAAGTGCAATCTGAAACAAAGTAATTAACTTTGACAAAATATCAAAGTATTTCTTTGAGAGAATTGTTACTCTTTTACAATAATGCAAATTTCAAGTGTGGTGAAATTGTCGAAAGCTAAATCTACTGCAAAAAACCGTTATTTAATGTTGAAAAAAAAATGAAAAATTTCTTCCAAAATACCTGTATGAAAGAAATGTTTTTGTATATCATTGCTGGCCAGTAAATGTCCTACTTCAAATAGAAGCATAATATTTTGTCCGTGACTTTTTATTCTGTACATAAAACATGCATTTGTGTTTAATAACAGAGACATTCTATATCACATTGTTTCCGAGAATCGACAAACAACATGATTTTACTGTTCGAATTTTTAAAAAATATTAGATACACCTTTAAGTATTTATACCCTTTAACGTGTTTCGTCCATTTTGTTTTGTTTGTTGTTTTTTTTTTTTTTTTTTTGTTTTTTTTTAAATATTTATTTGTTTTTTTTTTATTGATGTTTTATTGTTTAAGTATGATCTTTTATTCATGGATTTATCTTTGTTACTTTTAAGACGATAAAATATTATAAAGTAAAAAGTTGTATAGGCAATTCGAAGTTATATAACTTTTCTCATCTTGGGCACTACACACGCTGCATGAACAGAAAACAATAAATTTGTATTGAGCATATTAACGACTTACAATGTGGTCCACCACCGCTCACAAATAAAACGTTTAGGGAAGCTGAAATAAAAGTAAAAAGTAAATCCAAACTGTACTGCTCTGACTGAACAAATACGTCTTTGTACTCGTTTATCAAAGCTTTGTGATAGACGTGGTTATAATATAATAAGTATCGTTTGATAGTACGAGTTTTAAATTTCTGATTTATATTTATATGTATATTTCTAAATTTGTTAAGGAAATAGATATCAATTCTGAGTGCATTGTTGTAGAATAATGCACGGTTTGAGTTCAAATGCGTAGTAATATAATCACGAAGGCCGATAGGCCTGAGTGATTAATCACAAAACATTTGAACGAAAATCGTGCATTATTATACAATAATGCACGAAGAATTAATATCTTTTTCCATTCTAACACGTCAAGAAAAAATATGATTATTATTATAAAGTTGTACTGTATGTTTGGTGGTTAAATTTGTTTTCGCCCCAGAGTTTCCAATAGAAACGTTCTTTAAAGGCTGTTCCAGTGGGTTGAAAAAACTGTCGTTAAATCTACCGTGTGTAGAAACATTTTGAAACTAACGAATTTTGAAAACGTTGATACATCTTTCTTTGTTTAATTTATTTCACTCTAAAATCTGTTGTCAGGAAAACAAATATCCACAAAGCTATTTCGAAAAATTAAAAAATAAGAAATAAGTTTCTTAACTTCCTATCAAAGCAATTCCAAAGAAATACGAAAAATTAAATAAAAAAATATGCTTCATTTTCAAATTTTTAAAATAATTCACTTACACAAGAGAAATAGTATCTGCTGCTTTTTAACATACATCTTGTTTGAAGAATGTTGTCAAATTAAAATCCAGACATTTGTTACAGATAAGAATTGATAACGCAATATTAAATTAGAAAAACCAAAGAACAGTCGATCACTTCCTGATTGAGGTCTTTATCAGTCGAGTGTTCAGAGTGATTACTTTTGAATGGCTGCATGAAGACCTTGCCAATTTGTTATCAAAGCAATGGATATGGAATAAACATTGTAATTTTAGTGAATTGCATGCTTTTTTAAGATTATCTCTAAACAAACCAATATTTGGTCGCCGCATTTAGACATTTCAATTCAACCCTCAGTGCACTGGTTTAAAGTGAATTGGTCTTTTATGGATGGTCAGTAATTATGAAATAATAATATTGATACAATCATTATAGTATTTCGAATCAGACAGCAAGAAATCAAGAAAAATCATATATGAATGTTGTTGGCGATGATCCGATATTACATACATATATGTATAATTTATATAGCAGATGATAAGAAGTTCACATATTTTTATTATTCATCAAACAAATGTTCGTACTAAAACACTTAAAACTTTATCAACACTTTTTAAGCAATATTTATTACGCTATTCAAATGATACATCCCTACTTGGGTTTTTTTATGCAGTATTTGAAATACCCCATTAGCATGCTGCGTACCTCTTAAATTTAAGTACTTTGATACACAAAATATAAACAAATTAAGATTAATAGCAGTACGATACCAGTATATTTTATTATGGTTGTAATTTATATACATTTACCTAACGTCAGTCTGGTCTTACCTCTGTATGAAAATAAGCTGGAAAGTCGCCATATTTTAAGTGTTTGTGTCACTTTGAAGCATGGTGGTTAATTTAGTTAAAACGCAGTTTATTAAAGATCCTGTATGTTGTAATTGAGTTTGTATACCACACTTAAGTGAAATTATATATATGTATATAATTTTGCTTATAAAACAGTTTTCTAGCATTGAATAATATGTAAAATATGTACTGCAAATATTTGTACATATTAGTTGTAATCATTAAAATATATGCATTTTCTTCTTATTGAAAAAATTGACTTAGACTTTAAAGAAAATAAATTTTTATAACATTCCTTTAATTCCATGAAATGTTAAATTCGGTAATATCTTTATAAAAAGGTGCTTTTTGGAACTTACAATATTGATAAATCTTAATGTGAGCATCATATTTATGATATAAACCATAAAAATTTGTGTTACAGGATCTTTAAAGCACATATACGAATATAAATAATCACTTAAAAGATACAGACATGAATTGTTGAAAAATGAAAGTGGATTTTTTTATGAAATAAAGCTAAGATTTTTGTGATTTGTATGCAATATACATGTATGCTTACTTACATAAAAAAGTTAAAATTTACAAAACCAGACAATCTTTTTTATTCCCTCTCGATCCTTTCCTTTTATGTTTTTATTGTGTTTTAAGTCACCCTTGCACTGTAAACGTAACATTGCGATCAGGTTGACAGTCATGTGTTGGGAAAGGGGAGTCTAAACGGTTGTATTTGTACTCATTTTCCTTTGTTTCTGTATTTTTGTATTTTGTCACTTTCTTTGAACAACTTTGACAAGTATGTTTATGAATTCTATTTTTCACCTCTAATGAATATTTCCTGCCATATGACTGTATAAAATATTGAGATCTTGAAATCTTGGTTAAGGAAAAACTCATTATTACAGGCACAAAGAAAATAACTGACATTATACGATTGATAAGATTGATAAATATAACTAGTTATTCTTCTATGTCATTTATATACTGTCACTTAAAAGTTTATACATGTACAATGCCTAATTTTATTTTGAAACTAGATGAATTGCTGCCTGACAAAACAATTCGTTTCAACACAGTTTTGATATCAAGAATATTGTTTCTAAAGGTATATCTACATTTAAATGTTGTTGTGTAAAAATGATAAATCAATCAAGTAAAACAATATTCGCTATCTCGTTAAGGGGTATATACATTTTATAGATTCTTAACTTGAGATATCTAAAACGGGCAGTGACATTGACTATAATTTCTAAATCTAAGTATTTACAAATTATAGTTAATAAATTTATAAAACCCATAGGAAATACATTTATAGCATTATGAAAATAAGATATTAATATGTAGATAAATTGTAAAAAATACAAGCCAAAAATACAATCATGTAAACTCTAGCAATATCGTCAATAATCAAACATGTGAACATTGATCATACACAAGCAACGTTTTTAAAGAATCTAGAACATTGACGTTAATATGAACGTCATCACCGAGTATAAATGTTAAGGTGGGGTCTGACGATATCTTCAACAGATTTGTATAATATGCATTCAACCCAACGCCTACAGTAACAATTATATTCCCGGAGTCCTTAAGTTGCTTTGTTTCTGCTAACACCTGTTGCATATCATTCGTACTTCCGGTGGTAACAACCACCACGATCTTCCTGGCGTCTAGTCTTGAACCTTTTCCTGCTGAAAATCCATTTTGATTTAATTCATTCAACGCGTTCGCTAAATTAGCAGTTGTTGAAATAGTCTGCCTAGTTGTCTTACTAACATCAGCAATTTGATCGGCTCGTGACTTATATGTTGTGAAGTCGTAAACATTGTGGACTGTCTCTGTAAACGTAGAGTAACTAAACTGTGTAGCCTTTGGTCCAACTTTTGTGATCCCGAGTAAATGTATGACGGCTCTGATCTGGATATCCAGCTCTTGGTGTTTAATACTGGCTGACACATCCATTAGGATCGCAACATCGGATACTTTAGATGTACATTCTGAAAGAAAACTAGCTGAGGTAAATGTACTTAAATCGAACATACATATTTCGAAGTTTTTCTTGTAAAGATGTGATAAAAGATACATCAAAAATATCAATAAAATGCATGAAATCTGAATAAAGTCGTTAAAGAACATTGGCATTTATGTAACAGTATTTCACCATAAGGTAACAAATCTTTATAAAAAAATATACATACTATCGCAACCATACATTGTATATTTAAGGATGGTTTGTAGTGAATCTTCTGTTGCAATTGGAAAAACATATCTATTGGTTGTTGATATTTCTAGCAGTGCGTCATGCCTTATTGACGTTCCGCTTCCAACAGTGTATATCCTTACACCCTCGGCTTTAAGCAGATCCGCTTCTTCCACGACAGCCGTCGGATCAGACGAAAGTCCATCTGTCAGTAAAATCACATACTGGTCCACGTCGCCCTGGATTCTTGCACCATTGATCGCTCGGAATATATCTGTTCGAACTATTTTCAAAGCATTACCAGTTAGACTAGGACCTTCACAATCTACACTTATCAAATCTATAGCGTTTTGCAAATCTGTTATGTTTTCATAAGTGTTGAAATAAAAATGAACGGTCGCTAGGAGTGAATATGTTACGAGGCTAAACTGGTAGCGGTAGTTGGGTGGACCTATTTGGTATTTGGAGATAAAGTTCTTGACGTATTGTTTCTGTTTCACAAATGTACCATAACCCTCGCTTAGTGATATGTCAATGACAAAAACTATGTCGGCTTTCTTGTATGGGGTACACACATCTATAATACAATAAAAAAATAGAGCAAACTTGAACTCAAGATAAGATTGCAACCATGGTATACGAAAAACATTTTGCTCTGTAACAAAAACTATTAAACCTAGTAAAATAATTATGGTTCTTTATTCATTTTTAAATTGTTTTAAAAGATTCGCTGAAAAGTACCGTATAGTTAATTTAAATTAGGTGAAACTATACACACCTATTTGATTGCAGCTTGTCCCTGTCCATCCATAATAACAAAGACACGTTTTATCCCTGCCTCCATTGATAGATTGACATTCACCATACTGGCCACAATGTACGCGGCTAGTGCAATCTACAATCACACAACTGTTTACATTAAGTCGAATTCTCAATCAAAATGTCATTTGATTTTCTTCCTTATTGTCGCTTACAGTTTTTTTTAAAAAATGTTCAATAGGTGAAAACTCAAAAAATCAATGCTTTAAATGTTATAAATTGACAAAATATGACAACAAACTAGATTCTCTACATTTAAACTGTCAGATTTAATTTGTACACTCAGAAGTGAATCAAGCTACAACAAGAAAAAGTTCAAGAAAACTTACTAATTAACTCGCAATTATATCCAGTGTATCCTTCCATGCATATACAGTAATAAGCATTGCCGCCTGAATAGGCTTTACAAGTGGCACCATTCTGACAAGGGTTTGTAGCCGGTCTCTCACAGTCTTAACAAAAATGAATATCCAGAGCATAAACAATAAATATTGAATAAGATATATAAGATATTGATTAAGATGTTGAATGATGTTTCTTACATGCTTTGCAGTGGAAAGTGTTATATTTGGTAATTTTCACAGTGAAATTATATTTCATAATTTTCACTGTAGCCGGACTATATCTGAATGCGTATGAAAATAATATTTCATAACTGAATCGAATTATCAACAAGAATATGGATAAAAAATGTGCCCTCCATCACGATATTGGGTAATATTTTATGTCTTGAAACTGACACAAACTTTTATAAGATCATTTGTCAAAAAATTGCTGGAAGTATTAAGAGTGTGAGTACATTTTTCCACATTGACAATAATCTTGGGAGAAGAAAAAACAACTTACAATGTTTCCCTCCCCCATTCACTATCAATATCTCCATGGCAACTGAAGCAATAATAAAGAAATATAAAATAAAAAAATAATTTCAGTTCTATGTTGTAGGCTATAAGGCTGTCATTTTTGGCTCCTAGACTGCCAACTTCAGGTTAATTTCTTATTGATTCTTCGGACTCGGACACGAAAACAAGGCTTTATGGAGTAAAGTTTGTAGGTAGGTAGGTAGGTAGTTAGGCAGGCAGGCAGGCAGGTAGGTAATCGGAATGAAGTTAAGAAATGTGCTACCGAATACTTATTTAAAACAAATTATAAAACTTGACTTAAAAAGTATTTTTGACAGCAACCTGAAACATAAGGGTTTGTGAAACTTTTGTTAGTGATGATGGTAACTCTTTCCATAGTTCACAATCGACTTATTTACCGAAACCTTTGACCTCTGAGACTGCGGAAGACTCTTTTTTCATTAAATCTAATTGTGACTATAGATATCCTTGGTTGGAATGAAATGCTCACCCATATAATCGGGAGATATACCTGCTATAATTTGAAAACTTTAAATATTTTAATTCTTCATGATCAATATAAGATCTCGGGTCCAAATTTGGGACAAACCTTATTAGCTTATTCCGTTATCCGTAAATTATTCATAAACTGTGGTACTAAAAGGAACAGGCATAATAAAAATGACACTGAGTAAGCGACATTACAAAGAGTTTTTTTTTTAATTATTTTTCCTATACAAATATTTTAACTAGATCCGGCCTTTTAAATAATATAGGTAGCTATTGAATAAGCTAAATTTTGATACAATGTGATTCAGGATATTTAACTGATAAAGTTGGCTTAAATGACCACAGGTCATAACAAGATACGTTCAAGTTTGGATTTAATCAAAATGATTGGCTCGGATTTACAATAATTAAGTATTTGATATGATATGGAGTTTATGGACTAGCAAAGAGTACACGAGGCTATATCAATTTGGGTTGTATCCAAAAATGATTTATATTGGAAGATCACATTATGTTTACGCTAAAAGTTCGTCAGTTATATTTTTAAGGTTGTAAAATAAATGCATGTATGTCTGTATGTCTATAAAGAGGTCCTTGCGCCGAGCCCAATTATTGGTGACAGGCACGTCTTAATACAAATTAATCTTCGGATATTATATATTGTACATTTATCTCACATCTAGAGAAATTTATCGCACTTGAGTATGGATAAATGTGTATACTTTTAAATTTGTATATAAATCATTTCTATTAACAAAAAAATATGACAACCGTATTTACGTAGTCTCTTGGTTAACTTGGCTGATCTATTGATCATTGAATGTAAGAATTTAAAAGTCTATTCTCGAGTTTAAATAATTTAGCATACATGTATACAAAATAAACCTTTATGCTTTAATAGAAGTACAGAAACTATTTTACTTACAAAAGGTGAGTGTATATATCCCAACTTTCACAAAATACATCTTGCCTTCCTCTGTTTCAAATTATGATAAAATTTTCCTAAATAGTACACAATTTTTATCTAAATAGGTATTTCTTCTTCAAAACCTTCTCCGGGCATTTTCTACCTTTTTATTTCATTTTAAATGCCGTGTTTCCATTGTTTAAATATTTCCTTATACAAAATGTACATTTGTATATGTTCGCAAAAATGATCACATGATGTATATATTCAATAAAATGATAAAAAAATAAACAAAAAAGCCGATTGATGCTAAACAACTTTTTTATACACTTTTTTTATAACTTGAAAAGGTTTCGGAGTAGAGTAATTTTACGTATGGCTGTGTAAATCCAATATTCTGAAGGGAAAAAAACGAAAATGAGGGGATATGACAGTTCGTAAAATTTGTCAGATTTATGGCCATTAAACATTGATAATTTATAATATTTTATTCGCTCATGATAAATTTGTTTACATAAATGTATACGCTTTTGATTGAAGTGTTTGCTCATGTTATAACCCTACATCTTCCAAAAACTTTCCTTAGACTTCCGTGTACATAAATTAACATCGTATCAATATTTATTTTTTCAATTCAGTGATTAATATCAATTAAGATTTTTATCCAAGCTGTAATGTATGCACTTAATGTTTATTGGCATATATCACTGTTTTAAAATAAAGTTAAAGTTTACAAAATTAAACAATCTTTTTTATTCCCTCTCGGTCTTTTTTTATTATAATTATTTTGTTGTTGTTGTTGTTGTTGTTGAAGATGTTGGTTTTTAAGTCACACTGACATTGCGAAATAATTTCCTGGCAGTCGTGTGTTGGGGAAGATGTGTATAAAGGGCTGTGTTTTTTCTCTTTTCGTTTGTGGCTATATTTTGTATTTTGTCACTTTCTTTGAACAACTTTGACAATTATGTTTATGTTTTTTTTGTTCACATCTAATGCATATTATATGACAGATGAATGAATAAAATCTTGGGATCTTGAAATCATGTTTATGGAAGAACTTTATTTCAGGCACGAAAAGGCACCAGACAATACAAGATTGATAAATGTAACTAGTCCCTCTTCTATGCCATTTATACACAGACAATTAAAAGTGTATACATGTACACTGCTTATAGGTTCATTTCTGGTCGAAAGAACTAGGTTTAAAATGAGATGAATTGCTGTCTAACAAAATGTTCTCTTTCATTCAAAAATATTGTTTCTAAAGGTATATCAAGATTTTAGTGTTGTCGTGTAAAAATGATAAATCAATAAAGTAAAATATATTCGCTATCTCGTTAAGCGGTATATATATTTTATAGATTATTAACTTAACCCCCCCCCCCACCCCTCTTTTAGGCAAAAAGATCCTGTTTGAGTAATGTTGATTACAAAAGTGACCACTTTGTTGGCGCGGCCCGCCAACCAAAAGATACATCAGGGGGTTGCCAGAAGTCTCTGTAAACGTAGAGTAACTAAACTGAGTAGCCTTTGGTCCAACTTTTGTGATCCCGAGTAAATTTATGACGGCTCTGATCTGCGCTGATACATCCATTAGGAGGTAAGCGGAAAGTCGCCGCCTCGTTCGTTGGTACAGGCGGATGGATTTCAATTTTTAAATTTTGGATTCAAACAAATAATGAGTGATTAATACAGAATTAAAATTTCTTAATGTTTAGAAGGAATAATGGGAAGTAACTGCTGCGAACTTATTGAAAATGCATGGCCTCATAGAGGCATCAGTCACATATACAAATTTAATGTACATAGAATGTGAAATATCTCAAAAACAGTTCCGCAAAATAAACTAATGTACTAGATGGCATATATAAATCAAAACGAAAGTTTTACCTCACCTATCAGTTTCTTAAATGCCACAGTTGTTTGACCGATTCCGGCGCAGTTTTTTTAACTTTTGCTGACTGTACACAAATTAACAAATTGTTGGTATAAACAAATTATCTGCTAGTAGATATTTAATTCGTCTTCAAACCTAACAATTAACAGAAAATATATGAGCTGCGTCACGACAAAACCAACATAATGTGTGTTGCGACCAGCATGGATCCAGACCAGCCTGCGCATCCGCGCAGTCTGATCAGGATCCATACTGTTCGCTATCAGTGTCTACTTCTTATAGGGTTTGTAAGCGATCCATGCTGGTCGGAAACCCATTATGTTGGTTTTGTCATGACGCGGCTCATATTATCTTTTTTCTAGCAAGAATACTCTGATTAGCTTCAACAGTTCCGAAACAAGTTTACCAGTTCCGGTGCACATAACAAATGCCATTTGTAATATTACGTACGAAGAAAATAATTGACTATTTGCCAGCTAATACTAAAACTAAGTCAGTATATGTACACTTCAACTTGTCAGTCTTATTCATTATTTTATTATGCACCATCATGCTTGGCGTGAGATCAGGGTCGTTCCTATATATTTTTTTCTGTTTGAAAGACCTTGGTGAGATGAAGCATAAATGCAATGCATTCGACTTTTTTCATTATTTCTGGTAAGATCTGCTTAAAAACAGAATACAGTGCACGATGAAAATAAGGTTTTGTTTTGCAATAACGCTTGAACAACATTCATTCTAGTCTCATTACTGATTAATACTTTCCTAAAGATAATCTATCCATAAAATATTTTGAAAAACATTTTAAGTTTAGATAATATCTGTTAACACTGACATAGACATCGATATTTATTGACCTATTGTTCAATCTTCTGCATCTTATTTTATTATTCATTTTTCACAGATAAAATGTAAATTTAATTACACTACACGTACATGTACTTTCTATATCTAATAATAACATATCGTATTTCAACGGCTTTCCTACTATATTGTATATTATACAGTACAGTAAGCGCATTTTAAATAAGTGATTATAATTTAACTTCAAAATATGTTTACCTCAAAAAAGTTGTTGGCACACTTTCTTACAGGTACTCGTTCATATATTTCAATATCAAAGAACATTTGAGCCGCGTCACGACAAAACCAACATAATGGGTTTGCGACCAGCATGGATCCAGACCAGCCTGCGCATGCGCGCAGTCTGTTTAGGATCCATGATGTTCGCTTACAAACCCTTAACAAGTAGGGTAACTGAAAGCGAACAGCATGGATTCTGATCAGACTGCGCGCAAACCCATTATGTTGGTTTTATCGTGACGCGGCTCATTTTATTTTCGATAAGAAAACACAGAAACGTTTGGGTACATCCCGTCATCAAAAATATAAGCTTCGGAACTGGTCAAAAAAGGTCTCCTGGTTCAAACGGGTATTCATATCTTTATGTTTATATTTTTGCAAATATTTTTGAATTAAGTTGTAAGGCAGATAGCAACTTTTCAACCGGTGTATATAATGTGTCCCTTTCTTTCAGTTTATATAGCAGGTACCAATATACCAATAACCATTAAAAATGGCGATAAGAAATTCAGCATTTCTGCTTCATGTAGATTCAATAATCGGACGAAAATTATTAGAAGCCGAAATAGAATGGTGACTAAAATATTTATTTGTGAATGTCAATAAACACCAAAACCAGTGAACATTTCATTTTCTTTATTTATTGTCGTTTACGTGAATGGCTCGCTTGATTCTTCGGAACTGGTCAATGCGCCGGAACCGGTCAAATAACTGTAATATATTTTTTTCCCCATTTAAGTACTACATACATGTGAACTCTCCCACTTTTAGCAGGAGACTCCCACTTTCTGCAGGTTAGCCGTATTTTCAAAGATTTTTCTTAAAAAATAAGGGGTATTTTAACAAATTAAAGAAATCTCCCTATATTTGATATCAGAACTTTCTTCTTTGTTTATTAATCTCCCTCTTTTTGAAGAAAAATCTCCCACTTGATCGTCGAAAAAAAGTTCATATATGCAACTCGAATTCGCTATTCCTTTTATTATCTGTTTACATCAATATTGACAAAAAGGGGTGTCGAAAATTCTTCTATAAAAGCATACTATTAATCGCCTAAATCTTTAACTACCTAAACAATTACTCATTTTTAACCGTTCAGCGTAATAGCGTAGTCTTTGAGTGTTGGCTTCGTCAGTGTAGAGACCGTGGTTCGATTCTTGGAAAAGGCATTTTTTTCTTTCCTTAAATTTTTTGCTTTTAGATATTTTTCAAAGAACTCGATTTTACATTGAGTTTTACACACAGTTGCTTTTAACAAATAAAGTTAGAGGCAGAACAGTCGTTATTATAGTAATAAATGTGGAATGGAAGAAATTTAAATATATAAATATACAAATGAGCCGAAATTGTTTAAAGATGTAGCAAACTGAATTCAGAATTTTAAATAGAATGATTCACAGGCCTTATGCTCCCATACACACTGCTTATTCACAAACAGCTTTCTGCCTCATATTCTTGCATTAAAGCAAACCAACTTTCTACATTACTGTCAAATTTATTACTTTTTTATATTTTGTTGTTGTTTCAAGAGCATTTGTTTTTTAAACTCGTCTTTATATTTTGAACACTTCTTCTGGTCATTGATTGTAGACTGAAGTGTAATGGTTTTAACAAGTTTGCACTGGCATTTTCTTTTTAACTTTCATATAATTATGCAATAACCTGCTGAAATTATCTAATGCACTTTTCCAGAATCCAGTTATGAAACTGTCCACCAATTTTGGGGACATTCAGGTTAAAGTTTAGGTCAGCCTGTTAACAGTACACGGTCTGGTCAGAAAGCACTGTAATTATGACAGCACTGTCATGCCGAGTTCAGCAATGAAATTATGTGTTTTGGTGATAGCATAGCTATCTTGTAATGTAGTTATTTATTCATTAATGGTTTGTTAAGAAACACTGACCTAGAGATAAGTTAATACATGTATTTCAGTCAGACTTTACTGACTTGTGTAAAGACGAAAGTTGTCAACTGCTTCTAGTAACAAACGGTAAAATAAAACACAAACGAAGTTTTTTCAATCAACACTTTATATAAATATAAAAAAGCAACAACAAAATTACAAAAAACATTACCAAATATATACTGAACCAAAAAAGAAACTTTCGCAAAGTATGTGCCAGTTGTTCAAGGGTACTACTTAGATGTACACACTTATATACATGTAGTAGCTTGTAAAACTCGTTTTGTTTGCAAAATCGGTCAGCTAATTCCCGTATAAAAGCCCGATATGTGTATTCAACGTAAAAATCGAGTTTCAAAATGATTGAAAAACTGTACTAACATATTTACATTCAAACTTGGAGAAAGTTTCTTTTTTGTTTCAGTATATAAAGGAAACGAAAAATAAAAGCATCTGAACTAAACTTTCTGTAATATAAAGTAAACAAAATCCATTTTTAATCAATACAGAAAAATCTAATGAAATAACAACAACATCATGTTGAAGAAGCAAAAATACAGAAAAAATACATAAATCATAATAAGCTACAAGATGGACACCAAAAATAACTTGTGTGAGATTGCAATATGGTTTTTATTGAGATCATATCTTACAAAACCTAAATTGGGAATTGTATAGCGCACTGTAACACCGCACTTTGGGGTCAAACACACTTTGGGGTTCGACCCCAAAGTGCGTTACGTACTTTGTGGTCCAACCCCAGAGTGCGTTACGCACTTTGGGGTCCAATTTTAATCCCAAAGTGCGTTAAACAGGTACATATGCATTTTTTTAACATCAGGCAAACGACCGCACTTTGGGGTCATAGAAAATTAATGTTCATTATGTTTTAAATAATATATTGTAGTCAAAGTCAATGGTAAACAAAAAATCAAGGTATTATATAGACACAAACATGTGCCCTGAATTTTAGTAGAAGCAATAGGGATTTAAATGATCTTGATTAGTAAGTGAAGAACTTTCACCAAATAAAGAATTATTAAGCTATTAAAATATTTTTTCTCAAATTTTCCATTATTTTAAAAGAATGTACACCTTTCATTAACTCCATTGTTTTTAGCTAAATGCATTATTTTCCGGTTTTTTATTTACACATTTTATAGAAATATGATAGTCTTAGCATAGACAAAGGTATAAATTCTGGGAAATCTTAGTAAGACATTTCAGTAAAAAAATGTGCCTGATAATATGTTGAAAGAGCCATTTATTTAGCTAAATGTGACATATAAGAAACTTAACTAGGTGTACATGCGGCTTTAAGTAGTAGTCAGTACAGGCAGTGCTAAAGATATCAACGCACATTAACTTTAGAATAATGTTTCTCACTGGGGGTATAGGTGATTGTGAGATATCGATCCCATGAGGGTTAAAAATAACATTTTAAAGGCCCATTACGCTTTCATTTGTTTTTCTTTAAAGCTTTTTCATTTTGATGTTCTTCTATATTATCCAAAAAATACACATTGGCCAATTACCTGAACCATCTTTTTCATTTGTTGCCTTTTGGCAATGATGAGTACAGTTATAGTGAATTATTATTTTATAGGGAAGTCAAATACTACAGTGTTTTGCATTCTTTTATGACAAATAATTTCACATTTATCGCTACTTTATTCAGGTAACAAGCATCTTACATTTTTCAGATACTATTATTTAAACATTATAAAATTCATGTTTGCTCTTTCTAAAGAAGTATGTAAGATTTACCATAAAAAAGCCTCTGGCGAACGGTTGTTACGGAGCTTACAAAAACCCTTAAGTTTGTTGATAAGCTTAATAATGTTTTTTTTGTAAAAATCACTTTTTATAGTCCGATCGAAAAACTTGATATGTTTCACCAGAACATTGCAATAGAGTTTATTTATAGTTCTTTGGAAAAAAATATTAACTGCATTTTATTTTATTCCCAACATATTTAAAATGGGGCTCAATATGGCACCAAAAGTTATCAAGTAAATGACCGACAGAACGGGATATTTTTCGCAGCATCTTTTAATTTTTGTATTATCTTGATCGGTGGCATAAAAGTGACATTTGTATTTTTTTTCGTATATATTTTTTGTTTGTTTGTCGTACATATTTTTTTTAGTTTTGAATACATGTACATACATTTTTTAGTTTTGCACACATATTCTTTTTTAGTTTGCATACATATTTTATTTTAGTTTTGTATACATATTCTTTTTTAGTTTGCATACATATTTTATTTTAGTTTTTTTTTTTGTATACATTTTTTGTTTGTTTTTTCGTACATATTTTTACATGACGCCATTTGCAAAGTAGAGGTTTGGATAATTACACCATTTGTAAAACACCATTTTTAAACACATCGCCATCTGTAAATTACAGTACCTCATTTGCAAATGCCATTTGCAAATACCAATATCTTCATTTTTCATACTCGTATCAAAAAATAACAACACTTATTAGTATAAATATAAATATATCGTCCGCGGTAACCCATAGAAAGGTTCTGCATATGACCTGAAGGTGTGACACCGACCTGTCAAAGCTGGCATATAAGTTCTGCACACTATCCGGATGTTCTAAGAATTGACCTAAGTTTTATAATTCTCAATTCTCAGGGGGTGGGGTTGAGTGGTGCATATTCATGGAATAATAACCGATCACCAGTCAACAGCCCTTTTCAAACAGACACTAATATAATAGTATATAATAATAAAAAACAATAATTATATAAAATGCATATGATATAAAAAATGGGACGAAAAGGGTCAACCGAAACCAGACTTGCCTGGCCAAAAACGACAGGGCTGATTCCAAAAAATGGGCCGAAATGGGTCCAAACTACTGTGGTAGTTTTATACTCACCTATGGACTGTTATGATATTTGAAGGCTGTTTTTATTGGCTAAAATATGTATGAAAAACAAAAATAAGATATGTACGAAAAACAAAAATAAAATATGAATGCAAAACTGAAAAAATATGTATGCAAAACTGAAAAAAATATGTTTGCAAAACTAAAATAAAATATGTATATAAAACTAAAAACAAAAAATGCAAATGTCACTTTTTTTATGCTACCGTAATTTTGTTATATGAAACACAATTTTTAGATATTTCAAGTGGTAAAAATTAATGAAACTTTTTATCACTTAAGCAAGCATCATAAAGTATTGACCGCCATCTTGAACTCCACCTCAAATATTCCAATGTCGCAGATAGAAAATAAGTCAGTACTCAGTATTTAAGCAGAACTCAGATGACACCTTTAGACCTTTTGAACCCAAAGTGCGTTGATATGTAGCATATTAACGCACTTTGGGGTCAATTTCTCGATTTTAACCCCAAAGTGCGTTAGACCCCAAAGCGCGGTGCGAAGTTTAACGCACTTTGGGATCGGACCCAAAGTGCGTTTGACCCCAAAGTGCGGTGTTACAGCTCACAAAAGTTTAAAGCTACATACCCCCAGGTGAGTAAAAATATTTCAATAAAATCAAAATTGAGAAAAATGTAATAAGATGTAAGGAAAAATAAAAGTTTCAAGATTCAAGTAATATTTTACATATTATGTGCGATTAATGACTGATTTTTCAGTATTTACAACTATATTTCTACTGCGTTACTAACGCAGTAAAGGCTATTTATGCATATTTTGACCACTTTTGGTAATTTACGTGGTTTGGAAGTGTCATTTGATAACGTGTCAATTGCTTCCTTTTGGTAACTATACAATATTACACATTCAAATACATTTTCAAAATTTTCATGAAAATTAGCATGAATCTGGAGGCGTGCTGCTTTAAATAATACACAGTCAAGTTATGATTCTTGGACAGCTACAGAATTTTCTATATAATAACATGTATATACTTGTGAAATAGGATGGGTATTTACTGTAACGTAAGTTAACAGTTAATCTATAAGTTATGAGTTACTATCTTTCATACTTATTGCATAGTATATACAATATTATTGTCAACCAATCAAATTGTTGCAGCGAATACTGAATTGTATAAATAAGCTGATGTAGCAATGTTAGCTAGGTTTTTCTAGGGGGGCTCCGTGGCCGAGTTAAGGTCGCTGACTTGAGATCACAGGTCCCTCACCGCTGTAGGTTCGATCCTCACTCGGGTCGAAATCTTTCATGTGAGGAAGCCATCCAGCTGGCTTACGGAAGATCGGTGGTTCTACCCAGGTGCCCGCTCGTGCCTGAAATAATGCTCGGAGGGGCACCTGGGGTCTTCCTCCACCAATAAAGCTGGAAAAAAATCGGCGAAAAATCTCGGCGGGACGCTCTAGGATGGCCCGACTTGAATGTACGGTCGCCCATATGGGCTTTCCGGCGGCGACCTTAAATAAACGCATTAAAAAAAAAGTTAGCTAGGTTAGGTACTGTACCTACTCTGGTCAGTACTACAAGGCTTAGCCTTGAAACATTAAACTGGACTTAGTCCTAAATACAAACGTTTACGTTTATTTTAATCGACATCTTATAAATATAATCTTAATTAAATAATAAGTAGAGTAATTCTTAATAAAAGTAAATATCATTTAATCAGTATACTTATTAAATATGTTTGGATTACTCATATAATAAAAGCATTGATTGAAATTGTATTTACTAGTTGTTATTGTTTAGTCCATCATCTTAATAAAGTTACACTTATAAAGTTACACTTATATAAGTTTACTGAGCCCTGAGAATTTACTTCTGTTATAATTTGTGATCTGGTTAAAAATGTGTTAAGGTGTGATGTAAAGCAATTTATTTTACAAAGTACTGTTGTCTTAGTAAGTATTAACATCACCTTACGCTATAGATATATCTGTATGTACATTGAATAGAATGGTTCTCATTCTTGGCATTTAATGAAAGCATGGTACGTGTAAATAAGTGTTATTATGTTACAAAAGAAACCGTTTAAATTGCTTATTTAAAGAGAAAAAAGAAACAATTTAATAGCGTTTTACCTTAATTAACTGGTATAACAGATAATACAGATCCGTATTTTTATGAATATTCGTACACTAAACGTAAGTAAGACGTGTCGAGCATGCGCAACGTGAGAAGCTGATACTTCCGGTTGCAGACACCTGTAGAATTCACATAAAATATGAAATAAACTCTTATATTTGCCATTAACAAGGTCATATCGAGTAGAAAATGTTTAAAAATTTAAGAAAAAAGCTTGAGCAAGGTGTCAACCAAAGTCCTTTGAAAGGAGCGTTAGCATCTGCCTCAAAGGTAAGGAAATATGGCTTCCTGTAAAAGGTAAACAAACAGAAATTTGCCGAAAGAAAACGAAAGTGCAAGCCAACAGAAGTTTGCAGTGATAATAGATATGTATATGCCATTTCCAGCCTTGCTATTTGTTTTAATTCTTTAGTGACTTGGTTTAGAGTCAGCATTGTGATGATAGATTGAGAGGTCCGGATACTCGAGGCATTTTGAAATAACTTAATTTTTTGGAAGTGGCTAGCTGTACGGGCCCGTACGGCTAGCCAAAAGTTCTAGCCATACGTGAGGACGCACTGTATTGTCTAGCCGTACGGCACTTTTCAAAATTATATGGAAGTCGAAAATGCATATACATGTATGTTATTTGTCGTTGATTTTCATGCTTATCATTTGTTGTTTTATTTGTATGAAAGATGAATTATTAAATAATTTCTGTTAATTAAGCACATGGATCAAATAAATAATGATCAGAGTGGAATGAATAAATAAATAAAAAGAACATTGAAAAAAAAACGGTGAAAAGCAAAAATAATTGTATAATTTCCAAATACAGCATATAAATATCGAACATAATAGCACAATCAATTAATTAGCCTTAATTAATCCTACCCAGGGACTGACAATAGAATTTTAGAATGCGTTTCACGGAACATGCAAACTTTCCTTAATGATGGACAAACTTCTATATCGTCGGTAATTGACGCAATTATCAGAGCCCAACAGCAATTATTTTCGGTGTTGTTGTTATTTTTTTTTTATTTTAATGGTGTCAAAAATTAAACTTAATGAAACAAAAAAGGATTCTTATCAAAATTTTGTAAACTTATTTAAATGCAACCAAACGCTGTTTTTTCTCGACATTTTGAGATGACAAAGATCGATAGCCAACAAGGCGAGTAATCTCTAAAAAGTAAACATATGAAGACAATTGCCATTTCTTGGTTAAAATCCTCGCTTAAAGTCATAAAATAACATATGCATTTTCGACTTCTTTATAATTTTGAAAAGTGACGTACGGCTAGCCAATACAGTGTGTCAGTGACTCATGTATGGCTAGAACTTTTGGCTAGCCGTACGGGCCCGTACGGCTAGCCACTTCCTAATTTTTTTTGCCAGTTTTCATGGATGATTTGTTGTATCTCAATAATATGAAATTATAAGGCAAAGCCTATGAACGAGGAAATCGCTGTCTTAAAGGTATCATTCAGTACTTTTTATGCACCGCTTCCGTTTACACTTGTAATAGTAGACAATTATTATTTATCAGAAAATTTGTGATTGTTCATTATAGGAATACCATGCCTATTATCATTGTATTACATTGCAAATGGCGACGCCCAACTAGAACTGACACTGATAATTTCATTGATAGATATAGAATTTATATATTCTTTTTTTTTATTTGATTTTCTTTTAGATATACATGTGTAGACTTTAGCCGGGTAATCCAAAGATCAGGCCTGCTTCACGGTCCCGGCCTTTGACTTCCCCGTGTAAGGAGGAAGTTAGATTGGGCTTTATACTAGATTTAGGTCTTTAGAATAGGTTGACAATATTAATCCTTATTTAATATGGAGAACTTCTATGTTATGTTATATTACAGACTTGTTAGTTTATGATGGTAAAGCCGGGAAGTCTAATAGATATTTCTCTTAAACACAGCAACAAAAAAAATGTATAATATCTTGCCTTTTAAGCTTTAATCAAAAGTTTATCAAATATTCTTTCAGTTTCAGTTTCCTGCTCAAAGTTAAGTAAAGCGCTTTACACAGATAACAAATTTTTAACGAATAAATAATTTCATTCATGCTGATGGTTCACAGGCAAATATTTCATTCAAAAATATTAAGTTTAAAACTTAAATGTAGTCTGACTCTTTTAAACACTTGCAGCCAATTAGCCTATCAGATTTTAATTAGCGTTTTGTGATAGCCATTTGTTTATGGGTTGTATAAAGAAATTAATTAGATAATAGGATTTATTCATTATTTTTTACCTTTGTTCATGAACATCTCAGAATTAATTTTCATTTACATATACATGCTGATTTAAGTGTTATATTGTTCCAAAAGATTTTCTTGCAGAACATGCTATGTATGGTATATCATATAAATAAACTTGTATAAATGAATCGTATATAAAACATTTGTAAAATTATGACATGATATTGGTTTATATACTTTCAGCTATTAGATGAAAAACAACCTGAAACTTCTCCATTAGCAGAGAGTACTCCCAAAAAGCCAGGGGCTGCCAATGGTGATGGGAACCAGTCCAATGCCTCTGATGTCTCAGGGTATGCAACAGCTAACCAGTCAATGGAAGAAAGTCCAGCCACAATACCTGTTGGTCAGCTGATAGATATTCCACTACAGGACACAAGTAGTGAGGTAAATATTGCTTCTGGTGACTTACTCTTCTTACTGTTGTAAGTTGAAATACTCTTATACAGTAATATAATATTGTATGTAATGAAACAGTTTTATAAAATTTATAAAGATAAAGTTATGTTGTTCAATGTTGCCAAAACCTTATGATAAATTGTAACATTGAATATAGCTCTGTTAGTAAACATACTTTAAAAATGTATTTTAGCAGAATGAAATGTTGCCCAACAAAATATTATGCATCTACAATGTTCTTTATAAAGGTGTTTTACTGTTCAGCTATGATTTTGTACATACATCAGTCCCTCTTATGGAAATATACCAGCATATTTCTTTCATACAGGTACTTGCTGGCTGATCTTTCTCAAATTAAAAAAAAATTGTAAACTGTAGGTAGCATAGATATAGCTTGAAACACTGTAAGGATGTTAAATTGTTAATGCTTTAAGTTTTGTTAAAGACCTTCCAATTTCATGTCTTAGGACCGGTACAAGTCAACCCGGCCCCAAGTCAGCCCGACCCCAAATTGGTCAACCCGGTCCCAAAACCAATGTTATTTCTGGTCAATCCGGCCCCATTTTTGTTGTGCCCCCACGTTAGTGGCGGGCATTTAGATTAACCCTTGTCCGTCCTTCCGTCCGTCCGTCCGTTCACTTTTGTGTCGCAGGTAACTCAAAAAGTATTTGACCTAGAGTCATAAAACTTTACAGGAATGTTGATCAGCATGTGTAGTTGTGCACCTGGGTATTTTGGTCTGGGTATTTTTTTTAGTATTTTCAGAGTTATTGCCCTTGACTTAGTAAAATTTTGCAATTTTCAACTTGTGTCGCATGTAACTCAAAAAGTATTTGACCTACAGTCATGAAACTTTACAGGAATGTTGATCAGCATGCGTAGTTGTGCACCTGGGTATTTTCGTCTGGATATTTTTAGTATTTTCAGAGTTATTGCCCTTGACTTAGTAAAATTTTGCAATTTTCAACTTGTGTCGCATGTAACTCAAAAAGTATTTGACCTACAGTCATGAAACTTTACAGGAATGTTGATCAGCATGTGTAGTTGTGCACCTGGGTATTTTCGTCTGGATATTTTTAGTATTTTCAGAGTAATTGCCCTTGACTTAGTAAAAATTTGCAATTTTCAACTTGTGTCGCACATAACTCAAAAAGTATTTGACCTACAGTCATGAAACTTTACAGGAATGTTTGATCAGCATGTGTAGTTGTGCACCAGGTATTTTCGTCTGGATATTTTCAGTATTTTCAGAGTTATTGCCCTTGACTTAGTAAAATTTTGCAATTTTCAACTTGTGTCGCACGTAACTCAAAAAGTATTTGACCTAGAGTCATGTAACTTTACAGGAATATTGATCAGCATGTGCAGTTGTGCACCAGGTATTTTCATCTGGATTTATTTAGTATTTTTAGGTGATTGCCCTTCATTTAGAAAATTTTTGCAATTTTCAACTTGTGTCGCAAGTTTCTCAAAAAGGATTTGACATAGTCATTAAACCTTATGGGCAGGTTGCTCAGCATATTTTAGATTTGCACCTGGGGTTTCCCTCGTGGATTTATCCAGTATTTGTAGAGTTATTTCCCTTGACTTAGTAAAAAGATTGACAGAACAGTGGCGCGGTGAGGGCACCCGTGTCCTATGGACACATTTCTAGTTTATTATTTATTTTGCTTTAAAATATAAACACTTATCAAGAAATAAAATAAAAATCAACAACAAAAACAACAACAAAAGTTTTTAACGATGATATCTTTTATTATTTATTTTATATTTAAAAACTATCAATATTAACAAACAAGCAACACATGCATAATTTACTGTTTTTACAATGTTCAATGCATAGTTCTACAATGTTCAATGTATAGTTCTACAATATTCGTCACACACCCCTACAATGTTCATTACATACAAACACCAATTCACTTGTCGTCTTCTTCCGCATGGTAGACACAATCTTCAATAGGGCGGTTGCTGACAGCTCTTCCGATCGATTAACAAAACAAAAAGTTATATATAGTTATCAGTGTAACTAGTTTAAATAGGTACTAGACAATAAATTATTAATGTTTCTTTCCAATATTAGCAAAATAATGGTACATGACTCAAGTTAATTTCTTCAATTATTGTTCGAACCTTCAAATTACCATTTTTATTAAATTCAAAAAAGAATTTGTCGTATTATCTCATACAACAAATAAGTATTACCTATCCCAGGAACTGAAGATTTTCGACTGAATTGAGCGATACGTTGCTCTCTGCAGTCTTCTTAACTTAATTTCCGATACTAGGCGTATCTGAGCCTCAACCTCTAGTGCCTCTTTGTGCAGGTCACTGCCTCCTGTCTGTCACGCACAATATATCCACAATCAATACAGTTATCAGTCATAATGACATAAAGAGATTAAACACAAAGCACTATCAATTTTTCAAACACTTAGTAATATTCCAATACTTTTTTACACAGTAAATATTCTTTGAAAATAAGTTAATAAAAACATAACAAATATTAATTATACTGATGAACGTATGAATTCAATAAAAACATTCAAATGAACTGAAAAAAAATTGTTGGAAACTTAATTTATACAAACCTTTTAACTCAAAATTTTATGCTTTTCTTCCTAATTATCGCATTAACACTCAGGAAACCATCTTTAATTTACATCGAATAAAAACATGAAAGATACTACCAACTTATTATATGCCCGAAAGAATTTCGGACATTTTATGTTATACCCCCTGGCGTCCGTCTGTCCGTCCGTCCGTTAGCAATTTGGTTTCCGGAGCATAACTTAAGTTTCATTTGGCCCACAATATTCAAACTTCATAGGATGATTGCCCATATTGGGTAGAAGACCCCTATTGATTTTGGGGTCATAAGGTCAAAGGTCAAGGTCACTATGACCTTAAAACTGAAAACAGTTTCCGGAGCATAACTTAAGTTCCATTTGGCCTACAGTGTTCAAACTTCATAGGATGATTGTCCATATTGGGTAGAAGACCCCTATTGATTTTGGGGTCACAAGGTCAAAGGTCAAGGTCACTATGACCTTAAAACTGAAAACAGTTTCCGGAGCATAACTTAAGTTCCATTTGGCCTACAGTGTTCAAACTTCATAGGATGATTGTCCATATTGGGTAGAAGACCCCTATTGATTTTGGGGTCACAAGGTCAAAGGTCAAGGTCACTATGACCTTAAAACTAAAAACAGTTTCCGGAGCATAACTTAAGTTCCATTTGGCCCACAGTGATCAAACTTCATAGGATGATTGTCCATATTGGGTAGAAGACCCCTATTGATTTTGGGGTCACAAGGTCAAAGGTCAAGGTCACTATTACCTTAGAACTGAAAACAGTTTCTTGAGCATAACTTAAGTTCTATTTGGCCCACAGTGTTCAAACTTCATAGGATGATTGTCCATATTGGGTAGAAGACCCCTATTGATTTTGGGGTCACAAGGTCAAAGGTCAAGGTCACTATTACTTAGAAATTGAAAACAGTTTCTTGAGCATAACTTAAGTTCCATTTAGCCTACAATATTCAAACTTCATTGGATGATTGTCCATATTGGGTAGAAGACCCCTATTGATTTTGGGGTCACAAGGTCAAGGTCACTATTACCTTAAAACTGAAAACAGTTTTCGGAATATAACTTAAGTATCATTTGGCCTACTGTATTTAAACTTCATAGTATGATTGTCCATATTGGGTAGAAGACCCCTAATGATTTTGGGGTCACAAGGTCAAAGGTCAAGGTCACTTTTACCTTAGAATTGAAAACAGTTTCTGGGGCATAACTTAAAGTTCCATTTGGACCACAATATTGAAACTTCAAAGGAGGATTGTTATTTGAAGGAGGTAATACTTTATTTTACTCCCATGTCTTACAAATGCTTCATCTTTAATAAAAAAAAAATCACTTTCGGGCATATAATGCTCCGCCTAGCGGTGCTCTTGTTTAAAGGATTTGTTTTCACAGCTATACCTTTTTTGTTAATTGATTGCTTTAAACTGTTTGATTATCACATCTGAATTAATGTTGATGTACATAAAATTGTGATGTTATATAATTATTCATTATCACTATTGTGTATTAAAGTCTAAATCGGCGTAATTAAATTTACCGACACTTCTATGCGAGTTCATGTTTTTTTTTTACTATTTTTCTATAGTTAATAATCTTCAAGTGATAATAAATAATTTTTATTCCTTCATATGTAACAAAATAACTTGAATAGTTTTCTTTGAAAAAAATATATTTTGGGGCCGGAATGACTGATTTTAGGGCCGCACTGACCAATTTTGGGGCCGCATTGACCAAATAAAAATACTGTGGGGCCGGATTGACCAATTTTGGGGCCGGGTTGATCAATTTTGAGGCCGGGTTGACTTGGGGCTGGGTTGACTGTAATTCCTTAGGAAGAGCTTTACATATATCGTGCTAACTTACTGAAAGTGGTTCTACCAAGCCAGTGTCAGTTTTTGTCTGAAATAGTGCCTGAAGCTTGAAGTAGGATTTAGCTTGTACTGATTTAGCTTTTTAGTCTTACATGTATAAACTTTACATAAATTTGTGGTCCTAAAAAAACGAGCAAAATAAGAATCTTTTTCCCTTCATTTGCATAATTATTCATTTGATATTTACTGCTTTCTCACAAAGCTGTTATTAATATGTATATTAGTTAAATGTAATTTTACTTTGAATACATGCACTTACGAAAATAGACATACATGTAATACTGTGTAAATAAAAAGACTTGTCGTTATGTACATTTAATTTGGATTATTTTTAGCTCCACTTTTCTAAAAAATATAGGTCTATTGTCATTACCCATTTGTCAGACAACTCTGGTAAACCTTTTTGGATAAGTTGATTTTTGGTCATTAACTTAGATTTAATAGTATAATGATGCTGTTACTAGCCCTGACAATAGTGGAACATGCTTCTTATATACATGTAGCTGTTATTATTGTAACCCAACAAATATTCGCAACCAATTAATTAGCACTTAATTTGCTTAAGGCCCTGAAGCTTGAATATATATTTGCACAAGTAAAGCAGCAAGATTTCGTACATTAACTGTAAAAAAAGTTTCATTTGCATGCCATGTTTATGACAAATTGTTGCATGACTAAATACTCCAATTTTAAGGGCATCTGTTAGAAATCAACAAAAAGATATAATGTATTGTTGTAAAGCATTTAAATACTCAATTTTGTTAAATAAATACCTTTTATTAAATAAATATCTGCCAGACTGGTAATTTGTCATCGCTTTAAATATACATCATATGTTTCAGTCTTCCGCCTCAAACCTTCCCGGTGATCTTACACCCCAAGCTTCACGTTCACGAACATCGTCCATCAGTTCCATGACAAGTGACAGCTCATTCTTCACAAATGTTAGCTTTCCCCAGCATCACTACTCTCTCCCATCGGACATGGAGTCCGAAATGGACGAGTCAGGAACAGATCTTAACACAGTCAGCAAAGAAGATCTTTATCATTATATACAGAAATATCAGAAGAGAGCCACCAGGTAAGATAATGAATGGTATTCACGGTAAACAGATAGCATGTAAACTGCAAGATTAGATATCTTTCTATTGCATAGGATAACTCCTTTTTAGTTGGGGCATCAGGAATATTTATGGTAGGGTTGGGGCGAGTATCCGAGTTCTCGGATAATCACAAATCAAAATGAAAAATCGAGTACGAATATTCGTCAGTCCAGGGATCGTGGATTGCGATTTTATTTGTTTATTATAAATTCGCTGTTTCTTACACTTTTAATGTCAACAAAAAAATCAATTTGTGTATGAATTATGCGATGTTTACCTAAAATAAAGACAGAAAGTAAACAAACATGCACCATGATGCTGAGCTAGGAAGTCATTAGTTTCGAAAAGGGAATCACTTTATCTTTATTGAGCGCTTGTTTTTTTAAGAAAATAAATAAATATTTTTAGTCGCTACGTATAGATCTATAATGAAGTGACATGTATTGAAGACTGTTTTATTTTTAAGAATCCAAAATTTGCGAAACGCAAGTTAATACGTCAGTGTGACATCGCCTGAAAAGGAGTTGCGCCAATATAAAATCCCACCAGCAAAATTTACTTCAAATTTTTAGAAATACTTGTCTTTTCATGTGATCATGGTGATTAGACAAGTTTGTTGTACCACCTGTATAAGTCAGTTCGCCGTGGCATGTTTTACGAACTGCTTTTTCCTCATTTTCATTGAAAGTAAATTTTGCTGGTGGAATTTTATATTGGCGCGACTCGTTTTCAACCTTTAAACCTAGTTTATATTTGCATTGCATATATGTTTAATGAAATTAATGTTTAGTATTGTTTTAAGGGGAAAAAAACATGTTTTCAGAACTAATGTTCATGTTTTTATGGGTGTCTTGATAACAAAAGATTTGTGGTTCGATTTGTGAATCGCAAGTGCTAAATCATGGATCAGATTGGATCGTCACTTATCCGACGATCCACACCCCTAATTTATGGACTTTATATTTAATGAAAAAATGAAAATAGTATAGCATTAATAAAGAAAGCTGTTATTTCTAGGGATAATTTTCATGTTTTTAATCATGTGTTTTACTGTCTTTCTTTTTAAATCAAATATACAATATGTAAAAAAAATCTTTAAATAAATTCAATACATAAATTATTCTTCATATAGCTAAACATGACCTCACAAATTATTCCAATTGTGAATTATTTCCTGTTAATATTAACTTTGTAAGCATGCACTATATTTTTCAGATATAAATCCAAATTTATGGAGCTTGTCACAGTATATAAAGATATGGTTCAGGAACGAGATAAGTTTAAAGTGAGTGCACTCTTTTGATATCAACCTAAAAATAATTTTTGGATTTTAAATTTAAACAAAATTTTTTTATGCCAACGAGCATATTTTAACTGCCTGTCTGCACACGCTACGGAAAATAGATATGAGGCCATTTTACTGTATTCAGAACAAAAAAGAACAGTAAGAGCTTGTTCCATATCACTAGAATAAGGTACCACTAGCCCTCTGTTAAGCAAAAGGAAATAGCTAAAGAAATGGCACTTATTCCAGCAGTCTGATGGACAATCAATTGTCTGTCTGTTTGTCCGTACGGCTTTTGAAAACTTGGATTACACATTTTGTCTGATGATGATTATTTGAAAAATAAAATGACAGTGCAAATCAAGCTGGTTAACAAATTTTCATAATCTCATCTACTTTCTAATTACAGTCTTCATAAGACTTATCAATGAGATGAAAGTTCTCTCCTTAATTAAAAATATTTGGGTTCTTTTCCAGCTTATTTAGGGATGCAAAAAGACTGTTGCTTTGAAAATAAGCACAACAGGTTGATGTTTATCTATTATGAATGATTATGCACTGCTATAACTGTTAAAGTTCATTTGTACTAGGGGATAACTTTGGAAAAAAACAACATTTGCTAAGGTCAAACATCTATGGAAACGGGAGTATTTATGAAATGCAATTCTTTCAGAACACACTAACACAATCTCAGGACCGGGCTTTCCGTCGTATATCAGAGTTGAAGGAACAGATACAACTAGATCAAAAAGCCAAAAAAGATCTGGAAGAAAATTATACATTTGTCATTGAAGAAAAACAGGAATTTATCAAGGTTTTGCAAAAACAAGTAAGTAATTATTTGATTTAATAGCTAATTTCACAAAAAGTTACTATATATATATACATGTATATATATAAAAGTATATACTTTTTCATTATTGGCAATGCAACTCAGAACGATACTGGGGAAAAAATTCATTCTGAAGGTACTTTTTGATTCTTTTTAATTTTGTTGGATATTCAAATACACAGAAACTGTGTATAAATGGCATCAGTGGGCATGTACATGTATCATTCAAATATCCATGTCAAATAAATTGTTAAAAAAAAGGCCCATTTAGGTCATGAGATTTCAGCATTTAATGGGAAAACGATCTGACATTTATACAAAATGTATTGTTTTATATTTTCAGGTTCTATTGTTAAAGGAAGGCAAGGATATTCCACCAGATTTACAAGAACAGATTCAAGCTGGTAAAGAGGCAACTCAGAGTGAATCTGAGCAGATAGCGGCACTGCAAGCCGAACTCAATTCTCATAAAGACAAGGTACTAATTTTTGTATATTTTCTCGTACTTTAAGGGCCGTATAATTTCTTTATTTTTGTAAGAGATGATTGATTATTGTGTGTAGATTTTTTTGTAATAATGTATTGATTAAAAGTACATTGGCACCCCATGTTAATGCTGATGTCAGGTTCAAGGTCCAACCCCGGATATATACGAATTTTGAAAGTGATTTTAGGCTTGTTTTAGTTACTGACTCAGGTGTTTGAAAGACATAAAAATATTTAAGTTATAAAAATAAGTTTGCTTCATGTACAGTAAAATACTTAGTCAAGATTGTATAAGATTTGTAGGCCGGCCTAGGTCTGCAATAATGTCATTGTCCAGAAATTTCCTGTCATATATGATCAGCTTTCAAAGCTTTAACACTTACCCTGCTGGAATTAAAATTGATTAGCATATTTCAGCAGTATACTGGTCGGGGACCATCAACCGGACACTTTTTGAACATTTTTCCCTACAGATTTCATAATTTTTAACCTAGAGACCTAAAAATTTGACACAGTTCAGTTAGGTTCTTCTCCTAACTAACAAACTAGTTTGTTTATCCCTGAATGTCTTGACACTTATATCTGAGGCTCGACAAGGAGGGTATCAAAATTACCTAAATTGTCTACACTACAGTACCATGTGTCCGGACGGATATGTACATAACGTGATTTAATTCAGATAAAAGATTGGGTGTTTTGATTTTTATGCCACCGCAGCATCTGCGATGCGGTGGCATATAGCGATTCACCTGTGTGTGTGTGTGTTTGTTTGTGTGTGTGTGTGTTATATAGATTATATAGTGAACTTAAAAAATCTTCTTGTGAAAAACCAGTAGTCCAATTTCAACCAAACTTGGCAGGATTGATCCTTGGGTGAAGGGCTTCCAAAGTTGTTCAAAGAATTTCATTCCATGCAGAAATCTGGTTGCCATGGCAACCAAAAGGAATTATAAGAACAAATTTAAAAAATCTTCTTGTAAAGACCCAAAAGGCCTAGAGCTTAGATATTTTGCATAAGGCATTGTCTGGTAGACCTCTACCAACATTGTTCAAATTATAGCCCTGGGGTCAAAATAGGCCCCGCCCCGGGTCATTGTTATATAGATTATATAGTGAACGTAAAAAATCTTCTTGTGAATAAGCAATAGTCCAATTTCAACCAAACTTGGCAGGATTGATCCTTGGGTGAAGGGCTTCCAAAGTTGTTCAAAGAATTTCATTCCATGCAGAAATCTGGTTGCCATGGCAACCAAAAGGAATTATAAGAATAAATTTAAAAAATCTTCTTGTAAAGACCCAAAAGGCCTAGAGCTTAGATATTTTGCATAAGGCATTGTCTGGTAGACCTCTACCAAGATTGTTCAAATTATAGCCCTAGGGTCAAAATCGGCCCTGCCCCGGGGTCATTGATTTTCACTATATGTACATATAGTAAAAACTTAAAATACCTTATTGTAAAGACCCAAATGGCCTAGAGCTCAGATATTTTGCATAAGGCATTGCCTGGTAGACCTCTACCAAGATTGTTCAAATTTTAGCCCTAGGGTCAAAATCGGCCCCGCCCCGGGGGTCATTGATTTTCACTATATGTACATATAGTAAAAACTTTAAATACCTACTTGTAAAGACCCAAAAGGCCTAGAGCATAAGGCATTGTGTTGTAGACCTCTACCCAGATTGTTCAAATTATAGCCCTGGGGTCAAAATCGGCCCCTGCCCGGGGGTCATTGGTTTTCGTTATATGTATATAGTAAAAACTTTAAAAAAAATTCTTCTAGCAATTGACAAATGCTAGAGGTTAGATATTTTGCATGAAACATTGTGTAGTGAACCTCTAGCAAGATTGTTCAAATTATAGCCCTGGGGTCAAAATTGCCCCCGCCCCGGGGGTCATTGATTTTCAATATATACATATAGTAAAAAATAAAAAAATCTTATTGTCTGTAGGTACAAGGTACAAGGCTTCAAAAACTTAAAATACCTTCTTGTAAATGCCCAAAGGGCCTAGAGCTTAGGTATTAATGCGGTGGCATAGCATTTTTCTCAAATGCAATCTTGTTGATTTTTAACATGATATACAATATGTCGGCAACAAATGCTGAAGTTTTGGATATTCTATTGTTTACTCTGCAAATGATTAAAGCTGGTATATGAGGTCAGGCATTGCTTTCTTGACCTCCAAATTTCAACGTCAACATTCTTGAAATAGACGCATTTAGATATGGCCATTTACAGGGGTTGAAATAAATTTATTTACCTAATTTTAGAAGAAACATGCATTTATTGTTGATAAAAAAGTAACTGACAAGCACTGAACAAAGAAAATACTAAATTAAGCATTTTCTGGGCCGTCCGGGTTTGATGGTTGTCCGGTTTTGGTGGTCCCCGACCAGTAGAGTCAGGCCATTGTGCACTACCATGCAGTTTGACCAGCTCCTATGCTGTTCAACGTGTTGGTTGGTCAATTTTTGTTTTCTGTAAATCCATGAATTGACTGGTAAAAAAAATTCAATTCCAGCTCATCAGGTTACAGATTAATATACTTGATCTTGTACAAAATTTCAGCTGAAACATCAAGATAGTTTACTACAGAGATGTAAGGAGATAATTAAATCAAGTAAGGATAAATATTCGCAGTTATCAGAGGAGAAAATAGAAGTGGAAAAACAGCTTGAAGATACAAACATGGAACTTGTTAAATTAAAGGTATATATGTTTGCTGTAATTTGCACAATAGGTTGATGTCCAAAAATTCTAAATACATGGGGAAAAAAAACCCTGAAAAAATGCGTGGACGACTACCTATCTGTATAGGACTCCTCAGATTCTGTTAAGCAAATGTCAGATTATAATTTTTAGCTAAAATCTAGTATTTTAATGTTATCCTGTTTTTTATTATCATTATTTTGTACAAAATCAGAAAGTAAACATACATTGAACCTTCATCTATTGAATTGTGGAAAATTGATATATGATACAGTAGGAAATGAAAACAGTTTTCAAAAAAGCAGGACGCCACACCATGAGATTCAGAGTTATATTTTGAATAAAATACCCTTTTGATGGCAAGATTTGCTATTTGAATTTTTATCCAGGTGTTGTGTTTTATAATTTTAATGTTATTCTGTTGTTATAGGGAAGTGCTTCCCCGGACACTGTATCAAAACTTCAGAACCAGATAAAACAGGCTAGACAGGTGATAGAGCAGCTTGAGACTGATAGAGAGATTGCCATTGCTGAGGTATACAACTATTTGATTTAACTTTTTATGATAGACTTGTACACTGTATCATAGAGTTGAATTTGGCAATGCTTGTTGGTTTAAGGGGATTCAATATCAAAAGGGTGAAATTGTGAAGCCATTACGGTTTAACCTCCGTAAAGCAATTACCTCTGAAGAGCAATTACCTCTGTTTGAATTGTTACTCTGTACAGCATTTACTTCTGTTGAACAGTTTCCTCTGTAGAGCAATTACATCTTTACAACAACAGTTTCAGTTCTTCCCAAGTAAGACTTCAAAAGATATGAAATTTACCTATACAGAGCAACACCTGTCACCTTCAACCAAAATGTTTGTTCTCCCAAAAGGTGTTGGTTTGCAGAGGTTGTACTGTTGTATAGGGTCTAGTCTGATTGCATGAATTTAGGAACATATACATGTTTTTGTTATGCCCCCGCCATGTAATGGCCGGGGCATATAGTGTTACCCTGTTCCGTCATTCCATCCTTTCGTCATTCTGTCATTCCGTCATCATCAGTTTCCGTTCATTATCTTAAGAACGGTTGCACACATTCAACTCAAATTTGACATATGGATATGTCATGAGAAAATACATGTCAAGTTCGAATTTGGTCATGGTTCAATGATTTTTGGCAGAGTTATGCCCCTTTTACTTTGAAAATAATATGAAATTTTCAGTTTCCGTTCATTATCTCCTCAAAGGTACAACACATTCAACTCAAACTTGACATATGGATATGCATGAAAAAAATACAGGTCAAGTTTAAATTTAGTCATGGTTAGATGATTTTTTGCAGAGTTATGCCCCTTTTACTTTGAAAACAATATGAAATTTTCAGTGTCCGTTTATTATCTCCCCAATGGTTCAACACATTTAACCCAAATTTGACATATGGATATGTTTTTGAAATGCCCAGACCAAGTTCGAATTTGGTCATGGTTCAATGATTTTTGGTAGAGTAATGCCCCTTTCACTTTGAAAATAATATGAAATTTACAGTTTCTATTCATTATCTACCCAACAGTGTTACATATTCAACTTAAATTTGACATATGGAAATGTCAAAGGAATGGGCAGGTCAAGTTGGAATTTGGTCATTGTTTGATGATTTTTTGGCAGAGTTATGTCCCTTTCACTTTGAAAATAATATAGATACATCTTAGGAATAAGCAGTTTAAGTTTGAATTTGGTCGTGGTTCAATGATTTTAGACAAACTTATCTTTCCTGAATGTTGGAAAAATTTTGAACTTTCAGTTTCAGCACTCTTACTTTTAGCCATTATTTTGGCTACAAATATGCAATATGCTATTTTTAAAAGGTTAAGACTGAATAATTTCAGTGCCTTGAACATTGTATGAAAAAGGTTTGTGTTAACATTGAAAAGTTTTAAGGGCTTTGAACTTAAAATGAAAAAAATAATTAATGCACCATCTGAAATTTTGGCTGCATGCGGGGGCATCCGTGGCATGATGACACATTTCTAGTATTAAATAGTGGTTAAAAAATACTTATTGCGAAGTCATTGATGTTATTAGGTAAAGCAGCGAGTTCATGAAGAAATGGAAAGAAAAGATCAAGAAGTGTCAGAAATCCGTGCACAGACTCATGGTATGGTAGAAGAAAATAACAACCTGAAGGAAAAGATAGAAAAACTTGAAAAAACTTGTAAGTGTGTTTGTTTCATAAATATGTGTATTGAAAATTTACTCAGTAATCTGAAATTGATAATTGGTAACCTTTCTTTAATCTGCAGAGTATGTATAATAAGATATACCCAGCTTTGAATTTGGAACAGTTCATTCATTGTTTTATGGATTTCTATCTCAAATACTGAAACTAAGAATCCATATAGAGCCAAATTAGTGATCTGCAGGCTGGTCAGGATGTATACAAGTGACAAAGGCTAATATTTTCAGTTCCAGTGGTTTAGAGATAAGTAATGCCTTGATCTACTTAATTACAGCTACAGATCAGCTAGAAAAATCAAGGGAGATAATCAAGAGATTGAAGGATGACAGGAAGAGGTTGATAGATGAGTATGAGGAGAAGTTGCGTGGGAGAGAGGATCAAATGGAGACAGAGAAAGAAAAGTTGGTTCAGGAAATTTCTCGTGGCAAATCGGCTGCTATAACCCTTATGCAGGTTAGGGTATTTGTATAGTTTTACTAACTTGTAAAAAAGAAAATCCATATATTAGTGTTTTATATCAAAAACTGTTGTGACTCAGTGTTTTCATGCTTGGCCCAATTGTGAGAGTATTGCATTAATAATCCGAGGGGGGGGGTAGCATTTTTAATCCTCTGACAAATCATTATTTCTCTGTGACGTTTTAATATGTACATGGATTTTAATGGTGATATATCTCTCATCATTGATTTTGAAATCATGGGGAATTATTTGTCAGTCATTTAAAGAGAAAATCTTAAATAAAACTGGTTAGTTACACAGGAAAAGCCTGTATGGTAGATTAACAGCTAAGATATGACCAAAAATAATTAAAATCTGTCTTTAAAAAAAAGAAGAAAAAACCAAACAAAACATTTCTTTTTGTCTTGGCTTAAAGATTTAAGTGCTTGAATATGTTTTTTAGCTCGACTATTCGAAGAATATGAGAGCTATTGTAGTCGCCCCGGCGTCGGCGTCAGCGTCCGCGTCGGCGTCTGCGTTGGTTAAAGTTTTTTGTAAAGTCAAATATCTCAATTACTGCTTGAGATATTCAATTGAAACTTACAATACTTATTTATAGTAACAAGGTACATCAGATTGACAAGTTGGATAACTCTACCTACAATATTGACAGAATTATGCCCCTTTTTAACTTAGAAATTTTGGTTAAAGTTTTTTGTAAAGTCAAATATCTCAATTATTGTTTGAGATATTCAATTGAAACTTACAATACTTATTTATAGTAATAAGGTTCATCAGATTGACAAGTTGGATAACTCTGCCTACAATATTGACAGAATTATGCCCCTTTTTAACTTAGAAATTTTGGTTATAAGTTTTTTGTTAAGTCAAATATCTCAATTATTGCTTGAGATATTCAATTGAAACTTACAATACTTATTTATAGTAACAAGGTACATCAGATTGACAAGTTGGATAACTCTGCCTACAATATTGACAGAATTATGCCCCTTTGAAACTTACAAATTTTGGTTAAATATTTTTTGTTAAGTCAAATATCTCAATTATTGCTTGAGATATTCAATTGAAATTTACAACACATTTTTTATAGTAGCAATGTACATCATTTTGCAAAATTGCATAACTCTCTGCAATATTTGCAGAATTATTTGCCCCTTTGAAACTTAGAAATTTTGGTTAAAGGTTAAAGGTCTTCAAAGATATTTACTTGAAACTTTACACATGTACTTAGGGTCATAATTTGAGGGTCATAATTGTATGTCACTGACCAAGTTCCATAACTCTATGTTGCATTAAGGCTGATTCATATCCCCTTTTCTACTTAGTCTCTTGGTTAATGTTTACATGCAAGTTTTACATATCTCAATAACTATTAAAGATATTTATTTAAAACTTCACATATGCATTTAGGGTCAGAATTGTAGGTCACTGACAAAGATCCATAATTCAAACTTGCATTTAGGCTGATTTTTCTTCCCCTTTTCAACTTAGAAATTCGTGATAAAGTTTAGCTTGTAAGCTGTTATCTCCATAACTACTGAAGGGTTTGTGCCTTTTTTGGGACAATTTTATGCATTTATAATAATAAAGCAGTGATTTACTTGATAAAACATCTTAATAACAAGCCTTTGTACCTTTTCTGTCAAATTTATGTATTCAAAGGTAATTAGTATTATTATACTCAATAAAACACCCTAATGACATTACCTTCCAAATAGTCAAGCCAATACTATATAATTAGACTCTCTCTAAGGCCTATAACATGAATTTATAAAAAAATATTAGCCCTTTGGTGAACTTAGAAAATTTAACATTCTCAAGGCTCTTTTACTATCAAGCACTTAGAATAGTTGAGCGTGCTGTCCTACTGACAGCTCTTGTTATTTTATGTAATTTGATAGGAACAAGCCAATAAACAGAATGAAGAGAAAGTTAATGAAGCTCTGATTGAAAGAGATGAAGTCTGGCAGAAAAAAATGTCTGATCAGGAGATGGCACATCAAGAAATTGTTGTAACAAAGGTAAATTATGAAAGAAATAAGTTGCCTTTACAACAAGTCTTTTTAGATCTGTAGTACTAGTGTTGTTTTGTTTATTTAAAACTACCGGCACAACAAAGTAAAAAAAGATAACTTATTGGAAGTTTTATCTTATGGTAACTATATTCTGGAGCCATGATTTCAGAAGAATATTTTATAAAATTTGAAATTAATTCCTTATGTTATTCATTCTGAAAATAAACGGAAAACATGTGTAACTAAGAGAATAGCTGAATAGCTAGACATGTTTTGCAAAAATAAATTAAATCTATGTTGGTTAAGTAAGGGGTCGGGGGGTAATGAAAAAAAATGTGAAAATTGTGAAATTTATTGACATTCAGAAGAAGGGCTAGAAACAGATTTCGCAAGAAGGTGTATTAGGTAACAGTTTTCAAGAGGGGTTTTCAACATGAATATTTTATCACCTTAGTGCAGTAACGGGTAGGTAAACTTCTATTGAATCATTTAAGGAGTTTACCCGTTACTTCACTAAGGGTTATGATTTCTTTATCTGTTTTTATGTTTAATATTTTTTGTTGTAGGAGAGAGAACTTCAGCACTTGCAAGCCAGGTTTGATGAAACCGTTGAAAAACTGAAAAATGAGAAAGAATTATATATCAAGTCTGTACAAGATGAAACAAGGAGCAAATTACAGGTAATGATCCTCTTCCAGTATTGACATACTTGATATAGTAAAATGTTAAAATTTTGCGTAATTTTGAAAAATTTGTTTCACTTGGGTTTATGTGGCACTGTTCGAGGAAGATCTCAGAAGCCCATCTGAAATACTGTGAGCTAGGTTGGAACCAATGACTCGGCTTGACTTAACAATAAAAATATTAGCATATTGTCACTTTAACATTGACTGTTATATTTCAGGAGAAGGAGCAGGAGATGCAGTTAGCAATGGAAGAGAGAGACTTACACAAAATGGCCACTCTGTCACAGCAAGACACCCTGAGAGACGAACTTAATGTCCAGCTGGAAAATCTACAAAAGGTGTACTTTCTTATCTGTATAATTATGTAAATTACCAGCTTAAGATTGCGAGACATTAAGCTATTGTAAGTTCTAATAAACACGAATTTTTTGTACTGGTTTACTCTGAAATGTATGAAATGTGGACAAGTTTCGGTCACTTAGACTTACGCACAGCTAATAGGCTAAGGGTTGATTTAAGCTATATGTATATACCTCTTGTGTATTAAGGGTCTTGGTTTAAATGTTGCTGTATCATCTATATAATCAGTGGTGTTTCTCACTTCATTGGGAAGAGGCCTTGGCCTCTTGATTTTCAGAAAAAAATGTTACTGAAATTGCTTATTTGGGAAGTAAAAAAGCTGGTATAAGGTCAGATTTTTTCTATTGAAAAACTGCTTGATTTTTAAGAAAATTTTAAATGGCAGGAGGCATTTTATAAGCCTCTGTTATATAAGTTTAAAAATCACTGACAATGTCTGTTGACTCTATTATTTAGGTTGTTTAGGTCATTGCCTCTGAGCAAATGTGTAGTGGATAGCTCGTATGTCACAATCAAAATCAACATACATTTCTGTGTTGATTGCTTTGCCGTTACGGCCTGATTTTTGTTTTGTATTCAACAATGAAGAATGAATGAAAAAATATTTTTTTTATTGTAAAAAGGAAAAGTCTGAACTGGAAACATTGATACATCAGATGCAAGTTGAGGCTGACAACCAGAAACAAGAGTTTGAGAAGCAGATGACTGATCTACAAGAGAAGGCCAGTCAACAGGTGTCCGAGCTGACCACCGATCATGAGAGATATGTGGCCGAGATATTAACACAACATGAGAAGAGCATGAACGAGAAAACGGAGGATTTGATTGACAAACATGCCGCACAGATTGCTGATCTGATCCGTAAACATGATGATCAAATACATGTATGTTTATTTCATTGAGATTTATTTTAATTTATGCATATTGTCCAAGGCATTGTGACTAAAAAAAAATTGAGTTCTTTTAAAATTAAATCTTTCATAAATACATTTAGTGCTTTTGAGACAAGGAGGTTTGTAATATTGGAGTGCAGATCAGAGCACATTGGAGTCTTGCAAATTTCAGCATTTCCATTTTGTCTGTTAGACTTATGCCATATTAATTCCAAGGTCTAACCTTAACACATCATGCAACCTTGACCACATCAAAACCCCTTTACAACTTTAATACATAGTGCAACATTTACCACATTAAAACCCCTAACAACTGAACCATCCTGTGAATGCTTATTTGACTATAGTAAATACATCATAGTGATCCTTACTCAATCCTCATCTTTAAGTGTATACACCTATTTTTATTCCACTACTTGGGGGTGATGGGGCGTTCGGGCAAATAGATTTATCCTTGTCTGACCATCAAGCTGCACTGCATTCACGCTGTACATTTGTTGGTTGAGAAAAATTGGAATGTGGGGGCATCCATGTCCTATGGACATATTTCTAGTCTTATTTAAATCATTCTTGAAATTTTCACACTATTTTATTCATCCTTCAATTTTAGGGCTCGAATGCAGACCTTGAGAAATATTATAAAGAAGAAATGAACACATTAAAGACAAACTCAGAGAGAATGCTGATGGAGAAAAATCAACAAACAGAGAAACTAAACATTATGTTGAATCAACTTCGAGTATGTATTGTTTATATATTTCTGTTTTAAAAAATGGATTTTTATGCCACTGCAGCACTGCAGCATATGCGATATGTTGGCATATAGTGATTCACCTGTGTATGTATGTTTGTCTGTTTTATAGTTTATATAATGAACTTAAAAAATCTTCCTGTTTTCCTGGTTTTTATGCTGATTTTAACAAGTTTTTTGGTCATATCTCACCAGTTGATCCATTTACCAGTATTTCTTGATAACTAACCAGTAATTACCATTTTCTCAGCAATCAAGTGACAGGCTACTAATCCCACATTATTTCTGACTATGTGGTAACAGACAAATGATCATTCCACGTAAGAGATCAGTTGTGACAGAGAAATTTTTCCTGGTCTGAGGATCAAACCAGCAACTCCCTGAATTATTAAGAGTGGACAACAATTCAGACTTAAACTTTCAGTTGACATACCTGCTAGTTAGAAAATTTTTTTATTCTCCAGGATTATTAACCATATCTGTTGAATTTTTGTGATGGTCTTATCTGAAACAAGTTGACATTTTTTATATTAAATAAATTCTTATTAGATAACTATTTTTCTGAGGTCAGACATAAGAAATATTATTAAGCAAGTAAAAGTAATTTTACATATGTGATTCAGGTGAACTTCATATCACCACAATATGTTTATAGATAGGGAGATATTATTCCTATTACATTCTATGAGTTTTATTGACATAGATATTTGTTTATCATATTCAAGAGTAAAAAATATATATGAAAAGCTATGAAAATGCGTTGGTTTTAAACTGTTACTTTTATCAGTATTGTTTTGTGTTAGCATTTTAAAACTGAATTCAAACACAGTAGATGTCATTCATTGGTTTAAAATTTCAGTCTGACTTGTCATTGAAAGAGCAAGAGTTGGAACAAAGAAGCCTGGAGTTCCGAGACAAGATGGATGAGACAAATAAAAACTTCAAGGAGAGAATGGAAATCTGTGACAAACTGCAGACTGAGCTAGACAAGGTTTGTCTTATGATAGATAAATGGTTCATGGGCGAGAGGTTAAGGTCATTGACTTCAAACCACATGCCCCATACTGCTTTAGATCCTTTTATGTGAGGAAGCTATCCAGCTAGCCTATATAACATCCGTGGTTCAACTTAGGTGCCTGTTTGTGCCTGAAATAATACACAGAAGGGCACCAGAGGTTTACCTCCACCATTTAAAGCTGGAATGTCACCATATGATCTGTACTGTGTTGGTGCAATGTTTAACCCAACCAAAAAAAATTTTTTTTTAGATATCACAGTCTATCATTTGATTAGATAGAGGATATTGAAAACAGCAACCCGAGGATGAGTATTTGGAATGAGCATTGGCAAGCTCTAGGCATTTGGACTCCTCACTTAAAACATGAAAGATATTATTAATTTCAACTCCATGGACTGTCTAACAGGCTTACACTTACTTTTCATAGTATTTTGAAAATGACAAGTGGATACTGCTTATGTTTAGGAATTCATAAAGAAGTGATGCAAGTTAAATATGAGATAAACCCATATGAAATAAGATTTTTTCTGCACTGCTATTTGTAGTTTCATTTAAGATTTTTTTTACCTGGGTAGTGAGAAACAATGGTTTTTAACATGGTGTTCAAACAAATGTCATTCTAATGAAGACTGGTGATTAAATTCCAGTAAAATGTTTTTAAGTCATAGTATATAGTCATAGTGTGTCAAAATGTTCATGAATACGTTAGACCTAAATTCTTTATTGATATTTTAAAGGTGAGAGAAGAGTATGAGTGTAACAAGTCTATGATGGAGAAAGAATTAGAGGAGCTCAGAGGAAAAGTGTCCAATATGGCAGAATCCAAGGAAACGAAGGACGCAGAAAACACTGAGATAAAACGCCAGATGGAAGAGCTGTCTGAACAACTGTCCTCTGTTACAGAGACTAGGTATGTTTTATTGTAAACAATAATGAGGGAATATATCAACTGTCATAGCATTGTTTTGATAGTATCAATATTTAATTATCATTTTAAGTTATATTGAAATCAATACAGGGTAAATAAAGTTACAGAATTGTTAATTTGATTTATAAATGGTATTTCTTTGGGGGAAAATAGCTATTCAAAATGTCAAACAAGATGCACAGTACCAAAATGACTATATAATTTAGTTCTGATGTTCTGATTGCTCAGAATCAGAGATGATACTTTCTTGTATGTAAGATGTGTAAGCTATAGGGAGGAACATTTTTCCTCTGATAAAGTGCCTGAAATAATGCACGGAGGGGCACCTGAGGTCTTCCTCCACCAGTAAAGCTGGAACGTCGCCATATGACCTATACTGTGTCGATGTGACGTAAAACCCAAAGCAAACATAAAGATTTAATTTAATAGATGACAGCAATATGGTAAACAAAAACTTGTCACCACATTGAATAATAAGCATGCCTTTAAGTGTTATGTAATGGTTTATTATTGATTATTAGAAATGGTTTGGAAATAGAGAATGGTGAACTTAAGTCTCAGCTTGAACGACTAAACAAGGAGGTGACGGAGAAATATGAAAGCGCTGATGGTAAAGTTAAAGAACTCCTACAACAGGTTGGTAAATCACTGAATGATGACTTTGAATTTAAGAATCTTATAATACACGCTTGTTATGAATGCCCAAAGTTTAGAAGCCTGTCAGAATGGTTAAGGTCATTGACTTTAAATCACTTGCCCCTTAAAGCAGTAGGTTTGAATCTGCCTTAGACTTGGATTCATTCATGATAGAAAACTATCAAGTTAGCTTACAGAATGTCGATGGTTCTTCTCAGGTGCCTGTTTATGTTGCATGTTTTGATTGACAATTTCATTGACATCATTATGTCTTGGTGACATAATGTGTTGACCTGAAAAACATATTACTTTTGTACAGAATCCAGGAACACTAATGCTAGTATTAAGCTGAAATACAGTTAATCTAACTCTCAATCCAGCTAGACAGACAATCATAAAGAAGATTGTTTACCCAATCATAAAATATAATATAACGAATATATTGAAAAATCATATGAAATAACTTGTAGGCCTCTTAAACTATGATTTTTCTGTGTACAATATTTAGAAAGAATTTTTTTTTAAGTTTTGAGATTTTCATGCCATATTTGTTCATCCATCCGACGAAATAGGAAAATGTATGTAGTGTATCCAATATACCAAGGCTTTATTGTTCTACAAAGATATTTTGTGCTTAATTTGTCTTGAGGAATAATGCTGTACCAGCTTAATGGTTCTTGATAAGAATTATGTATATATTTGGCAATCTCATGTCCTGTGGACACATTTAGATTTATTTTATATCATTTAAGCCATCATGTTTATTAGTGACTGTGCCAATAACTCTAGGGAGTTAATATCAAATTTCTTTTTAGTATTTTTTCTTGTATAAATGGTCTTAGAGCTCTTCCCATTTTAAAGAAGTCTTATGATAGTAATGATTTTACTTATTGAACAGGTGAATGATCTTGAGTCACAGAAGATGGATCTTGCACAGGAAAAACAAAGAATACATGATGAAAATAATGAAAGTTTGAAGAAAATCGCTGAGTTAGAATCAATAATTTCAGAAAAAGACAGTGAAATTGGAAAATTAGGTGAAAAAATATCAGAGCATATTACTGAACTTGAAAATTTGAGGACAGAAGGTCAAAAACACCTGAAAGATATTGAAAATATGAAATCTGAACTTGATTCTAAAGACTCTGAGATAAAGAAACTTACTGAAGATTTAGAAAATGAGATTAAAAACAACAAGGAAACAATTCGTGTAAAAGATGAAAATATTGCTGAGAAATGCCAGGAATTGGAAAGGGAAAAAGAACTTAGAATTGAAGAACAGAAAGCGTTAGAAGAAAGTTTTAAGACTAAGTTTCAAGAAAAACAGACACAATATAAAGAGAACTTTAAAAAGATGAAAGAAAAGTTTCAAGAGAAGTTAAAAGAAAAAGATGATAGCTTTGAAACAAAGTTACAAGACATTATGAATGAGAAAGATACAGGTGCTCAAGATTTGACACAGAAGTTGGAAAGTCATTACCAGCAACAAATGACAGAACTAGAGGAGAGACATAAAAATGAAATGCAAAGCTCAACCAAAGACTTTGAAGAAACTATTGAAAAAATTCAGGCTGAACACCAAAAGCAGATTGAAAATTTGGAGGGAGACGCCAGTAAACTGAAAGAAAATGCTGAACATATGAGGAGCAGCCTTGAAGGAGAATTAGAGGCTTTAAAAACCAGCGCTGAAAAAGTAAAAAGTGACTTGGAAAGTGAGATTAAATCATTCAAAGAACAGATTAATGTTTCAAATTCAAGAATTGAAGAGTTGGAGTTAAAGTGTTCAGGCTATGAAAAAGAAAAAGAAGAACTTTCTAAGAAACTTAGTGATGCAGAAAATGATACTGTGTCACAAGTTACAGAAGCTAGTCAAAGGTGTGAACATTTGAGTCAACAGCTGTATAGTGTCTCTGAAAAGCATGATACCGAAATTCAAGAGAAACAGGCAAAGATAACAGAGCTTTCAGCTACAGTGAATAACTTACAAAGCACCAATGCCTCTCTTGAAGAAATGCTGAAAGAAGTGAATACCCAATGTCAGTCCAAAGATGACAGAATGTTGAGATTAACTGAGGACTATGAAAATAATTTGCAAAGTATAAAAACCGAATATCAGAACAAAGTTAACAGTATGGATAATGAAATAGAAGAGTTGAAGAAAAATAAAGATGAAAAAGAGAAAGATGTAAGTGAAATGAATGAGCAACATATGGCAGCTATTGAAGAATTGAAGCAAAGTCATGAGAAGAGAATTTCTGAGATGTTGTTGAATGATGAAGAATTGCAAACACACTTGAAAGTTTTGAATGAAAAGGTTACCGAGACAGAGCAGAAGTTACAAGATTGTATTGAGAATTATGAAAGGCAGCTGGATGATTATAGGGGTAAATTAGAAAGGCAAGGTCGTGCTTTGAGTGAGGAGAAGGAAGTTTTAGCAGCTCAGTTGCTGGATATGTCTCAACAGGCCCAACTGAAAACAGAAGAGCTTCAGACTCAATTAAATTCAAAACTGAGTGAAACTGAGCAAGTTGCCACTTTGAAACAGACATTAGAAAGTGAGAATGAAAGGTTCAAGGAAGAGATTCAGTCTTTAAAAACATTGCTAGAAGAAGAAAGAAACAAATTTGAAGAGTTAGATAATAAAGAAAAAGAGAAAGGTAGTAGGATTGAGGAATTGGAAACAACTTTAGCAGAAAGTGAAAAGTTGAAAATTGAATATTTAGAAAAAGTGAAGGAATTGGAAAATTCATTGAAAGATAAAGAAGAGGCTAATAAAGTGTCCTTAGAAGAGCTTGAAAAATCATGGCAGGAAAAAATGAAAGAAATGAAAGGGAAATTTATTGCAAAATTAAAAGAAATTCAGTCACAGGGTCAAGAAAAGGTGAAAGAATCAGAGGAAGCTTTAAGAGTGGAGAGAGAAGGAAGTGCAGAGAGATTAGGTATTGTAGTTAGGGAGAAAGAAGAAGTTTCATCAGAATTATCTCATGCTAATACAAAACTGTTACAGCTTGAACAAAGTAAAGAAACTATCCAAGAAATGGAACTTAAAATTAAAAACTTAGAAAATGATTTAGAAGAAAAGACTGAAAAATTAAAGCAATTAGAGGAAGAAAAAACTTCTTTAGATGTAAAATCTAAAGGTTTAGAGGAAAGTGTAACTGAAAAGGAAAAAGAAATTTATGATTTGAAATCAGAAAGAATAACTTTAAATTCTAGTATTGAGGCCTTGGAGGAGAAGGTTAAAAGTACTGAAGAAGAATTGTCTAATTTAGAATCTAGTATTTCTTCAGGGAAAAGTGAATATCAAATAATCTGTGATAAGAATAAGTCCTTAGAGGACACAGTGACTTCTTTAGAAGATGACTTAAGAAAGAAAAGTGAGGAAGTAATTCAGAAAGAATTGTTTATTGAAGAAAACTTAAAAAGCCTTAAAAGTGCAATAAGTGATTTAGAGTCTAACAAATTAGAATTAGAATCAAAGTGTAAGACCTTAGAGGAAAGTAATGAATTGTTGAAATCCAAATTAGACACATTAAAAGAAAAGGATGAAGTGCAAAAGGTTGAGACAGAAAAACTTTTACAATCAAGCAATTCAGAATTAGAATCAAAGAGTAAAACTTGGGAAAATGAAAGGGAATTGCTGCAATCTGAATTAAACAGTTTGAAGGAAAAAGAACAAGAATTGATAAAATCTCAAAAGGCAGAAATGGACAAACTAAAAGAGACTCTTGAAGCGGAAAGTGCAGAGAAAGTAGCTGAGTTTAAGAAGAAAGCAGAACTTTACATTACACAAGTTAAAAATAAATTAAAAACTGAAAAGGAATCCAGTTTGCAAAAGTTGCAAGATGATATAAATAAAAAAGAAACAGAGTTATCTGAATTGAAAACCTCAAAGGAAGAACTTGAAGAGAAAATGTCAAGATTATCAACTGAGCATGACAAAGAGGTCACTGAATTGAAGGAAGAATTGAATAAATCAATGGAAGAGAAGAATAGCTTTACACAAGAGCAGTTACAGAGATCTGAAGCCACACAAGGTGTTGTTGAACAGCTAAAAGCCACTCTTGATAGTCTGAAGACTGAGAAAAATGAACTTAATGAGAAATTGAAAACCATGACAGAAGAGAAAGAAAAACTTGATAGACTGTGTCAAGAGATTAAAGCTTCAAATGAAAAAGAACTGAAAAAGTCAGAAAAAGAGTACCAGTCTATGAAGATTGATAAAGATGAGGAGATTGATAACTTGGAAAGACAGTTAAAAGAAGAGGTAGAAAAGTCAGAGAATGTGAAGAAGGAAGTTGAACTTAAGCTGCAAGAGAAAGATAATGAGCATATGTGTAAAATAAAGGAATTAGCGAAGGAGTTTAACTCACAGATGCACGAGAAGGAGAAAGAATTTGAAGCTCAAATGTCAGAAATCATAGGTAAGAATATCTTTTTAAAGTACCATTTTACTATAAATATAAAACTTCAAATAAAACCATTGCTCCAGCAATTTGTAATCCAAGACTCCTTATGCCCAGGAAATAGGCAAGACCTTGAGTGTAAGACTGTCAAATCCCTGGTAAAATTTTAGTTCTACTGGGACATTCAAATTAATCAACCATAAATGTGTTTTAGGCTATATATCTTGGTAATTTTCGAATGAAACTGAGCAGTGTTCAAATAGAGGAAACACATTTTTCAAAAAAGACCAATTTTTCATGCTATTTCTAGCCTGTTAATTTGAAGGCTGGCAGAGTTTTATTTTTTAAATAACTGGTGCATAAAGCAAGACCTACAAGATATTTGATTTTTTCTTCTTCTTCAATGATTTTTTTTTTGCATTGATAAGCATTTGTTATTTTTCAAGGAACTCCTGATATTTAGATTTTCAAGACAACTCTTATAAAGTAAAGAAAGTTTAGTATAAAAAAAATCAGGGTATAATTGTTATAGAATTTTTAAGTTTACTTTTAATATGCAGGATGTATCTAATTAAAGTAATTTGCAATAACAAGCTTGACGTCATAGTTATGATCTGAAATAGCATGCTTGAAAAAGATTTTGACAAGCCAGAATTGTGTTAGATAAATGATACATGTGTAAAGAGGATATTCATGTCTTGTATATGATTATGGGATTTATTATCATTGAGTGATATAAAACTGAATATTACATGAGTGGCAGAATTAAGAAGAAATTAGTCAGGTAAGACACAATTGAAAATATGGAAAATGCGTTTTGCTGCTGTAAGAAATAAATTTTTTACAATGAAAATACAGAAAATGAAAATACGCATTTTATTTCATCAATATTTCTCAAAATTTTGTTTTATAAGTGTATAATAAATGTATATACTACATGTTGTAGAGAGAAGTAATAGAGAAGAAACCCAGAAGGACAGAGAGCAGTCTGAGTTACTGGCAGAAGCACAAAAAGATATATATGAGAGAGATGAGAAAATAGATGAATTGAAATTAGATTACGAGTCCAGATTAAAGGTATGGTTTTTTAGAAATTTTCTCAAGAGTTCACTTTTCTTCTTTTCCAGATATATGTAAAGCAGTGTGATACTTACGGGTGCATACTTCTGAAAGAGTGATCACAGTTTCACATATTCAGATTGTGAACATAGTTTCACACATTCAGATTCTACAAAAATATATCAAGTTCAACTCAAGAAATATTAAATATTAACAATCTATTTAACATTTGATACGTTTTGTGTAGAAAATTTGACCAAACTATTTTCAGGGGTAATATTTGCATATAATTGTAGGTATGTTCAAGAATTTGTAGAATATTTAACTTTATGATCACTTATGCCTGGAATACAAAGGTAACTACTCTCATGATAAAGTTAGAAAGTTGCAAGATGTTTGTCACAATTTTGGATGGAGCTCATCACAATATCTGATGGAAGTGACTACTCATCAAAACGAAACCAGAACAAGACGTGCCTTAAAAAAAACAAAAATAACAACAAATTAGATATAATTGATGTACATTTATGTAAATTTCTTGCACATCAGACAGGATTATCTACTGTTTACACTGGTTCTAGAAAAACCTGTCTTCATATAAAATATATCTAGCTTTCGGGTTCTGTTAAACTTGGCAGAACGTCGGAAACAGTTATACTCCAGCATGATATTCAGGTCTGTACCGGCAGCCAGTGTAAGATCCCTAGTTGTATTATAAATGTATAATAATATACATGATATAACAGGAAAAAGAAGCAGAGATGAAGCAGATTCAGACAGACAACAAGAAAATGATAACAGAGATACAACAAAGACATGAGATAGAGAAGATAGAACTACAGGACAAAATGAGACAGTCTCAGGTATGATTTTATTTTCTGTGTCATATTTTATACCACTAAATGTGATTCTGAAACTACATATATCTGCTCTTGTAATCGGAGGAGCAGTTGCCCTGTGGTTGAGGTGTCTGCCTCTCAGTCCGGGGATTGTGGGTTTGAGTCCTACTCAGGTTATTGGTCATGTTTCCTAATATGACACCACTCATACCAGTACTGGTCAGTCTGAGGTAGCAGACGCAAAAGTGATAAAAATAAGTTACAAGAACTTGTTCCGCAATCAAAGATGACATAAATATCTTTAAAATAAACTTGTACCTAGAAAAGAATTTTGGGGTTGTAGGGGAGCAGGCAACTAAATTTTGTACTTGCCTTTTTGTCATATTATTTGCCTACATGCTGTGTGTCTGTTGACAGAAAAAAATGTCAAATGCTGGGGGCATCACTGTCGTAAGGACACATAATTAAAGTGTTTTCTTGGAATTTATTGCAAAAATCATGGTATATTGTTAGAGAAATGTGATAGTCAGTATGTGTGAAATATCAGTATTTATGTTCTGTACATACTGAGATAGAAATGTTCAAATTAAATTTAAATGTGTGGCGCCATGCCAGAGTTGGTTAACATGTCAGACTAGTAATATAAGGATTGCTGGTTGCGTAGGTTCAAAACCTGTCAAGATCAAGCCTATATTTCTTTGAGTAAGAAATTATACATTCATCGCTTAGCATTAAGAGTGTTTCAATAAGTGTATAGCCTCCAACACAATAAAAATAAAAATGAATTTATATAAACTAAAATAAAATGAGATTGTCTTTCAATTTCTCTAAACTGTATGTACAGGAGAAAATGTTAAATGAGAAAGATGTAATGCATAAAGAAGAAGTGGACACGTTAACACAGGAGTGGAATATAGAGAGGAAGGTAGGTGATTTATATTGTACCCCACCCACTCTCTGTATGTACATGTGGCATGATGGTGTGAAGCTACGCTTCGCATTTTGTTGTGTTTGTCTAATGTGTTTCCTGTTTCTGTCTATACTGAGGTTTTATGTGGCTGTGTCCTAAATTCTTGAAAAACAAATTTTTAAAATTCTAGAACATTTTGTAATATTGTAAAAGCATTTTGGAAAATAGAAATAAGGAAAACTTTGTTTGATGAACATCATCATTGTTTTACTGATGTAGGGCATTATTTTCACAATAAGTGTATTACATGTGTTATACCTCCAACCAAAAAAAAAAAAAAGATAAGAAAAAATGAATTTTTTTATCTCGTCGAATATTATACAGGATTTTTTACTTTTTTGGTACCATTTCTTATTTTTCATTTTTTAGCTTGTCTGTTTAAAAAAAAAGACCAGCAGTTATAAACAATTTGGTGTTATTGTCATCATTTTACTGTTTACAGTTTATGAATTTTACAAAAATATTTTAATACATATATCTTGATAACCTTTAAATGATTACAAATGCAAGAACGAAAATTTTCAAACATAATTTTATTAAGGGCTTGGACAAAATTGGAATAGTAGACAGGAAGTAAGTACTCAAAGGATTGTTTTATATGATGTTTACTATGTAGCTTCAATGAAAAGATTTTAGATTTGAGACATAGCCCAGCCATTAAAGCCATGTGTTTTATGTCTTAATAATTTACTCTTAATGAATTTTTTTCTTTTAAATTTGTTTTGAATCAGGTAGAAATTTCTTTTAAAACTTTGTTATCTTTACATACAGGAAAGAAATACAAATACTTTTAATGTTATTTAGTTACGAAGAAAAATTATTTCATCAATATTTTAATAATTTAACTTCTATCATATTAAAAAAGCCTTATTTTCAAGATTTAGTTTCAAATAGTTTGACTTCTGATTGATTATTCAATCTGTTTTACAAAAAAAAGAATCAAATTATAATTTATGTTCTTGTGTTCTTTTGTATTCTGTATACTCAGTTATAAGGTCATCTAATAGAATATTTGATATTGATTGGATAGGGGTCTCTTCTTTTATGATTTATTCACTGATGACTTCAAATATCATAGACTACAGAATAATTACTTTATGCTTCAAAGTAGGTCTTCTATGTTGTAGGCAAGGTTTTTGAAGGCTGAAAATGCAGATTTTTTCTTTTGAATGCTTCGTCTGAAAATTTTTCAAAACATCCATACTTTTTATTAAACCAGTGCTTTTCTTGATGAACATCCTCAAAAAGTACTACATATACTCCTTAGATTCTTATATTATGATTTTCAGTTCAATTTTTTTTTTTATTTTTAGGACCGATTTCGTTTGTTCTGTACCATGCTCGAACTGAAAGTGATTAATCCGAAAATGATTAGTCCTTTCCACCAGTATAGAGCCAGGTAAGCCTGCATATCTGTGTAGTCTGACCAGGTTCTATACTGTTGGCTGACTAACTGTAAATTTTCATTTTTATTACGACTTATTCTAAAATGAAACCAGACCTCAAGTCACTCTTTTACAAAATTCCGCAGGTTAAGCTTTAAATATGACATTACTGTATACCTTATAGCTGAGTATCGAGACTTTGTCAGCATTGAATGTTGAAGATATTGTATTTATTGTGTTTGTAGTCCGTGCCATCTTTGTCAGCAGCACCAAGGCCTGTTCATTCAAACACCCAGGTATATTTTGTTTTCTCATTCTTTTACTCGTTCTAGGGTCATAGGGTCACACCAAAATTATCTAGTGCTCATTAGATTTGTTCGGTCAGCTCCTTGAGCTGTGCATTAGGATGAAATCTTTAATTTTAGAGCATTAAGTAGCATATAATTTGCTATCCACTTTCTAGCAGTTTTAACAAAAGGATGAAAGATGAAAATTTTACATTGTGTTATGCTCACTATTTCAGAATATAAGGGGAAAATCTAATGAACAATAAATCTTTTTGGTGTGTCTAAACCAATTTAAATCTTGAACAACCCCCACCCTATTCCTTCCTGATTTTTTATGGAAAATTGATCATTGAATGTCATTATTTCCTGTTATAAACTTGAAAATAGGAAACCAGTCTAAATTGCAAGCATCTAATTGGTTGATTTATTCAACAGATTTTAAATTGACCAATGGAGTTTCAGTTTAAGTGTGATTTTCAATTTTATGATCAGGGAATTGGATAAAAAAATTCAAGCTATATGTACAAGTCAGATGTTTTAAACATATGATATATGTTTCTTAGTTTGTAGTTATCTTTTAAGCCAAGAAAATGTTCACTGACAACATGTTACAAAATAAATACTTTATATTATTGAGTAATATAAAGTATTCATTCCTGAAAGGAATGTAGAAAAACTTAAACATTATCTGAATATGTAATTGTCTTTTAAATTCAATGTTTGATCAGTCATATAGCTTTGTTGTTTAATTTAACATTTTAGAATTCAATGATAACAAAATTGGTCCTGTTTTATAAAAATTTGGGAAAAATTCAGATTTTTCGGGGTTTTCTTCTTATATTTTTCATTTTACAGGTTTTACCCTAATTTTTAGCTTTGTTTTCTTATGTACACCCCTTTTCTTACTTTACTATTCTTGCATGCTTAAAAATTTTCAATTTTCGGGTAAATGGAAAATTGTACAATAATGTTTCAATGTGGCTGGCTCAATTTTGTCTTCTTCCCAGTGGCATGTATTCCCCTATGTACAGTAGATACATTTTGGACAGGAATCTAAAAATTTAAACTAGATTTAATATCAGAAAGGTGCCTCAGTGTCTTTTACTCAAGGAGTTGTGGGTTTTAGACCTATTTTGGGTCTTGACCATGTTATTTGATACAAAATCTAGATGCTGGTTAGTTCCTGAAAGTAGACTCAAGACTTAATCATATTCAGCCAAAGTTAAATACAACATGTTTTAAAATAAAAATTTCAGAAAATATTTTATTTTGAGGGTAGGTTGCAAGACCCTTGTATCTCATTTGTTACGTCTGTTTTGCTGACAGTCAAAGCTTTGAGCAATTGTCTGTTTAGGCATTGTCTTTTTAACGATCTCTTTACATGACTAGCTAGACATTAGATTCTCAAAGTAATTATAAAGTTACGAACAATATATGTACATGATCAAAAGCCAAGGGGGGCCAATGTTTTCCAAAATTTTTTTTTTAATACAGCATAGAGTTTTTTTCAACATTAAAACCCTAATTATTGGGTTTTTTTATGCTTGCCCGGGAAAAAAGTGAAATTTTGGGATTTTTGGGTACTGGGCCCAAAAACAGGAATTTTTAAAAAAAAATGACAAAAAAAGTTTAAGTGAAAAAAAACATTTAAATGCAAAAAAGTTTTGGAATGGTTTTGGGAAAAAAATTTTGATTATTTTATTCCTATATTGTCATTGTTGTTAGAAAGTTAGTTCCTATTATATTCCTTGAATACTTAGATATAAACCTAACTTTTCTTTCATTACAATATATGTCAATAGATCCCCTTCCCTATCAACAAAATATTTATGGATTTTATATTTTTACCCCACCCATAGATGAGTCCCAAGTAGATGTAAACATTTTATGCAGTAATGTTCATTTATTATCCCATAAATCTGTATACATTGCATTAATATTGTCAAAATGTTCTTTTAAAATGAACTTGATATAATCCTGTAAACCATGGAGGAAGAAAATAAAGACTTACTGAAAAAAAAAAAATAAGAACAATTATATTATCAAAATCATATATGCTTATTAAGGCACATTATGCCTCAGAAACTAAAAAAATATCGTTCTTTAGAAAGGGCAAATATTAGTTTTGTAACAGTAAAGATAGTTAAATGATTTAAGAGCATGTTGGATGCTGATCACCTGAAGAAAGTAGCGCTGAATTTGAAATTATTCATAATAAAAGTAGCAAAATGTAAACAAAGTAGTATTTTGACTTCTATACTTAAAACTAAATTACCTTTATTGTACTAGTTGCCAAAAAATTACAGAAACAAGATACGATTTGGGTTATTGATCAGTGAGTAACTTTTTTGAAACAATAACAGGACACTAGAAATGAAAAGCATAAATAAAAAAAGGCATACTGAGGCGTAATGGGCCTTTAATTAAATTAATAATGGAAGCTTGTGGTTTATAATATTTCAGGTCACAGAGTCTTAAAGTGGAAATTCATCATTCTTAACTTTGAAAACTTTCACAAGTATTTTAAAATATAAAATATTATTATTATTGTTATTAATGAACTAACACAGTTTGGGCTTCAAACCAGCACAGGGCTTCCATTAAGTTTCAAAATTTCGAAGTCAGAGACTGCAAAATCTCTGATTTTGGAAGTCAGATTATATAGGTAAAGAAGAAAAGTATTAGAGTAAATGACTCCCAAACTTCCATTAACAGAAGCTCTGCCAGCATGAGCACCTATTGTAATCTGACCTGTCTATTAATTGTTGGCTGCTCAAGTTTATTACTTTGATAATAAAATGAAAATTGAAAAAAAATAATGCAAGCATTTAAGAAACAGACCCATAATGTTTTGGTGTACATAAAATTATCATTGGCTATTATAGGAGTTGCTACATTACAACCAGTTAACCATGGATGCAGTACAGTCGGGGTTAGGGTCTGGTGACATGGGCCACCAGATGATTGCTCTAACCAAGCAAATTGAGGAACTGAAAGAAAAACACAGGTAAATTTTCTAATTAGAAATTAATTACCAGATTGAAATACCACTATCTGATTGGTTGAATGTTTCTCTAGATTTGAAATTGCGTTGGTGGCTTTAAATAGATAAATTTTACAAGACATAAAACATAATTGTTAAAAAGAACTTTTCCCCCATTTCTTACATACTATTTTGCACTCCTTACTTCTAAATAAAATATTCTATTTATTATCATAATAAATTTGAATTATATAACATGTAATTGTTTTGTTGTTTTCTTTTTTTCTAATGATGCAAAACCAAATGTTTATTCAATGACACAATGAATTTTCAATGAGCAGTCATTTTGTTTGTGTTAAATAAATCATAAATGTGTAACATTAGTCATAAAGTTATTCATAGGTCAGAAATCATTTTCATTCCCTTTCAGACTTGAAATAGCTGAGTTGAAAGGTCAACAGGATATGAAAAAGGCATACCTACCTCAACCATTGATTGCGTCCCCTGATGGCATGTCGGGTTTTACCGAGGACAATTCAGAATTGCAGATTATGAATTTACAGGTTAATCACTCTTTGAAGCTACAAACCTATAAAACTCGTTAAAAAGAGCATGTTAGATTTATGAACTAATCAGTAAAGTATTGGTCACATGTATAAAGTGCCCCTTTGATCATTGTATTTAATAAATACTCAAGAGTGCTTCATGCTGTTTGCCGGGGAGGGCTTTTGTCCGTTTTCCTTTGCCAACCAGTATAGAGTGAGGTCAGACTGCACATCCATGCAGTCTGACCAGGCTCTATTACTGTTGGCAGCTCAATTTTTAGCTCACCTGTCACAAAGTGACAGGGTGAGCTTTTGTGATCGCTTTTCGTCCCGCGTCCGTCGTCCGTCCGGCGTCGGTCCGTAAACTTTTACTTTAAATGACATCTCCTCATAAACCACTAAGCCAATTTCATCCAAACTTCACAGGAATGTTCCTTTGGTGGTCACCTTTAAAAATTATTCAAAGAATTTAATTCCATGCAGAACTCTGGTTGCCATGGCAACCGAAAGAAAAAACTTTAAATATCTTCTTTTAAAAAACATAAGAGCTAGAGCTTAGATATTTAGCATGAAACATCTTCTAGTGAGTGTCTACCAAGTTTGTTCAAATCAAAGCCCTGGGGTCAAAATTGGCCCCGCCCCGGGGGGTCATTGATTTTCCCTATATGCATATAGTAAAAACTTAAAAAATCTTCTTTTACAGAACCCAAAGAGCTAGAGCTAAGATATTTAGCATGAAACATGTTCTTATGGGTGTCTACCAAGTTTGTTCAAATAAAAGCCCTGGGGTCAAAATTGGCCCCGCCCCGGGGGGTCATTGATTTTCCCTATATGCATATAGTAAAAACTTAAAAAACTTCTTTTAAAGAACCCAAAGAGTTAGAGCTAAGATATTTAGCATGAAACATGTTCTAATGGGTGTCTACCATGTTTGTTCAAATAAAAGCCCTGGGGTCAAAATTGGCCCCGCCCTGGGGGGTCATTGATTTTCCCTATATGCATATAGTAAAAACTTAAAAAATCTTCTTTTAAAGAACTCAAAGAGCTATGGCTAAGATATTGAGCATCAAACATGTTCTAATAGGTGTCTACCAAGTTTGTTCAAATAAAAGCCCTGGGGTCAAAATTGGCCCCGCCCCAGGGGGTCATTGTTTTTCCTATATGCATATAGTAAAAACTTAAAAAATCTTCTTTTAAAGAACCAAAAGAGTTAGAACTAAGATATTTAGCATGAAACATCTTCTAATAAGTGTCTACCAAATTTGTTCAAATAAAAGCCCTGGGGTCAAAATTGGCCACTCCCCGGGGGTCATTGATTTTCCCTATATGCATATAGTAAAGACTTAAAAAATCTTCTTTTAAAGAACTCAAAGAGCTATGGCTAAGATATTTAGCATCAAACATGTTCTAATAGGTGTCTATCAAGTTTGTTCAAATAAAAGCCCTGGGGTCAAAATTGGCACCGCCCCGGGGTTCATTGATTTTCCTTATATGTGTATAGCAAAAACTTAAAAAATCTTCTTTGAAAAAACCCAAATAGCTAGAGTTAAGATATTAAGCATGAAACATCTTTTAGTGAGTGTCTACAAAGTTTGTTCAAATAAAAGACCTGGGGTCAAAATTGGCCCCGCCCCGGGGGTCATTGATTTTCCTTATATGTGTATAGCAAAAACTTAAAATCTTCTTTGAAAAAAACCCAAATAGCTAGAGTTTAGATATTAAGCATGAAACATCTTCTAGTAAGTGTCTACAAAGTTTGTTCAAATAAAAGCCCTGGGGTCAAGACTGGCCCGGCCCCAGGGTTGTCATTGTTTTTAACTATATGTGTATAGTAAAAACTTAAAAAAAAATCTTCTCTTAAAAAGCCCAATGAGGTAGAGCTTAGATGTTTAGCATGAAACATCTTCTTATGGGTGTCTACCAAGTTTGTGAAAAAAAAAGCCCTTGGGTTAAATTGGCCCTGCAACGTTGGGGGGGGGTGGGGGTTGAGGGGGTCTTATATACAGGTGAGCGACCTCAGGGCCATCATGGCCCTCTTGTTGTATATTGATATCAAAATCCCTTAAACTTTGAATGGACTGTCTAGCAGGGTGAGGGTTGTGATAAAATCCCCATTTATATTGTGTTTATTTTTAATTTCATTACAGGGCCAGGTGTCACAACTGCAAGGAGAATTAGCCAAGAGCAAACTTCGAGAGAAAGAACTTATAAATAAGGTAATTAGATACTGTGAAATCATCATTATTCGTGGGGCACGAATTTTCGTGGTTTTCGTGGATAGGTCAATCCACGAATTTAAGACCCGACGAAATTTTATCCCAACAAACGCTTCTTACCATGTCTCTGTTCCATATATCACAACATGCGTCGGCGCTTTTCCGGCCGATATTTGTGGTATGAATGTATATTCTAATCAGGTCAGTGACAAATTAAATCCATAAATAGTTTAATTTTGCAATATTTAAGAAACTTGAAAGAAAGATCGATTGTATGTCTTCAGTTTGCTGTCACAAATGTTCGTCGCATGTAAACATCAAGGGACTACTTGATCGTTGTAGGCTACTTGATTGTGTTAGCCAGAATACGTGACATAATCGAGTAAATATGGGAACCAAGTGCATTAATTATCCCCGATAAAACTTTTAACGACTCGTGTTTATATGATCCATTTAAATTTTTTTTTTCAATATGTATTTGTGTGACTGCTATTCCGAAAATATCAAAGAAGCCGTCGTCTTTACACTAGATGCACACATACATGTATGTAACTGTATTGAGCCATTTACTGGTATTAATTTATATGCATATAAATTTACACAGTCGATGTGATGTAGTGTGTAGTTTTGGACTAATTCGGGGTGTTAACTTTTTTACTGGCTGGTTAAAAATTGGCAGATGTCGTATGATTTATGCGATGTTTACATTGGCGAATTATAGGGGCATATAATGGAGCTGCATATCATGTCACACAAAGGTGTTAATTGCAGTCAATTATCGGCAGTAATTGTGTTACTGCCATAGGCCAGGATTAAATTTATTGACAAGAGCTGTGTTATATACACGGGGTAAGTAAAACAGCGCAGTGATTAAGTGAAAGATTACTTTACATTACTTATTTTTTTCTTTACAAGAAAATGAAAATCCACGAATTTAAGAACCCACGAAAATGCCTGTTTTGATAAAACCACGAAATTTCATGCCCACGAATACAAATGATTTCACAGTAATCTTAATTATAAACATTTATAAGATAATTTCCTAATAAAGATTATAGGCTAACAAAATATACACACAAAAAATAAATTAAAATTATCTTGTTCAATTTCTGAGCAATGTTAAATCTTTAAGCTATGTAAATGTCATTTATATAAGATACTTCTTTAGATTTTGGTTGAATTATTGGTCAGTCACAACGGTTTTTGGGCAATTTCAAAAGAATGGAAAGTGATATTGTAATGCATATAGATTCCTGACCTGACTAATTCAAATTATCAAATTAGGTGATACAATAAGAATTTCACCACAACATATTTGTTAACAAAAGAGCACATGTCAATACAGTCAAACGTGTATTAAGCGACCGGGCAAGGGAAACACCAAAAACGGTCGCTTAATGAAACGGTCTCTTATGACAGTCAGCATGATATGAAAGTCAAAATTTATAAATGACATCTTTTTTATTCGATGGGATTGTTTTTCAACTTCATTTTTATATAAATGTTGAATAATAAGTACGCTCCGACAATCTAAACGGATGCAAATGTAAAAATAACGTTCTGATATTTATTGACAAAACAGTTTTGATCCCTTACGTACATGTTTGACATTTTTTCCAGAATTTTTTAACTTCTCCGATGTTTTTCCTTGTCTCCAACACGAAAACCCTATTAGTGAAGATGTTTTCTGTTGTGCATTTTTTTTCATTTGAAATAAACAAACTACATCTATTTGTTACGATTAATTTAATGGCTGATCAAGTTCAAGGTCAATTCAATGCAGTCTAAATGTCAACAAGCGAAGCGTATACACCATCTCAGTATGGGCGGAGCGTTGCATTGTTTATCCGATATTATTGGATAATACACGTCACGCGTATACTAAACTTCATTTGCATACGCTTAAACGGTATGGGAAATAGAGTTTTTCACACGTTTATTGTTGTGTTTTGATTGCTGACACTTGTGACATAACGAGGTGGCGTTCTCTAAAAACACAATTACTTGACAGGTAAAAGTGGTCGTTTAATGAAAAGATTAATGTCAATTAGGTGACTAATTAGCGGTCGCTGGTCGCGTTGAGCAAAAGTCGCTTAATACATTAAAGATATAGAGAGAAAATGATCGGGGGGAATTTAGAGTGGTCGTTTAAGACAAAAGTCGCTTAATACACGTGGTCGCATGGGCAAGTTAGACTGTATTTATGGTTAAATCTATTGTTAATTTAAATAAAAGGTCAGAGTTGATATCTATCAATATGAACTTATGTTGTAAAAAAGGAAAAGAAATAAGTTCAAATAACCAAAGTTTTTTGTATGTTATTGTTGAAAGTAATTGTTTATGTTATAGATGGATGACAGTGTACATTCCAACAGTTTTTCACATCACCCTCCAAGTCCGGGATATTTTACAGACGGTACACCTTCAGGCCCTCTTCTTACAGAACCAACACAACTTGAGGTAAGTTTATTTAAACAATAATTGTTTTACATTAAGTTTCTTTTACAAGTCGTAACATTCTCATATGAAATGATTTGGAAAAAAATTCAAAATCATATTTTCTTCCTATTCAGTATTATTTTTAGTGAAAATTTATGTTTGCAAATTTATATAGACAATAATTGTTGTAAATGAAATTTGAAAGACAAATTGATATAGACAAATTGATATATTGATATAGACAAATTGATATAGACAAATTGATATAGACAATACTTGTTTTACATTAAATTCCATTAACATGATTAACAAGTTGTAATATTCTAACATGGAATTTATTTTAAAGAAATTAAAAAATTACATTTATTCTCCTATTCAATATTATTCTTAGTGAAAATTGCGTTTCAAAGTGGGGAAACATAATGAATGCTGTAAATAAAATTTCACTGATGAAATATACAGCGCAAATATTTAGTAACATTCTCCATTAACTTACTAACAATATAATAGTGAGATATCAAATTGAAAGCATAATTATCTCAGTTGGTCATGTTGTCTACATTTGAGTGTTCTAAATGCCCAGACGGGTTACATGTATTGTTACATAAAGTGATTATAAAGCTATTTTTTTATATCATTTCAGTATTTACGGAACATATTATACATGTATATGATGGGTAAGCAGACAAAGACGTTATCTCGTGTGATCGGCACGGTCGTTCAGTTTACAGACGATCAGATGAAGCAGATCATAGCTAAAGAGGATAAAGCTGTGAGTATTTAAATGAGCAGCGTCACGACAAAACCAACATAGTGCGTTTGCGACCAGCATGGATCCAGACCAGCCTGCGCATCTGCGCAGTCTGATCAGGATCCATGCTGTTCGCTATCAGTTTCTGTACTTGTAATAGGGTTGGTAAGCGAACAGCATGGATCCTGATCAGACTGCGCGGATGCACAGGCTGGTCTGGATCCATGCTGGTTGCAAACCCATTATGTTGGTTTTGTCATGGCGTGGCTCAAATATTTTATATTATCTAATAGTTCAATAAAAACAAACATTTTTCTTAGCTTTCAACATTTTGTGTGTAAGTATTTGAATATTATATCTTATATAATCAGTTCAATAAAAATAAAAGCTTTTCATAGCTTTTGACATTTTGTCTTCTTCAGAAAAAAGGTTGATGTTTATAAAATAACACAATGTCCATTTAACTATATGCTGAACGGAATAAGATGTTAAAGTGGAAATAAAAGCTTTGTCAAATAAAGAAAGAATGTTTCAATTAAAACATTGCTACATGAGTACAGCAATATACAATACAATATACATAGAATATGGATCTACATATGTGATACAAAAAGTCTCATTATTAATAATAGTAAAAAACATTGATAAGAGAAAAACAAAATATATTTATACCAGCCCAATAAACTGCTTGTTTAATAGAATACCTGCCTGTCATATTAAGGCAGCCTACAATGCTGATTGGTCAAAGAAAAGCTTGTAACATAATTTAACCTCTCTTAGAATGACCCATTGATTACAGTTGCTAACTCCAAATACTCGCCCTATAGTATCTCTGACTCTAATCGTATCAAGAAGTTGTTTTCTTGAAGAAGAAACTTTATTAAACTCATTGCTTAGTACTGGTTGGTTCCAGGAACAGATTGCAAGAGTGTATCTATGAGCATATAGCTTCCAGCAAAATCGAACTTAAATTTTGTAAAAAGTAAACTAAAATCCAAAATGTGTTGAAAGTACATGTGTTGCTTAAACTCAGGTTAACAATATTACTTATGTAGATAATTATTAGGGAAAAGAAATTAAGTTTTTACCAAAATGTTTTTATAAAACTGTGGAGATATGTGCTTATTGTTTTTCTATGTTGTTTTTTCACAGCCTACCTGATGGTTAGATATTTGTTATTTTTACCCCATGCATGAATTTCTTATTTACAATTCTTCTTGTTATATTTTGGTTATGGCAGAGTTAAAAAAAAAGAAAAGTTTTGTTTAAGCATTTGTGTTTTGCATTGTGGTTATAGATACAGGACAGATTTTGAATAAGATTACTGTAAGATATGAGTGGTATAACATTCTGTTATAATCGTTAGCTGAATGAAGTTTTGTATTTAAAAGAAAGCTTTTGAAGGTAATTTGAATAGATAAGATGTATGATTGTAGCAAAGCTTTTGCACAGATATAATAATATAAAAGTTGTCCTTCTCACAAGAAAATTAAACTCCCTCCAAAAATGCAATAAATTTGATATTGCACTCGTAAATAGCTTTATGCATTATATGTATTTGCTTATAATCATTGATAGCATAGCCTTAAGATTGGACAAACCAGAAATGGAAAGGTTAATGGGATCTAGCCTCAAGGTTAAAATTTTTTCCAAGATCTCTCTCGGATTTCAGAATTTTTCATTGGTCAGCAGACTCCATGTGCTGGTTTCTGACCAATCTAATACCTGAGATTTTGAGTTTGAGCCTAGAAAATTTCTATATAAATCTGCCGGGCTAGGAGCTAAGGTCAAGGTTAACCTTTTATGAGTTATGGGCAGGTCAATATTATTCAAATTTTAAATGTCTAAAATTTTAACTTGGGCTCCTTGGAATTCTGTATGATCTTCTTTTGTTATGTATGATTTAGATAGAAATGAAACTTTATACACAGCTATAGATATTTTAAAAAGTTGAGTCAAGGTAAAATAAACAATGAAACCATACTTTTATGTTTGATTTTTTTTTCATCATTATTAATTCTAAGTTTATGTATATGGTGTTTGAACTCTTAACCTGCTTGCTGGTGGCAAGTGAATTTACCTTTGTGACCAGTGCAGATCATGATCTGCTACCACATCCATGCTGTACAATCATAGTCAGTGCAGTGTTTTGTATTTATAGAATGATTTTGTCTATTGTGGAAAATGGAAAAGTCCATTCAAGATATTTTCAATGTGGTAAGGGTTAAATGTATGGTGGTGGAAGGTTTCTGCAATATTTTTGGGCAAGATGTGTTGTACATATGATAAAAGCTGACTATTCCATTTTTTGTCCAAGCATGAACTTGACATGCTACAATTGTGTTAGTTACTAAAATATTTGTTCTTTTATTATGAAGAATTGTCTGAGAGAATTAAAGTATATCAAAAAATATGATCATAGTAAAAATGTAAAAAGTTAGGAAACTATTTCAAATATTCAATAGTACAATGAAATTTCTTCTTGAAGATATAAACTCTTGGTTTTAATAAAAAAAAAACTTTTTTAAGTATGACACACTGTTAAACAGTTGAGAAGTTCTGCAAGATATTAGATCTGTTTTGGAAGGCTACATTAAATGTCCTAGTACAAGTTAACATTGTGGTGTGTAAATATTGTAGTGTAAATGAAAATACATCTAACTCTCAACATTCCTGCCAAAAGAGTGATGACTCTATAGAAAGAGCATAATTTCTTGGCATAATCATGAAATATAAAAGGTACAGGCACTGCTAACAGAGCTGTAACATCAGCTTACAGATTTGAATACATTTGTGATATACAACGTACATATATTTACTTTTTGTTTTTTATAATTTCAGTCTTGGTTACTCAATTCTTAGCATCACCAGGTGGAACATTAGAGATTTTAAAAAATTGAAAGATGTTATAAAATGTATGGAGCCTGACATTGAAGCGTAGAGATAACTGGATACCTGAAGACTTACATGACGATTTTTTTATGTATTGAAGAAGAAACACATTTATGGTGGGATAAAATCCAGGATGCAGACTAGCTCATTAATTAATTGGTTGATTCTATGTACATTCATATCATATGTTAACAAACAGCATGCATTTGTGTTTATTATTTTAATAAAATGCAACTTGTTATTGATAAATGACATAGTTGAGACATTCATTAAATGTCATTAAAAAATGATAGGGTCCAGTACTTATGAATTTTACTAATTTGCCTTAACCTGTAGATTTTTAGGTTATTGCACAAGGATTAGTTTGGTGCCTTCAAAGATAAGTTCTTGTTAACCAGTTTGATATCCATGTGTTCTTTGTTTAACAATGTGTCATGTTTGTTAAATATATTTTGATGAGTCACTTCATAATAAAAAGCTAACAATGAAGCTCTTGGTAAAATTATGTTGACTTCATTGTTTTAACTGACATTTTACCAGAGTTCTGCTCATGCATAAATAACACACATGTAACATTTATCAATTTTGGTCTGTTGAGGATGGTTTTATATTTAAACTGTATCGGGGTCTGTGTAACTGAAGTGCTTAGACCACCACCCCCCTAATAATATTCCAAATATATATAATTACTGATAGCAGACAAAGCCCTGCTTGCCATTTCTCTGTATTTAGTTTACAGTATCAGTGGAAACTTTATTAACATTTTACTTTTATTGACAGAAGTTGCAAAATATAAAGAATAGGTGTTAGGGTATTGAATTACTACTATATTAGTATTGTAATATTTTGGTGCACTTTAAGCATAGTGTAAGTTAATCATTGTCAATACCTATAGTTTACACAATATTGATAAAGTGAAGGTTAGAAAGTTGTGCAAAAAATGTGTTCTGTGTAGTGAAGTTTTTATTTTGAATAGTAAAACCAAACAAGATTGAGTTTAATTGTATAAATTTGTTTTGCTTTATGAAATAGCTTAGTTAAAATATACCTGTATATTAATTATTTTTTGCTTTGTTGAAATTACACTGTATTTTATTTCATATTCTTGTTTGCTTGGCTGTATAAAATTTGCATTAGAAATTTGCCTGTAAATAAGTATTATTTATTATGAAAGAAAAATGTATTTATTATATTTTTGTACCTTGTGCAAGTAAAAATAATAGTCATTTATATACTTAACCTTCTTGTAAGTGCTTTAACACTTAATGCCAACCTATGTTAGGTCTTGTGTGCAGCAGTTGCAGCTTTATTGTTGGTATCTGCCTCTTTACATAGGTACAATGTTGGAACTATATTTGGATAACAATCGTTTTTCCTCACTTGACCACCAGTACTGATTAATCTATGCAGTATTGAGACTGCTAATGTATATAAGTTAGGAGAATGTTATGGGAATATAAACTTGTTATGAGAAGATGAAAAACGTTATGAGAGTATCAGTTAGTTATTACAGTAGAATAAAGTTATGAGAGAAAAAAATTCAGTTATGAGAGAGTAAGTTAGTTATTACAGTAGAATAAAGGTATGAGAGAAAAAAATTCAGTTATGAGAGAGTAAGTTAGTTATTACAGTAGAATAAAGGTATGAGAGAAAAAAATTCAGTTATGAGAGAGTAAGTTAGTTATCAGAATAGGAGTTAGTATTGTGAAATTGTTTGCACAATCAAGCTAAAATATATATGCTTAAACTGCACTCCAAATACAAAAAATACCCCAAAACACGTCATGCTTTTGTAAGAGATATTCTATATACGAGTTAATAAATTATATCCCAACAACCTTTATGTTGTTCATAAAAATGCTTATTGAAATAAATGAATTATGTGCATTATGATAAATGTTAATCAGCAGAAAAATGCATATCGTCCTTGATGAATTTGTAATGGTAACATTGGCCACCTATTATTAATAATATTTGCAATGAAACAGTGCAATTTTTTTTCAATTTTCTACCAGTAACGATTATTTTTTTCACATCTAAGTGTATTGAAACACAACCTATTCTTTATTGAAGTATGCATTTTATTTTCATCATCTTGTTACATTAAGTTGGATGATTTTATTTGTTTCACAGGGTGTTCACTTCTGTCATCTAGGTCAATATGAACAAATATTTAGAAAATTAAATTATGATTTTTTAAAGGTTGTAAGTTGGTGGTATTTTGAAAATGGTGCTGAGATGTTTTTTTGTTGTCACTTTATTAAGTAATATATATAATATATACGCAGGGAATCGAACCACAGGTCTCTGGATGGCCAGTCCAGTATGCTAACCGCTTCACCCAAGTGGTTCAAGTCCCGGCTGTAGCATGCCGATTATGTGTGTGATTTTTCTTTCTTTCATTTATATATATAAAGCAAGTTAGGCGTTAAAAAATGTCTTAACCCTTAACAGTGCCTAAACAAAAAATGTTAAGTACCAGCCATTATAGAGCCAGGCCAAGCAATACATGCCCTTCAGTCTGACCTGGCTATTATACTGTTTGCTTACCAGTCTTTAAATTTTTAGCTCGACTATTCAAAGAATATGAGAGCTATTGTAGTCGCCCTGGCGTCGGCGTCCGCGTCCGCGTCGGCGTTGGTTAAAGTTTTTTATAAAGACAAATATCTCAATTATTGTTTGAGATATTCAATTGAAACTTACAATACTTATTTATAGTAATAAGGTACATCAGATTGACAAGTTGGATAACTCTGCCTACAATATTGACAGAATTATGCCCCTTTTTAACTTAGAAATTTTGGTTAAAGTTTTTGTAAAGACAAATATCTCAATTATTGCTTGAGATATTCAATTGAAACTTACAATACTTATTTATAGTAACAAAGTACATCAGATTGACAAGTTGGATAACTCTGCGTACAATATTGACAGAATTATGCCCCTTTGAAACTTAGAAATTTTGGTTAAAGTTTTTTTGTAAAGTCAAATATCTCAATTATTGCTTGAGATATTCATTTTAAATTTACAATACTTTTTTATAGTAACAATGTACATCATTTTGCTAAATTGCATATATCTGTCTGCAATATTTGCAGAATTATTTGCCCCTTTGAAACTTAGAGATTTTGGTTAAAGTTTAAAGGTCTTCAAAGATATTTACTTGAAACTTTACACATGTACTTAGGGTTATAATTTGAGGGTCATAATTGTATGTCACTGACCAAGTTCCATAACTCTATCTTACATTAAGGCTGATTCATATCCCCTTTTCTACTTAGTCTCTTGGTTAATGTTTACATGCAAGTTTTACATATCTCAATAACTATTAAAGATATTTATTTAAAACTTCACATATGCATTTAGGGTCAGAATTGTAGGTCACTGACAAAGATCCATAATTCTATCTTGCATTTAGGCTGATTTTTCTTCCCTTTTTCAACTTAAAAAATTCATGGTAAAGTTTTACTTGTAAGCTGTTATCTCCATAACTACTGAAGGGTTTGTGCCTTTTTTGGGACAATTTTATGCATTCGTAATAATAAAGCAGTGATTTACTTGATAAAACATCTTAATAACAAGCCTTTGTTTAATCAATTTTATTTATTCATAGGTAATTAGTATTATTATACTCAATAAAGCACCCTTGTGACATTACCTTCCAAATAGTCAAGCCATATGTTAACAAACAGCATGCATTTGTGTTTATTATTTTAATAAAATGCAATTGTTATTGATAAATGACATAGTTGAGACATTCATTAAATGTCATTAAAAAATGATAGGGTCCAGTACTTATGAATTTTACTAATTTGCCTTAACCTGTAGATTTTTAGGTTATTGCACAAAGATTAATTTGGTGCCTTCAAAAATAAGTTCTTGTTAACCACTTTGATATCCATGTGTTCTCTCTATTTTACACTATGTCATGTTTGTTAAATATATTTTGATGAGGCGCTTCATAATCAGTAGCTAACAATAAAGCTCTTGGTAAAATTATGTTGACTTCATTGTTTTAACTGACATTTTACCAGAGTTATGCTCATGCATAAATAACACACATGTAACATTTATCAATTTTGGTCTGTTGAGGATGGTTTCATATTTAATCTGTATCGGGGTCTGTGGAACTGAAGTGCTTAGACCACCAACCCCCTCCTGATATTATACCGAATATATGTAATTACTGATAGCAGACAAAGCCCTGCTTGCCATATCTCTGTATTTAGTTTACAGTATCAGTGAAAAAAGTTTTTAGCATTTTACTTTTATTGACAGAAGTTACAAAATATAAAGAATAGGTGTTAGGGTATTGAATTACTACTATATTAGTATTGTAATATTTTGGTGCACTTTAAGCATAGTGTAAGTTAATCATTATCAATACCTACAGGTCACACAATATTGATAAAGTGAAGGTTAGAAAGTTGTGCTTAAAATGTGTTCTGTGTAGTGAAGTTTTTATTTTGAATAGTAAAACCAAACAAGATTGAGTTTAATTGTATAAATTTGTCTTGCTTTATGAAATACCTTAGTTAAAATATACCTGTATATTAAGTATTTTTTGCTTCGTTGAAATTACAATGTATTTTATTTTATATTCTTGTTTGCTCGACTGTATAAAATTTGCATTAGAAATTAACCTGTAAAAAAGTATTATTTATTTTGAAAGAAAAATGTATTTATTATATTTTTGTACCTTGTGCAAGTAAAAATAATAGTCATTTGTATACTTAACCTTCTTGTAAGTGCTTTAACACTTAATGCCAACCTATGTTAGGTCTTGTGTGCAGCAGTTGCAGCTTTATTGTTGGTATCTGCCTCTTTACATAGGTACAATGTTGGAACCATATTTGGATTACAGTCGTTTTTCCTCACTTGACCACCAGTACTGATTAATCTATGCAGTATTGAGACTGCTAATGTATATAAGTTAGGAGAATGTTATGGGAATATAAACTCGTTATGAGAAGATGAAAAACTTTATGAGAGTATCAGTTAGTTATTACAGTAGAATAATGTTATGAGAGAAAAAAATTCAGTTATGAGAGAGTAAGTTAGTTATGAGAATAGATGTAAGTTATCAGAATAGAAGTTAGTATTGTGAAATTGTTTGCACAATCAAGCTAAAATATTTATGCTTAAACTGCACTCCAAAAACAAAAAATACCCCAAAACACGTCATGCTTTTGTAAGAGATATTCTATATACGAGTTAATAAATTATATCCCAACAACCTTTATGTTGTTCATAAAAATGCTTATTGAAATAAATGAATTATGTGCATTATGATAAATTTTAATCAGAAGAAAAATGCATATCGTTCTTGATGAATTTGTAAAGGTAACATTGGCCACCTATTATTAATAATATTTGCAATGAAACAGTGAAAAATTTTTCAATTTTCTACCAGTAACGATTATTTTTTTCACATCTAAGTTTATTGAAACACAACCTATTCTTTATTGAAGTATGCTTATTCTTTTCATCATCTTGTTACATTAAGTTGGATGATTTCATTTGTTTCACAGAGTGTTCACTTTTGTCATCTAGGTCAATATGAATAAATATTTAGAAAATTAAATTATGATTTTTTAAAGGTTGTAAGTTGGTGGTATTTTTAAAATGGTGCTGAGATGTTTTTTTGTTGTCACTTTATTAAGTAATATATATAATATATACGCAGGGACTCAAACCACAGGTCTCTTGGATTGCCAGTCCAGTATGCTAACCACTTCACCACAGTGGTTCAGGTCCCGGCTGTAGCATGCTGATTTTGTGTGTGATTTTTCTGTGTATATAATTTCCTGCTCATGACTTTCTTTCTTTCATCATTTATATATATATATGTATATAAAGCAAGTTAGGCGTTAAAAATGTCTTTACCCTTAACAGTGCCTGAACAGAAACTGTAAAGTACCAGCCAGTATAGAGCCAGGCCAACCAATACATGCCCTTCAGTCTGATCTGGCTATTACACTGTTTGCTTACCAGTCTTTAAATTTTTATATAATATAAAACTCCCTAAAGTTTCAACATGTAAGTCTGGTATTGAAATTTAGTAGGGTAAGGGTCAATTTGACTTTATACCATGTTTCTTTTAGGCAACATTTAATACATTACTTGTTTTGTAATAAAGAATCTTGTTTGTTATTTTGTTAGAGACTTTATGATTTATTTAATGTTTATTTAGTTATGTAAGTATTACATTTTGCCTGGCATATTTTATATTGACCTGCGTTGAACCAGTGTTATATTACTACTAAGTATATTGGATATGTATTTATTGTTGCCTTTATATATATTGCTTAAGGAAGCTAAAACATTGTTATAAAATTATATATTAAACATTATTACATATGATTTGTTTCTTATTTTAATTTTATCATTTAAAGATTGCTTTATACTGTGTATTTAATTTTGCTCATTTTGCCAAAAAAAAAAATTATATATACATGTATCTGTTGAAAAAAAATGCATTTTATGGTCCACACTAGCTAAGATTTTCTGATATTAAAATGTAGTTTTTTTTATTGTTAACCACATTAAAGATAAATTCATTGATAAGTAACCCTTAACCTGTGTTAAATTTGTATAATTGATCTGCCCAGCTTTGGACTTGGAACAATCAATTCAAAGTGTAAAGGATCTTAATATCAAAATACAAAAGTTGAGCTACCTACAGTATAGAGCCTGGTCAGACTGCATGGATGCAAGTGCTGGCTGACAGGGGTTTATACTGGTGGCAAAGGATGATTTTGTTTCCAGCAGGTAAAAGGCTAAATATTGGTGAAATTATTAAGTTATCAAAGTTCTTATTGATATTAAACTGTTAAATGAAACAACAAAATTCACACATTACTGTTCATCTCAAACCATAATTATCATGAAGGCTATAATTGGAAGTTTACTTCTATATATTGATTAAAAATGTGATATCCCTTGAACTTGTTTTTGATATGTTAACCAATATTGGATTACTGATACCAAATTCAATTTCCTATTTAAATGTTTAGATAATTGATATCAGTAACGGACAACTGCATTCAGTAATTACAACTGGAGAAAATAAGTAAATGAAAACCAATTAGTATTTATAATTCTTCTCATTTTATAGGATAATTGTTAGGTTTGCTGTCCAAATCTGTTTTTACATATCAAGATGTCATATAAACTAATTTGTCAGTATTTTTGTTGATATGTACAAGTAAATATTTAGCTTTCAACAAATATATTATGCATGAATAGAATAATATAATTTGTAAAAATACAGGGTTGTGTCCCTTTGTTTTTATTTATGCTTACATTTTACCAACAGTGCAATCTTTGACATCACAACATGTACTTCAAAAGTACATGTCTTGGACTTTATATTTATTTTTATTTTTTCATTATACCTACTGGATATAGAAACATTATCTGTCAGAATTAACCTACTTGTAATTTTAAGAATGATTATATATGTATTCGTGAATGAAGGACTGAAAATAAATGAAATTTGTTTAAGATAAAAGAAGTAAATATTGGTGACATTGTTAAAGATTGTATATGAAATATTATAGTAATTGCTATTTTGTTATATGCTCACGGGACCAATAAAAATATGAAAAATACTAAAAAAAGCTGTTTTATTGTTATTTCTTGCTGGCTTGTTCAGCAGTAGTGTTTGTAAGACAACTGGTGTCATCTTGGCCAAACAATAGTACGAGATGCTACCCAGGTTTAAGGTTTTTTTATGGTGTAAGTACAAGACTAAGTATTAATGTGCATATAAGAAATTCGCTTCTTTTCTACTGTGATAATGATACGGTGTTTAACTCAAGTACTTATACATATATTGTATGCATGATGGAACTGCCTTGCCTAGATTTTAATTTGCTAAATTACTAGTAGTCAACAGACAGTACATGGTCTGGTCTGATTATATGGAAGTTGCTGGTCTAGAACTGATACATAGTAATTATATCTGTAAGCAAGGGACTTTGGATTCTTTCATGTGAGGAAGCTATTCAACTAACTTGGGGAATGTCGCTGGTTCTATGCGCAGTGCCTGATCATGCCTGAAATAAGGTACGAAAGAGCAACTTGGGTCTTCTTTCACAATTTAAGGTGGAAAGTTGCCATATGACCTATACTGTGTTGGTGCGACGTAAAACCAAACAAACAAACAAAAATCTCTATCTGTAAAAAAAAGCTGTATCTTTTAAAACTGTACTGAAAGAACAACAAACACACATCTTGGGTGTTAATATTTTTCTATTTCCATCATAAAATATAAGTATTATATATAAGTAACATTATGCAAACTTTAAGCAATAAATAGTTTTCACAAACTCATCATCCTTTCAATCATAACCATATCTGAAGTATAACTTGTACATTTTTCTAATTTTATGTGACAAGTATGTGCCCAGTCAAATTTTTTTAATTAATAAATTAGTAAAACATGATTAGTATTATATGTTGTGTCTTTTCAAAATTTGCAAGATGTGAAAGTTCTAAAATAACAAAACAATTGCACGAGTTGAATCATTGCATCAGTGACATAAAACCTGTTCATTCAACATTTTTTACTTCAAACCACTTGCCCCTCACCGCTGTGGGTTCGAATCCCCTACAGGGACTTTGGATTCTTTCATGTCAGGAAGCTATCCAGCTAGCTTACGGAACGTCGGTGGTTCTACTCGGGTGCCTGTTTGTGCCTGAAATAATGCACGGAGGGGCACCTGAGGTCTTCCTCCACCAGTAAAGCTGGAACGTCGCGATATGACCTATACTGTGTTGATGTGACGTAAAACCCAAAACAAACAAAAATCAACACTTTTTTTCTTTCTTTTTTTTGTGATATTAGTTAGGTCCCTATAATTATGACTGGCCAACACTGGCTAATGTCTCCAGTCAGGACGCAAATATTTCAACTTCATGACCACTGCCTCTCATTAAAAAAAAAAACACACACACACACACAAATCAAACAAGAAACATGGCAATGCCATGAAACCAGGTTTTCAATTATCACCATTGTAGATAAATATGTTGTATTTGAAATACAAATACAAGCAACAAACAATGTAACTATGTGCAATGTAAAACATGAATAATGTAGGAGGAATTGCCACTGAAGAAGTGTTCACTATAATATTATGTATAAGGAAAAAAACAAAGTGCCATAATTAGGTCAAAAACTATCCAATCACAAAACCCCGACAATATGTGCCAGGGTGCTTGATGACAAAGCTTCTGTGAAAGTTTGAACAAAATCCGTTGAGAAATGTAGGACGAGTTCAGCACAGAAGAATTTGTTCACTATAATTATATTGATAATTCTGTATAATGAAAAACAAGTTACAAAGTAGACATGAAATAATATATCATATCTTTTTTTAAATTACCTCCAAAGATGATATGACCTTTGACTGCCAAATCAAGTTAAAATCATGTAAACAGGATTTTCAATGTTAATGTCACTGTGACCTTGACCTTGGAGCCAGCCATGCGGAACATGCGTTCTGCACGTCATCTTGATGTGGTAAACATTTGTCTGAAGTTTCATCAAAATTCTTCAAAGGGTTGAAGAGTTACAGAGCGGACAGGATTTTCAATGTTAATGTCACTGTGACCTTGACCTTGGAGCCAGCCATGCGGAACATGCGTTCTGCACGTCATCTTGATGTGGTAAACATTTGTCTGAAGTTTCATCAAAATTCTTCAAAGGGTTGAAGAGTTACAGAGCGGACACAATTTCAAGTTAAAATCATGTAAACAGGATTTTCAATGTTAATGTCACTGTGACCTTGACCTTGGAGCCAGCCATGCGGAACATGCGTTCTGCACGTCATCTTGATGTGGTAAACATTTGTCTGAAGTTTCATCAAAATTCTTCAAAGGGTTGAAGAGTTACAGAGCGGACAGGATTTTCAATGTTAATGTCACTGTGACCTTGACCTTGGAGCCAGCCATGCGGAACATGCGTTCTGCACGTCATCTTGATGTGGTAAACATTTGTCTGAAGTTTCATCAAAATTCTTCAAAGGGTTGAAGAGTTACAGAGCGGACACAATTTCAAGTTAAAATCATGTAAACAGGATTTTCAATGTTAATGTCACTGTGACCTTGACCTTGGAGCCAGCCATGCGGAACATGCGTTCTGCACGTCATCTTGATGTGGTAAACATTTGTCTGAAGTTTCATCAAAATTCTTCAAAGGGTTGAAGAGTTACAGAGCGGACAGGATTTTCAATGTTAATGTCACTGTGACCTTGACCTTGGAGCCAGCCATGCGGAACATGCGTTCTGCACGTCATCTTGATGTGGTAAACATTTGTCTGAAGTTTCATCAAAATTCTTCAAAGGGTTGAAGAGTTACAGAGCGGACACAATTTCAAGTTAAAATCATGTAAACAGGATTTTCAATGTTAATGTCACTGTGACCTTGACCTTGGAGCCAGCCATGCGGAACATGCGTTCTGCACGTCATCTTGATGTGGTAAACATTTGTCTGAAGTTTCATCAAAATTCTTCAAAGGGTTGAAGAGTTACAGAGCGGACAGGATTTTCAATGTTAATGTCACTGTGACCTTGACCTTGGAGCCAGCCATGCGGAACATGCGTTCTGCACGTCATCTTGATGTGGTAAACATTTGTCTGAAGTTTCATCAAAATTCTTCAAAGGGTTGAAGAGTTACAGAGCGGACACAATTTCAAGTTAAAATCATGTAAACAGGATTTTCAATGTTAATGTCACTGTGACCTTGACCTTGGAGCCAGCCATGCGGAACATGCGTTCTGCACGTCATCTTGATGTGGTAAACATTTGTCTGAAGTTTCATCAAAATTCTTCAAAGGGTTGAAGAGTTACAGAGCGGACAGGATTTTCAATGTTAATGTCACTGTGACCTTGACCTTGGAGCCAGCCATGCGGAACATGCGTTCTGCACGTCATCTTGATGTGGTAAACATTTGTCTGAAGTTTCATCAAAATTCTTCAAAGGTTGAAGAGTTACAGAGCGGACACAATTTCAAGTTAAAATCATGTAAACAGGATTTTCAATGTTAATGTCACTGTGACCTTGACTTTGGAGCCAGCCATGCGGAACATGCGTTCTGCACGTCATCTTGATGTGGTAAACATTTGTCTGAAGTTTCATCAAAATTCTTCAAAGGGTTGAAGAGTTACAGAGCGGACAGGATTTTCAATGTTAATGTCACTGTGACCTTGACCTTGGAGCCAGCCATGCGGAACATGCGTTCTGCACGTCATCTTGATGTGGTAAACATTTGTCTGAAGTTTCATCAAAATTCTTCAAAGGGTTGAAGAGTTACAGAGCGGACACAATTTCAAGTTAAAATCATGTAAACAGGATTTTCAATGTTAATGTCACTGTGACCTTGACCTTGGAGCCAGCCATGCGGAACATGCGTTCTGCACGTCATCTTGATGTGGTAAACATTTGTCTGAAGTTTCATCAAAATTCTTCAAAGGGTTGAAGAGTTACAGAGCGGACAGGATTTTCAATGTTAATGTCACTGTGACCTTGACCTTGGAGCCAGCCATGCGGAACATGCGTTCTGCACGTCATCTTGATGTGGTAACATTTGTCTGAAGTTTCATCAAAATTCTTCAAAGGGTTGAAGAGTTACAGAGCGGACACAATTTCAAGTTAAAATCATGTAAACAGGATTTTCAATGTTAATGTCACTGTGACCTTGACCTTGGAGCCAGCCATGCGGAACATGCGTTCTGCACGTCATCTTGATGTGGTAAACATTTGTCTGAAGTTTCATCAAAATTCTTCAAAGGGTTGAAAAGTTACAGAGCGGACAGGATTTTCAATGTTAATGTCACTGTGACCTTGACCTTGGAGCCAGCCATGCGGAACATGCGTTCTGCACGTCATCTTGATGTGGTAAACATTTGTCTGAAGTTTCATCAAAATTCTTCAAAGGGTTGAAGAGTTACAGAGCGGACACAATTTCGTTTGACGCCCGCCCATCCGCCCATCCGCCCCATCCGCCCATCCGCCCGCCATACCCCAATCTAATAACCAGGATTTTCAAAATTGAAAACCTGGTTAAAAACTGAATCTCTGCTTAAATACTGAAATCTTGAAACTGAAGTACCAAAAATCAGAAGAAATTTTGAAATGTTCATGAACAACAAAAACATATAGTATAACAACTGTAATAAAGACTTGTCATTCTTCAAGGGACATTAACCAAATAATTCAATGTTATCAATGATTTTAATATTGGCCTTGTTATTTGACCTACAGCTTCAAAGGAGACTTTTAAAGCTGCCTTCAGTTTATTTTCTGTTGGAAAAACAACCAATTTAAAGAATTGAAAACCACTTTAAATAACATTTATGTTTAGAAATTTATGATACAATGCTTATATTAATATGTCTTTTTTTTACTTTTTTTTACAAAACTAACATTTTCTTTCCTGATAATTTTACATTAATATAATTTTATCACAAAAATATCTTTAAAATCAAATTATAAGCAATGGTTCTTTTTTTTTCTTCATGTTTTTCTTTCCTAATGGCACTGACTGTAATGTGTACATCAAAACTCTTAATACAAGTAATTTATGTGGGTAATCATGGTTTAACACACTAGTCAATACTATATGACAAATATCACAATCATCTTTGATATAATGTTAACAGTGTTCCCTAAATACTGGGTCTCCCATACTCGAAATCAATCAATACCATTGCACAATAACAACAAAAAATGTCAACTTTGATGATCCAAAGCCATATATAAAACAAACAGAGAATTTCTTTAAATATAGTTCATTTTTAATATTCCACAACCTCCCACTTGAAGTCTTCACTCTCCAATAATAATAAATGCATAAATAAAATTGTGTCTTTTATAAATACCCTGGCCTGGCGGTATACAGATGGCGTCTGTCCTGGCTGTACACAGATATCTGTCCTGGCTGTACACAGATGGCATCTGCCCTGGCTTTAAACAGATGGCATATGTCCTGGCTGTACACAGATAGCATCTGTCCTGGCTTAATAGAGATGGCATATGTCTTGGCCGTATACAGATGACATCTGTCCTGGCTGTATACAGATGACATCTGGCCTGGCTGTATACAGATGGCATCTGTCCTGGCTGTACACAGATATCTGTCCTGGCTGTACACAGATGGCATCTGCCCTGGCTTTAAACAGATGGCATATGTCCTGGCTGTACACAGATAGCATCTGTCCTGGCTTAATAGAGATGGCATATGTCCTGGCTGTATACAGATGACATCTGTCTTGGCTTTATATAGATGACATCTGTCTTGGCTGTAGACAGATGACATCTGTCCTGGCTTTATAAAGATGGCATATGTCCTGGCAGTAGACAGATGGCATCTGTTGTCCTGGCTGTGCAAAGATGGCATATGTCCTGGCTGTATACAGATGACATCTGTCTTGGCTTTATATAGATGACATCTGTCTTGGCTGTAGACAGATGACATCTGTCTTGGCTTTATATAGATGACATCTGTCTTGGCTGTAGACAGATGACATCTGTCCTGGCTTAATAGAGATGGCATATGTCCTGGCTGTATACAGATGACATCTGTCTTGGCTTTATATAGATGACATCTGTCTTGGCTGTAGACAGATGACATCTGTCCTGGCTTTATATAGATGGCATATGTCTTGGCTGTAGACAGATGACATCTGTCCTGGCAGTATACAGATGACATATGTCCTGGCAGTAGACAGATGGCATCTGTTGACCTGGCTGTGCACAGATGGCATATGTCCTGGCTGTATACAGATGGAATATTAAATAGGTCAATATCACAAGCTAGAATTTTTATAGTTACACACCATTTTACATCAACTAAAATCCCCAACTTTTATTATTATTCCTAATTCTGGTCTACGTTGTTTTTTACTTGTTCCAAATTCACTCTCGTACTTCTTTCGCTCTTCTCTCCTAAAAATAAAAAAAAACATTTTAGGTAAACTCTTCTCCTATGATGAAAAACAAACCTTTTCAAATTAATTCCAGATAAGAGATATCACAACCTCCCTTGTTTGTGTAACTGTAGTTAATCAAATTCTTATTGTAATAAATGGATAAACTCTGCAGTTTAAAATACAACAACATTCTAGAACCCAAATATCAACAACAAACAGGAGAGCAGCATGTTTGATAGTAAAACAAGAGCCTAGATTATGAAGAAGTTTCTAAGTTCAAAAAGGGCAATAATTCTGTCAAAATCCATGTTAGAGTTATGGCCCTTATCAGTACTCTCAAATAAGTGTGGGAAGTTTCAACTCATTCTCATCAGTAATTTTGAGATACCAACTTGCACGCAAAAAACTAAACCAAAGTGTGACTCTGATGCCAGGGTGAGTACAATAGCTCTCTCTATTCTTCAAATAGTCAAGTTATAAATGTCAATGTATAAAAATAAGGTGCAGTTAACGCTTTGCATAAACCTTGGGACTTCAGTATTAGCATTTTAAAAGCTCAGCAGACCAAGCTACTCCACATTTTCATATTTCTATTTTTCACCTTTTAAAGAATTTTTTTTTTTCTTATTTGAGAGAGAAAGGATTTGTTAGGTTGAGGTTAAACATATTTATATTGTAATGGTCAAATGGCAAATTTGTAGCTATGGCAAATTTGTAGCTTACAGTTATTGTAAAACAAAAAGATATCAGTATAAAATCTCACATTTTCCTTTTTTCCTCCATCTCTTCATGTAGCCTCAGTTTACCTATCTCATCTTCGTCTGTCATAAACTTATCTAGATTGTTTGGGTCACACCTTGTATCCTGTAAATGATGAAAACAAATTTCATAATCAACAACATTTTCATAAATCACAAATGTTCTTTACCAAAATATATCAATAAAAAAATAATAAGCAAAAAGAATTAGGACAAAAATAATCTAAGCAAGTCTTCGGATATATATCAATCAATGCCTTATTCCAGCTAAACTTTTTAGAACGTTTAAATTAAAATCCTAGTTGTGTACTCACGAGCAGAAGCTCACATGGTGTAAGATTATAAAAATACATGTAATACTCAATCAGAAAGCAAATCTGTTTGGTTATTTATTTTCATGGGTCAAAATACCAGGTGGTATCACTTTGCCTGCTAAATGAATTAATCCAAATTGTTTGTAGGTAGAATTAAAAGTATTTGAAGAGAGCTTAGCTGCTGTTAATGCCTCAAAAATTTTCTTATATCAAGGTTTTAATTAGAGTAAATAAATTCTTTAGACAGAAGAATGAATATAACCCTGCTCACCTTCACCCCTATTGTATCACCATCATGTATATGGAAAGGTGCTTGTTTTATGTTGTTCTTCACTTGTCCTTTTTTCTTTCCCTTATTGTTTCCCTGCTATAAAAATATATGCAACAATTGGGAAAATATTTTAGAATTTTCTTATTTATGCATACAGGATAACACTGTTTTTCCTTCATAAGTAAAGCATTGAAAATTGAAATAACATCAATTATTAATCAGTGTCACTGTCAACAAATGGAGAGTTTGGGCAACAATGCTGTTTTTATGTTCAATATAATCATACACAAATCTGCTAAGAGAAGTTTCCTCCCTTTTGTACATCATATATCATTATATAGCTGAGAAAACACTTGCATTTGGATACAAGGTAAAAATCTGAGCCCATCATATATACATGTATAGCTGAGAAATCACTCAGATTTTGATATGACGTAAAAATCTGAGCTTTAAACTCTTCCTTTTTTGCCTTTAATTCTACACAACCATAATTAGGTTTTTATGCTAACAAAGATAAATGTATAGAATATGTAGATGTGTATATTCATTGTTGTACAATTTTTATGATCATGTATATTTTTAGAATATTACAGTAACTCTGTTAGTCAACAAAAAACATAGCTGTATTCTGAACCAGAAATAAAATGATTTTTTTCCCTAAAAACCATAAAAGTTAATCACAATTTTTTGTCTGTACTTTCATTAAATTCACAGATTCAAACTGCTGTTCTCTGCCATTTTCTCCTTTTAATACATTTATATGAAAAAATTGAACACTTTCAGAAATTAATATAAGAAAAAGGTGCTAAATGAAAATATAAGTTTTCCAAATTTCTTTCCGAAATAAAATTTCTATGTAATATGCAAGAAAAAGAATCGAATACTGGCTGCCTTAACAGACCAGAATATCTAGCCCTATGGTAACTGTTAATCAGAATCTCAGCAGAGCCTCATTACCGCTGTAAACAGTTACCCTAGAGCTAGATATTCCGGTCTGTACCGGCAGCCGGTGTAAAATGCTTATAATCTTTAATGTCGCAGTTTGAATTTTAAATTTTCCTAAACATCACTATTTTCTTACCTTATCATTCTTTTCAATAATCATCCATTCAAATATCTGAGGGAAATGTTTGGCTATACACATATTTTCTGTTTCTAAAAACAGAACTTTAGCTATAGCCTGTTTCAAACTATGTATGGTAGGGCCGCTACTTGTATCCCAAACCAATTCTATTGAAGGTGTGTAACCCTTGGTGTCTGGAATCCTTTGGCAGATGTTCAAAACTATTTGGTCATTTCTGGAAAAAGGAGGATTTTTATATATATCTATCATGGAATTTAATATATTTTCAATTAAACAACATTTTAAGATTGGAAAAGAAACTTGTACATTTTTTATTATTACCACCTACTCTAATCATACAGTCTGATCAAGGAATTTTATTTGCAACTTGTATTAATCACTCTCGAGTCTGCTTTCTGAAACTAATCATACATGTGAAATTACAGTTATGGTTCTGGATGGCCTGAACCAACAAACGCTGGCCAGTGAGAGTGTTGTGAGTCAGACTTTTATTTACCGTGACAAGCTATCTATTAGGCCACCACTCCCTTTTTGTGATTTTGTTTTAAAAGAGACCTTTTATTGTTCAGCTTTTTGTGATTTTGTTTTAAAAGAGGCAAATTGAATAGTATAACTAGGAGTCTTTAATGAGGTACTGCGTTAAATAAAGGTTTAGTTCTTGATTTAAAATGGCCTTCAGATTTTCTAAAGATTAAATACAAATGTATGTTATTTTTACATAAATTGTTTCATAATTATGAAATTGTCAAATCAAAAGAATTGGGGTGAAAAAAAATATTTGCCAACGATAATGCATAATAAAGAAACTATGTGATACCTCTAACCTAACAAACCTCTCTCTAATAAATTAGTTGAACAAAAGATTCATTTCCCAATCTCATTTTTTTATAAATGAATGTCACTGACATGTTATAAATAGCTCAAATGACGCTGTTTTGAAGAGGCTTAACAGTGATATAATATACACTATTCCAAAATAAAATTACTGAAATACTTAGTTAGGAAACAACACAGAATTGTTTTTCCAACAGAAATTAATAGCTGGAGGCCACTTTAAACCCAAGTTTTAAAGACAGATACCTTAATTGTTCCTCCTCAGGCAGTATTTGTAATGCTAGCACACTGTTAGATGTCAACTTTAATCTCCTGTAATATCAAAATAAAGATGATTAACAAGAGCACTGCATTGTGCACTTTATCATTAAAAATATATATAATATAAACTAAAATATCAAAATACAATAAATAAATTGCTCTGAAAGCACAATAAATGTGGAGTGAGACTAAAAAGTGTTGGAATACCACACTAAACACTGTTATACCGGACAAGGTGCATGAATGATTAAACGCTAAAATCTCGCCTTTTCACCCACCAAAATGCACTTTAAAATGTCAAATTCATTTTATTTTTTCAAACACTAATTTATATAAAATTATGAATGAAAAATGTAAAATTTAGCCGGGAAAAAATATAATTTTCTACTTTGTGATCAGGATTTCTGCAAGCGTCTAGGTACTGCTAGAACACTGTAGTGAGTTTATCTTAATGTCAAGTGCATACCTTAATGTCAAGTTATTATCTCTAAGTACAGTTGACAGTCGTTTCTGCTCCACAAGTCTTAGTCTCATAAAATCTATTGTGGGTATAGGTAGATCACTCGCAAGTGTCATAACTTGTTCTTTCAGGTCAGACAAATCTGAGTCACGGGAAATTTCAACTTCTCCTATATTAACAGGCTGAGCGTCTGAAATTACTTCACCGGTTCGTGTTGACTCCTCTGTGTTTGACCCATATCCTGGAATGGTAAGAAATTCTGAACCTGCTGAATTGGAGCATAAGATTTACCCTTTAAATTTATACCAGTTCATTCAAATCATAAAGGAGTTCAATACTAAAATACATTTTGTACCAAACAAAACACCCATTGCTTGACATTATCATTTAAGTAATATCCTAACTAAGAATGAATCTGACTTATTTTCCTGGTCATTTTTTCTGACAGCTACATCATACTCCTTTGTAATTTGCTACAGGCATTTGTTTTCCAAGAAAGTTTACATCTGTTTATATATCTGAATATGAACTTAATCTTTAAATCTATTTAAATTCAACACCTTGCTGAATTTTACTATCTATTTCAATACTAAAATACTCAAATTGTTAAACAAACAGAATTAAAGTAAGTGCATTAGGGCGGTCTCATTTGGCTGTACACTGATGACATGGGTCTGTTACTATGGCAGCTAGCACTCTAAATTTAATGTAACATACAAACACAAAGCATCAATTATGAAGTGCAAAGTGTAAAATTAAACATCAATTACCAAAGTAGCATGAAACCTTAGACAGAAAACTGTCTTGTTGCTGGTTCCCACCTTTAACACTTTCAGGGGTAGAATATAGCCATACTGGTACCCTAATAAAACCCTGAAATAAAATGAAAACTTTACTACAAGAACATCTACTTAGTTTGGGAGTTAAAGAAAACAGGCATATTAATTATCTGTTCAACATATTTATTCTATAATACTATTTCAAGGGCAAAACATGACATTTTTTAATAATACTGATCACAGGTATATTGCATAATTTAATTGCTGTCCAAAATTATTAGAAACATCCCTGTATAACTAAATAGTAACAATTAGATACATAATTACAAGTAAAAACTTCACATTTCACTTGACTAACATCAATTATTTTTGAATTATTAATTATCATAACAGCATATATATTTTTACAAAAATATTTTAACTTTATATCACCTTAGGCGGAAGACGACCACGTTCTAACAACAGCACATCCCCATCATTGACCAGACTTTCTTCCAGTAAGGAATCAGGGTCATCTAGAAGTTCTGCTGCTTCCCCACACCAATTTGTCTTCCTTAAATGCCAATCTCCCTCTATAAATATATACAAATTATGATAAAGTTCCAAATCTCTTTACAAGATAATGTTATGTTTACTCACTGATATTTTATATCCTTGCAAAAATATTGCGCCCACAGGTATGCATTTATGGAAAAGAAAACATGCATTAAAGATAGATTCTTGTGACTTGTCGTGCTGTTGTTGCATTTCTTTTAACATGTGTGACACAGGTGCAATGTATATATAATGTAAAGCAATGACAGCCCCAGTAGTTTTATGATTTAAACATAAATGTCAAATGACATTGCACTAGCATGTGGAAAGCATGGCACAAGCATCAGTTTCCTTACATGAAATACATATAAAGAAACGCGGAAATACAGATTTAAACATACACTTTTATGCAAGAATATCACTAATGCACCTTTTTTGTGCATTAATATCTTCAGAAGCCCTCTGACTTATTAACGCAAAAAAGGGTGCCTAAACCCTATAGTAGTAGGCAACTATAATGTCTCACCTATGCCATTTAGATAAAGTTGAGGTCTGTAGTTCTGTTAAGTCTGCATTTGGCTGTTTGACACTTTGCTTTGATCTTCATACTTAGTTAATATATACAGTTTTATTAGATGTGTAATATACACACAAGATTTTACCTGTTATTTTAGCTCTCTCTAATATACACTGTAAACATGAAGCAACTGTGATGTTCTTTTTAACCATTACTTCACTATAATCTGGTCCAGACATACTTAATTCACATGTAAATGATAATGTCATCTGAAAAAAAAAACAAAAAAAAACCATTGACATATTAGATATAATGACATATCAGAAACGCATAAAGGTTTTAATTAGTCACCACATATATTGCACACCTGTACTATAAGTAAAACATCTGAAAAGTTTGTGGTTCAAAACATGTGTCTGTACATGTGCCTATAATAATGCACAGAGAGAACTTATGGATTTTCCCAGTGAATAACATAGTCTGAATGATTTAAAACACATCAAAACTTATTAAACAAGAGCTGTCGGTGGGACAGCAACGCTCGACTATTCTTAGTGCTTGATAGTAAAAAAAATGCTTGATACAGTTACCTCCTCCTGTTTACAGGTTGGGGTCATGATGTTGAGCAAGTGTGCAAAGTTTCAAAGCCATATGTCAATGGACTTTGAAAATATTTGAACTATTACAAAAACTTTAACGTAAATTCTAAGTCGAAAAAGGGACATAATTCTGTCAAAATGCTTGATACAGTTACCTCCTCCTGTTTACAGGTTGGGGTCATGATGTTGAACAAGTGTGCAAAGTTTCAAAGCCATATGTCAGATTTTGAAAATATTTGAACTATTACAAAAACTTTAACGTAAATTCTAAGTCGAAAAAGGGGCATAATTCTGTCAAAATGCTTGATACAGTTACCTCCTCCTGTTTACAGGTTGGGGTCATGATGGTGAACAAGTGTGCAAAGTTTCAAAGCCATATGTCAATGGACTTTGAAAATATTTGAACTATTACAAAAACTTTAACGTAAATTCTAAGTCGAAAAAGGGGCATTATTCTGTCAAAATGCTTGATACAGTTCCCTCCTCCTGTCTACAGGTTGGGGTCATGATGGTGAACAAGTGTGCAAAGTTTCAAAGCCATATGTCAATGGACTTTGAAAATATTTGAACTATTACAAAAACTTTAACGTAAATTCTAAGTCGAAAAAGGGGCATAATTCTGTCAAAATGCTTGATAGAGTTACCTCCTCCTGTCTACAGGTTGGGGTCATGATGGTGAACAAGTGTGCAAAGTTTCAAAGACATATGTCTATGGACTTTGAAAATATTTGAACTATTACAAAAACTTTAACATAAGTGGTTACGCCGACGCCGACGCTCGGGTGACTGCAATAGCTCTACTTATTCTTATCGAATAGTCGAGCTAAAAAGCAATGCCCCTGTATCAAACATACCAATTGGGAAAAATTTGGCATTGAAAAACTTAAGGTCATTGAGACATCAATGTCATATTTCACTTCATCAAAATAAATTCTCATCCACTGCTATTATTTACTTTTTATATTATTACATTTATAATATACTTTATTATAGTATGAAAATGTTTAGACCAAAAATTAAAATATTCTACATGGAAACAGACAGGCAAGTACACATTTATTTGCATTACCACTTTTCAAAGGCATAAAACTAGGACAGGGTAACAGTGAAATAGTGATTAAGATGTTTGACTCTTGGGTTTGAGCCCTAATAGGGACAATGTTTCCTTATATGACACTTATTTATACCAGTAAGTTTCAGTAAGTGGACTTGAGTGTTATACCTAAAGCTACAAGATATGTTCGCAATCTGGCTTAGAGAAATTAATATTGTTTTAATTTAATACATGTAATATACAAGTTAAAGTACAAACCTCATTGGATTCTGGGGCTGGACCAGGTTCAAGCACCAGATGACTCCCTTGTGTTATACCTGCCTCAAATATAGACTGTTCTTCATGTACTGAAATTATAATTTCATTTACTTTAACTAACAATAATGAAAGTAAGTTCATAATTAAAAGTTCAACATCAAGTGTCTCAAGATAACCTCAAGTATTAATCATATCCTGGTACATTTTGACCCCTTGACCTGCTGAAAACAAAATGATAATTTGCATATGTTGTCATGGTTTGCAGCTTCAGCTTTATTTAGAAATTATCTCTCATACACCCTCACATTAACAATGGACTGTTCTAAATTCAATGCAAGGCAAGTCCATTATAGAAATTTCGCACAGAAAGGGGAAACAAGCAATCTGTTAAGCTGCAGGGAATTATTCAAAATCACAGCAATGTAAACATGTCAATAACATATTACTAGTTTCATAAAGTTAAAACAGGCAAGTGAATAAGTATAAGTTTAACATTTATTCTGGGATAACTTTTCTTTTTTTTTTCAGTCCAAATTTGTATCATATCAAGACTGGTCAAACTCTTATGAAGAGTGTGTTTCTAAAAAATCTTATTGCCGACAACCATACTATAACATAATTTACCTCCTTTACAACAGGATACTTATAGTATCATATATACATAGACTCCAACATACAAAGTCTGATTTGTTATTGACAGATGTAAAAAGTTTACTTACAAGGCTGCCTCAACCCTAGTGACTCATGGTTAATTCTTATTCGTCCACCATCAAGCACAGATTCCAGATGCAACTTTGTCATAACAATAACCTTTAGCTCAGATACAGTCTGTAACAGGGATAATCATATTTATTATATACTTATAGATGAAATGTTGGGAAATATTGATGAAATAAAATGCATATTTTCATATTCTGTATTTTCACTGTAAAATTTATTTTTTCACTGCAGTGGAACATATTTTCCATATTTTCACTTGTGTCTTGCCAGACTACTTTTTTCTAAGTTCTGCCACTACATAAAACTTAAGGGGAGGTCAAAAAGAGAAAAATATATATAATAAACAGAAAAGTCAAGTTTTTTTCTCTATAAATACAGTATTTATATGAGTATTTTCATCTTGTATAATGAAAATTACCATATTTCACTTGTGGCTACCTCCACTAATGAAATATATATTTTCCTTCAACTCAATGAAAATAATCCTGTTTTTATAGAAAAAAACTTGAAAATCCTCCACTTACTTCAGAGATAAATTGTTTCATTATTTTTTTTTTTAGCTTTACTGTTGAAGGTGGTTGGGTTTTATGTCACACCAACACATTATAGGTCATATGGTGACTTTCCAACATTGCTGTTGAAGGAAGATCTCAAACTAGAGTAGAACCACCTACAATCAGTGAGCTTGCTTAAAAGCCTCCTCACATAAAAGGATCCCAAAATTCCTCATGAGATTTGAATCCTCACTAATGAGAGGCCAGTGATTCATGGTGATAGTATGCCACTGTCACCACTGGTTTATGACAGACCTTCTTCATTATATACAGCAGGGTTTTACTTTTCCTGTGTAAATTCTGCCATACAAATAAGCATGAAGTCTCATTTTACAAAATGTTAACAAATCAGTTCATTCTTTTCCAGACAATCTTAAAAACTAGGCTAGGTAAAAATACAAGAGGGCCATGATGAGTCGCTCACCAGAAACAACTGCTTTTCAGTGTTGGAATGTCAATATATTCTAATATTAAATTTGAGCATAGAATATGTTTAAACAATAATTTGAAGAAATTACCATGACCTGGGGTATTTAAGCTTTAGCTTAAAAGGGGCTAATCAAATTAATATGAGCAAACTTGATAAAAGACTACTCAAGAATGCTACAAAGTTTGGTGATCATTATCAAATATTTCAGTAGGAAATGATGTTTGAAGGTTTTATCTATTATTCTATTTTTAGCTTTAGTGGCCCCTAAAAGGGGCTAATCAAATTCATATGAGCAAACTTGATAAAACACTACCCAAGAATGCTACAGACAAAGTCTGGTGATCATCCATCCATTGGTTCAGAAGTAGAAGATGTTTAAAGGTTTTTCTATTTTTAGCTTTAGCGGCCCCTAAAAGGGGTCAATCAAATTAATATGAGCAAACTTGATAAAAGGTTACCCAAAAATGCTACAGACAAAGTTTGGTGATCATCTATTAATTAGTTCTGTAGGAAAAGATGTTTAAACGTATTTCTATTTTTAATTTTAGCGGCCCCTAAAAGGGCCCAATCAAATTAATATGAGCAAACTTAATAAAGACTACCCAATAATGCTACAGACAAAGTATGGTGATCATCCATCAATTAGTTCTGTAGCAATAGACGTTAAAATGTATATTTATTTTTAATTTTTAGTGGCCCCTAAAAGGGGCCAATCAAATTCATATGAGCAAACTTGATAGAAGACTACCCAACAATGCTTCAGACAAAAGTTGGTGATCATCCATTCATTAGTTCTGTAGAAATAGACATTTAAAGGTATTTCTTTTTTTAGTTTAAGCGGCCCCTAAAAGGGCCCAATCAAATTCATATGAGCAAACTTGATAAAAGACTACCCAAGAATGCTACAGACAAAGATTGGTGATCATCCATCAATTAGTTCTCTAGAAATAGACATTCAACGATATTTCTATTTTTAGCTATAGAGACCCCTAAAAGGGGCTAATCAAATGAATATGAGCACACTTGATAAAAGACTATCCAAGAATGCTACAGACAAAGTTTGGTGATCTTCCATCGATTAGTTCTGTAGCAATAGACATTTAAAGGTATTTCTATTTTCAGCTTTTGTGGCCCCTAAAAGGGGCCAATCAAAATAATATAAGCAAACTTGATAAAAGACTACCTAAGAATGCTACAGACAAAGTTTGGTGATCATCCATCATTAGTTCTCAAGAAATAGACATTTAACAGTATTTCTATTTTCAGCTTCAGCGGCCCCTAAAAAGGGACAATCAAATTAATATGAGCAAACTTGATAAAACACTACCCAAAAATGCTACAGACAAAGTTTGGTGATCATCCATCAATTAGTTCTGTAGGAGAAGATGTTTAAACGTTTTTCTATTTTTAGTCCTAGAGACCCCTAAAAGGGGCCAATCAAAATAAAATTTGCAAACTTGATAAAATACTACCAAAGAATGCCACAGACAAAGTTTGGTGATCATCCATCCATTAGTTCTGTAGAAGAAGATGTTAAAAGGTTTTTCTATTTCTAGCTCTGCTGACCCCTAAAAGGGGCCAATTGGAATGACATGAGCAAATTCAAGTGTGACTGTCACAAGGATGCTACAGACCAAATTTGAAGTAAATCTGTCCAGTAGTTTCAGAGAAGAAGACGATTGTTGACACATGACGACGGACGCCGGAGCATCCCCCTTTGATATTAATAGCTCACCCTGAGCCTTCGGCTCTGGTGAGCTAAAAAAGCATTCAACTTATTTATCATAAAATACTCACAATTGTTCTGTCAACTTCAACTCTTATAGTTGAGTAATCAAACACACCTTTGCCAAGCTCTACACATCTATTTTCTACCTGTACTACAAACTTACAACTGTATATAGCAGTAGATACACTTTCCTCCGATAAACCGGACCTGAAATTATAATATCTGTCATATAAATTTATATACATACCAGTGTATATACTAGTAAATATTATACAAGCTTCAAAACAGTTAATTATCCATCTATAGACAATATTTGTAACCATCTTAGAATCATTCACTCTTTCCTTTGTTTTCCTCATTAGCTCCAAATTTTCCAATTAACACCAAACAACTTTTAGGGGACCAAGAAAACAACTTTAAGTGTCACTAAATGCCTGCTTCTTGGGTGTCATAATAATTAATTGCACCTTTGTGGATTGTTGAAATCACAAAACAAGAGGGCCATGATGGCCCTGAGGTCGCTCACCTGTATAAAGCCCCCCCCCCCCCAACACCCATAAGAAGATGTTTCATGCTAAACATCTAAGCTCTAGCTCATTGGCTTTTTACAAGAAGAATTTTTTTTAAGTTTTTACTAATACACATATAGTTAAAAACAATGACACCCCTGGGGCGGGGCCAGTTTTTGACCCCAGGGCTTTTATTTGAACAAACTTTGTAGACACTTACTAGAAGATGTTTCATGCTTAATATCTAAACTCTAGCTATTTGGTTTTTTTCAAAGAAGATTTTAAGTTTTTGCTATACACATATAAGGAAAATCAATGTTCCCCGGGGCGGGGCCAATTTGGACCCCAGGGCTTTTATTTGAACAAACTTGGTAGACACCTATTAGAACATGTTTGATGCTAAATATCTTAGCTCTAGCTCTTTGAGTTCTTTAAAAGAAGATTTTTTAAGTTTTTACTATATGCATATAGGGAAAATCAATGACCCCCTGGGACCGAGCCAATTTTGACCCCAGGGCTTTTATTTGAACAAACTTGGTAGACACCCATAAGAAGATGTTTCATGCTAAACATCTAAGCTCTAGCTCATTGGGCTTTTTAAAAGAAGATTTTTTTAAGTTTTTACTATACACATATAGTTAAAAACAATGACACCCCTGGGGCGGGGCCAGTTTTGACCCCAGGGCTTTTATTTGAACAAACTTTGTAGACACTTACTAGAACATGTTTCATGCTTAATATCTAAACTCTAGCTATTTGGGTTTTTTCAAAGAAGATTTTAAGTTTTTGCTATACACATACATGATGTATAAGGAAAATCAATGACCCACGGGGCGGGGCCAATTTTGACCCCAGGGCTTTTATTTGAACAAACTTTGTAGACACTCACTAGAAGATGTTTCATGCTTAATATCTAAACTCTAGCTATTTGGGTTTTTTCAAAGAAGATTTTTTAAGTTTTTGCTTTATACACATATAAGGAAAATCAATGACCCCCGAGGCGGGGCCAATTTTGACCCCAGGGCTTTTATTTGAACAAACTTGGTAGACACCTATTTGAACATGTTTGATGCTAAATATCTTAGCTCTAGCTCTTTGAGTTCTTTAAAAGAAGATTTTTTAAGTTTTTACTATATGCATATAGGGAAAATCAATGACCTCCTGGGGCGGGGCCAATTTTGACCCCAGGGCTTTTATTTGAACAAACTTGGTAGACACTCATTAGAACATGTTTCATGCTAAATATCTTAGCTCTAGCTCTTTGGGTTCTTTAAAAGAAGATTTTTTAAGTTTTTACTATATGCATATAGGGAAAATCAATGACCCCCTGGGGTGGGGCCAATTTTGACCCCAGGGCTTTTATTTGAACAAACTTGGTAGACACTCACTAGAAGATGTTTCATGCCAAATATCTAAGCTCTAGCTCTTAGGGTTTTTTAAAAGAAGATATTTAAATTTTTTTCTTTCGGTTGCCATGGCAACCAGAGTTCTGCATGGAATTAAATTCTTTGGTGACCACCAAAGGAACATTCCTGTGAAGTTTGGATGAAATTGGCCTAGTGGTTTATGAGGAGATGTCATTTAAAGTAAAAGTTTACGGACGACGGACGGACGACGGACGAAAAGCGATCACAAAAGCTTACCCTGTCACTTTGTGACAGGTGAGCTAAAAATTCATTGTTGGTGGGATTCGAACCTATGATTTCCAGATTAGGAATCTAATCCTCTACCACAACCCAACATAAATGTTTAGAATGATTCTCAAATGCGATACAGCCATCAATGCCATTGACCAAAGGTTGTTGGTCGCCATCATATGACTGATCAAGAAAAAATTAATGTACAGTAGGGGTGTCATGTGTATCAATTTAAACAGTATGGTCTGTTTTCAGCTAAAAAACCAGTTAGAAAATTCAATAATCGGTAACTGAGGTAAGTATTTGACTAAGGGGCAGAAAAGTTTAAAATTGATTCTAAATATTACATTAGTTTTTTATGACAAGATATGAAAATTGTTGATATTTTATTTGATCTCGACAATGTATTTTTTTCTATCTGATCAAATACATGACAACCCTAGCAGAAAATAGTTACTTCATATTCAGATATGTATTGTAATCATTTTGAGTACAACAAAATATGAACAAAATGGCTTATCTTGTCATAAAGAAACAAATCTAATGTTGAAAATCTAAGGATTTTATTAGAAAGGTCGGTTACACGTTAAACACGATTATTACGTCGCTGTTTAAATAGTAAGCATTTTTTCTAACTGTGCCACCCCTAATGTACAGTGAAGCAGCTTTCAAGGCTCAAACTCACAGTATCTTTGGTATCTATGATTATTATGGTAACTATTGTATCTTTACTATGGTGACTACAAAATTCTTTTTTTTATTTTTAGTGTAAAAGAGCTGTAATGTAAATAAAAAAAAACTGAAATTAAAAATATTGGTTATTATTGGTACCCTTTTTCAGACATATCCTCAGCAAGAAGTCGGTCTCCATCTTTCATCTTTATCTCAGCTATGGTTTGACTTTCTTCCTTATGACTTATGGGAACCATCTTTACTTCTGTGTCTATAATACAATGTAATATTGAAATTTAGTGCAAAATTAAATAAACATATATTGTACAAACTTGCTATTGCTTGTAAAAGCAGGCAGAAACGATTTTAACTCCCTTGAAAATTACTCTCTTTTTTATCAACTATACAACATCAAATAAACAGTACTAGAGAGCTATATAATCTTTGATTGATCAAATAACAAAATAAAATGTTTTGTTTCCCTACATTTATATAATAATAAAGTGCTAAATAATGCATGGCTTTTTTTTAATGTATTAACTTTGATAATGGACTCCCTGAAAGATTAAAATGAAAAGCTGGATATGTCTATTAGACTATTGCTGGAAAGTTTTATCTAAACAAAGGTTAAACTTTGTTTCTTTATATCTTTGAAATTTATTTCAAACTACAGAATTTGTGCTGGAAAGTTTTAGTATATCATGGGAAGGAAAACTGGATGAAAAAAACTCATCAACACTCCTATTATACATACCATCACCAAATATTCTCTTGAGTCGAAGGTTTTTAGTTTCCATTCTAATAGTATCACAGATTAAAGATTTGATATCGGTTATTTTAAGAGACCTGGAGAAGCCTCGACTAAACTGTAGATTGTCTCCATATATCACAGTAATATAAACTGGTTCCTGTTCTAAACCAGTGGGTACCAACATGTCATTGACCTAAAATAAAATACAGAAGAAAAATGAAAAAAATTAAGTTCTGACTTAACAACCAATACAGATAAACATTGTTCTGAAACACATTATCTCATTTTCTTGGGTGATAAAAAAATTAATTTTCATGAAAATAAAAACACATCTCGTATAAAGTAAATGCAAAAACCAATTTTCTTTTTTTTTTTTTTTTTTTGGGGGGGGGGGGGGGTAATGTTGCCTGGTAAACTAACTTCTACCTAATTACAGTAAATGTATGACAAATGTTACACATTATTATTAAATTTTTGTTTTAAAGCAACTTACTGTTTCTCCGTCCCATACAAACAGTTTATCACCATCCTGTATATCACAATGCTTGATTAACATATCTTCAGTCTCTGTAATATATAAAGAAATATGGATGCTTTAACATATTTACATTTTTTAAAGATATACTATGCACGTCTTTGAGTAAAATATTTTTGAAGCGGAAATTTAATGAAATATATGAAATTCTCACTGAATATGTCTAATTTGAATAAAAGAATGTACAAACTATGTATGGGAAGCTGCATTCCCTATTATGGATCAAGTAAATTGGTCCTTTCTTAAAAAAAAAACTTCCAGTTTTGTTAATGACACTATAATATTCATAGTTTGGACCTTTTAGTGTGTAGAGTTTAAAACATATCTTCTTTGTGTGAAGTCAAAACATTTTTATTTTACATTTACAAAAAAAAAACATTGTAGTAATTATCAATATTTTTAAATATCAAAATCGATCATAGTATATATACATTGCATTCTGACAAAGCTGCTTTAACCTCTGGAAAGAATGTCAATCTCCACTACAGTTTAAAGGCCTTTTATAACAAATTCATAATAGTACAAAGTAGCTTTCCCGGACTTAATCCAAAATTAATCCATAATTAAGCAGCAGAGGTGTATATAAATAATATACACATAGCAATCGTCCAATGAAAATAGACTTTACAAATAGAAGTTACAAAAATGCTGTACGGGTATAATAAATTATTTATCATACCTGTAATATTGTCATATATATGACCCCCTGCAGGTAGCTCTCTGAACTTTGATATTTGAAACTGATCACAGGGTAAATATTCCATACCCAGCTGAAACAATAAACCATAAAGATGTCAGAATAATATAAGATTGTTCCAATGCTTTGTTTAGCCCACATCCCTGTTTTCTTTTGAGTAATGGACTTTATGTGCATTGAAATTAGAATGTCCATTATCAAGTTATGGGATTTTAATATTTAAGTGCTATAAAACTGAATAACCAATCTACACTTTGATACACCATCCAGAAATCAATATACCTCTTCTTTGGTTGCTTATCACTCATAATTTAGATTTCTTCAAAGATCTTTATTAGCACCCCTCATAAAAGTCAATCTTTTTAAATATATTTTAAATACAACTTAACAATGAAAAAATGTGCGTAATGTCACTTTAACATTTTCGACCCCTACAGGAAGATAACTATGAAACAGTGACCAGAAATCGGGTAACAGCAAGCAAGTTTACCTCCATCACTGCCTCATATAACTGTGCTGTTGTTTGTCTCTGATCTATAACCAGTTCCTGCCATGCTAGCATGTTGTTTAATGGTTTGAGGGCACCCTCTCTATATTGGTAACATTTGGAGAAATGTATCTGCAGGGTCAGTCTGTTCATCTCTATATCATACTGTTTTCTATATAATAAATATGAATGTTTTACTCTTTTTTTATTGTGTTTTCAATTCTTAGAAGAAAGAAATCATCATGCTTCACAACATATCAAGGAAAATGTATTGCAAACTTTAAGCATACAGCTACAGCTAGTATAATGTTGTTTAAATGTAAAATTAACTGATATCTTATATATAAATTTACCAGTACATTTCAATGGTCTGATCAAATGAAAATAGTGCCCACTCTTGAAATCATTAAAAATTGTAACATCTGGTGGTCTAACAATAGACCTAACTATAGATGGTATCAGTCGAATTACAAACAAAAAAACTTGTTCACATTAAATAGCAATTACTATACCTTTCTTCATCAAGGAGCGAGTTTTCTTTAGTTATTTCTGTCTTCAAGAATTCGGGCATGCAGTAAGTCTTGTTCCCATATGCTAAAAATAAACAAATAGTTATTAAGGTTATTACTTCTCAAGTCATTGATCAGACAAGGATTATACACTAGGTCGACCAGTGACCTGACATAATGACCTCAATTTACAAAATTTCATCAGGTCCTAGGACAATGTCCCTACCAAGTTACATAATCCACAGATAATGACCTTCTCAGAAATAAATTAGACAAACGACCCAATCACAGCATGCTTTCCAATTCATAATTGGATCATATAAATCAGTAGGTCAAAGTTCAAGGTCATGGGAACATTTTTACCACAGAAACTGGCCTTCAAATTTTGGTATGCAAGATCGACAAGCTGCTTGCAAACAAGAGCAGTCATACATTTTCCCACCTCTCATGTTATTTTAGATTCTAATATTAAAAGAAACTGCTTTTTTTTAAAATACCTGTATTAGGCCGTACGAAGAGATTTCTTCCTGTAGAACAACATATAGGCACTCTCCTTGCCTGTGAATTGTTTCTCTATTGTTTTCTCATATATAGGATGTACACGAGAATCATTAAAGTCAAACCAAGCTTTACCAGGATGTGGTTTCTCTGTAACTCTGTAATATCATAGAAAAATAATTGTAAAAATCTTATGATATAATATAAAATAGTCATAAAATAGTCATAGACATGTGGCAAAAAATTACAAATATTCATAAATGATAACTTGATTAAAAGACTAGCGATGGAAATGAATTTACCAAATCAAATTACAGGTAGTCTCTACATGTAATGTAACACTGTTAATATTATTAAATGACTCCATGTAAATGAAGCTGTATGGTCCTCACTCTAGTTTTTTGTAAACAAGCTTGCTTATGTTTAGCATGTACAAAATGTATCACTTTTAGAATCCAAATGCACAAATGCAGAGGGACAAGCTAAATAAAGTCACATACAAATATTTTATATAATATTTTCATCACTTTTTTGTTATTTGTAAGCTACAGTATATATAGGTTGTAATCTTTAAATCCCCTGCCTTTTGATTCCACTATAAAACATTAAATTTTCTTGCCTGATGAAAATTTCCAGTTTTGTAGTTCTGCCCAGGTGTCTACTTGAGTCGAAAATATTCTTATGAAGAGGGACACTTTAGGCATATTTATCAATCAATAAGGCTTAAACAGCTTACAATGTTAAACCATTCCTACTACCGGTACATATCTTAAATTAACTCATCCAGCATATTTTTTGGGAGTGTCAATTACCAATTTAGGAATATGATGTTGAATATATTGAAGTTGGTCAACCAACAATGAAAACTTGGTAAGACTTCACAGATATGCTGACTAGCTTGATTCTTTATTAGTGACAAAAACTTTTGGTCAAGCATTCTCAGAAACAATTCAATCAAAATTAACATTCACCTGTTTCCTTTGTTCATATTCCTTGAATCACCCTGAGCATATTTATCAATCCCACAACTCCTAGCACATTTATCACATGACTGGTCACATGACTTTATTCGGGCTGGATCCTTGTTTACATCAATTGGATTACTTCTGTTTTTATCATGGCCACATGAACATTGACAGTCACTGTTAGAGATGGTAGAGGAAGGTTTAGGAGGACTTTTTTCGTTATGATTATTTTGTGTGTCACTGCTGGGTCCATATATTTTCAGAGATACATAATTTTGTGTAGAATCAAAAATAAACTTGTCATCATATTTGCTTAAGAACTGAAAAAAGAAAATAATATGATATTTACATAACTGTAAATGAAAACAAAATAGAAATTTATCAACAAAAAAATATTGTAAAATCTAATATCATGAGGATCCATGCAGAGGTGCTCTTAAGGTAGAGAGATAATGCAGTTCCATTTTGTTCCTTTGTACATTATTTTCAATTGTCTAGCTTTAACATAAATAATATTGACAAAATGGAAAAAACAGCTTTTTTATATGCAGTTTTTTTATATTCAGTGATTCTTACTTTTGTAATTGGGCCATATTTTCCTTTAAATCTTTTGTTCCATGACAAACCAGTCTGTTTCAGTATCTCCTGATGAAGTTTATCTAAAGACATCCCTTTGTTCTTTTGTCTACTCAGTATAACTTGTACAAGCTCAATGGGAGACTCACATTCTATAAAATCAACCTTTCCTGTCAAAGGATCTGTTGGGACCACAATCTCTTCATCTTCCTGAAATAGCCAATCAAACAAGTTAAATCCTAATTCAGCTACTAATTGAATATTTCAGCACATTCTTCCGAAATAAAACTGGAGGAAGCAGGTGTACATTGACGTATAGGAAGAAAATATGTATAAATGGCAAAAATCAAATATGCAGACACGAATATTGCATGTATTTTAACATAAATGATTCAGAGACCGCTGTTAAGACAGCAAAATACTATATAGAATCTTATAGTACATATGTATGTGCTTTTCATGTAATATTTGTTATAATTGCAATTAAAGTTTAGTGTTTTACTGTCAAATCTTTATAAACATATCAGGTAGATCCTCTTTAAAGCATTTTTTTTCCAAGGAAATGAACAATCGAACAATGAAATATCCAAAATTTTAAATAATGTTCACAGACCATCAAATAACTAAGTGTGAACTGTGAGTTACTCTTCCTAGCAATAGATCATCACACAAGTTATTTTCAAGAATCAAGATCAAAGGCTGTGGTGTTTAATAGTCAATATATTGATACATTCCACTTATCTAGAAGCATGCAAAGAAACTATATAGAATCACCAAAAAATAGATACACATGAATATTATAGAACATTGTCTTAACCCTTCACTTGCTGAAAAATGTGTAATGGACTTGCCCTGCTTTGATTTTGGAACAGTCCATTCAAAGTTTAAGGGATTTCATTATCATAATACAATAACTGAGCTACCAACTATATAAAGCCATGTCAGACTGCACATATAAGGCTGACTTCATACTGGTGGCAAAGGCTTATTGCTTTCAGTTCTCAGCAGGTTAAAGGTTACAAATCAAATTAAGAATACAAGGATAACTTACAGGTGTCACCCAATATCCGAGGCCGTCAATGTCTCTAATATAGGCATGATAATGACCACCATGAGCCCCTCCTATATGGATAACTACAGAGAACAGTTCATAAACTAGGTCCTCGCCTTCTGCTGTCTGAAATTTACATTTAATGACTCATAAACTTTGATTCTTGCCGTCTGCTGTATGGAATACACATTTAATGACTCATAAACTTTGATTCTTGCCGTCTGCTGTATGGAATATACATTTAATGACTCATAAACTTTGATTCTTGCCGTCTGCTGTATGGAATATACATTTAATGACTCATAAACTTTGATTCTTGCCGTCTGCTGTATGAAAGATTAATTTCATGTCTCATAAACTTGATGCTCATCATCAAGATAATGTTCAGAAAACAGAAAAAACAAACATTACCATTTTGAATTTAAACCCGTTTGTTAAAATTTTCAAAATAAATTTTATGCAAATTTAGAATTGTAAAACAGAATTGCCCCTTGGGAAAAAAATTGGGTTTACCCCCTAGATTTTTTGCCTGCCCAAAATTTTTAGTTACAAAAAAATTTTCATTTCTATTTTTTTTAAGGGTTGGGTGACCACTTGGCTGTTAGGGGGAAGCCCTTTTAGTTATTTCCAAAGCAAGAAACAACTCATTGCTTAGTACTTGGTTTTTTTTCCAAAAAATTTTTAGTGTTTCAAAAAAAGCTTAAAAGCTTCCAACAATTTAAACCAATTTAACTAATACAAAATTAGTAAATTTAAATAAGTTATTTCCCTTTTTAAAAACTTTGGTGAAAAAATCAATTTGGCCCATAAAATTTTGCGAAAATTTAATAATTTTCTTACATTTTTTAAGTATTTGGGTTTCAAAGTCGATGGTTGTTGGGGAAAAGAGAACTTTCCCCGTTTTTAAAATCCCCTCTAACTTTCTTTGGGAAAACAAAGGGTGAATGTAAAGGGAATTGTGAGAATTGAAGGCAATTTTCCCAACTTGGGGCCCTGTAAATTTGGGAAAACCTTGGTTTCAAATTTTTGTAGGAAAATAAAAAAGTTAAAGTTTCTATCTGGCAGGAATCAAATTTTTTACATATTTATAATAAAAATTTTTTCCATGAAATTGGGAAAATTTAAAAAAAATTTTAAGTTACAATTTTAAATTGGCAGAAAATTTAAAATTAGAAATTTATAAACTTTTTATTTATTTTCAAATATATTTTCTTTATTTTCCATTCCTATTGTCACTTCAAAAATTTTGTTTTTTTTTCTTTGGGTAACTGATTTCAACATTTTAAGTGTTGAAAATTGAGTACCGCTCAAGCAGTTGCTAGGGGGCATGACAGATGTTGCACCTTTTCATTATTCCTCATGTACAGACTCAATCAAACTGAGTCTGCAATTTTCATGTAATTTTGATGAGATTACTGCTTCAAGGGGTCATACTTTATTAGATTTTTTTACCTTCTTGCAGGCATCTTCATTTATTTTATTTCACCTTTCAATGTCAGATGTTACTTTAACTTCACACCACCCATTGTACACTGTGTTTTATTTTCTTCAACCTCTACTGAAACTATTCCTCCCTTCACTCAACTTAACCTGTTGTACACAGGGATTTATACTTTTACCTTTTCTGCATCAACAAACTTCTTGCAACCTCCACATTTATACTGATTTTTTTCTGCCCCGTCCCTTTGCCCCGCCCCGGTCTAATTTCAATGAATAAACTACATTATTTAAGCCACCACGTTAGGCACCTTTCTTTCTAGACTGTTATGCCAGCTTACGGCTACCTGGTTAACCATTCTAAGAATTTTCCTGTAACAACATATAAATTTTTCATAAAAAATGTCCTATTCTTTTAAAGTTTTCTCCCCTTTTCAACTTTAGCAGTGAGGACCAATTTTTAGTAAAATTCAAGGTTGAATCATAAATGTTTGGTGGTATTATGCAGAACAGCATATTCCTTTTAAAGGAATCCATATGATTTTCCATAGAAACCCAGCGACTGCTAATTAAGTGCTAAATGAAGATAAATCTTTTTCAACAAACGACCACTTTTTTCCTTCAAATGTTTTGGTTTTAGAGAATGCACACCTTGTGATGTTCTTGAGCCAAGAAACTGACACTCATTGCTCAGAACTGGTTTGTTCAAGAACGATTTGGAAAGTGTGTAGTTAAAACCTTATATATAATTCTTAAATAAATTCTGTATATAACCAAATTAATGTTAATGGGGAAATTGTGTCAATGATATCAAAATGATTACCACCTATATTTCTTACCTCACGTTCACTAACGGTTTGCCACATTCAGCTTACAAAACCGGATCTGAAATATAAACTTTCATAGCTTCAATACCTCTAATGTACACCAAACTAAAATCCTTTATGTAAAATGATTGAAAAGTTAAATTGCATTGAAAATAATGCTTTGTTTTTCATAGGTTTATTTGTTTGATAAAAAAAAACATCTCTTTATTATGTACAATAACTTTTAACTTTGTACAGCTCTGGTTTACTTTAACTTTACTGAAAACTGATAAACAGTTATGTTGATGAAGTAAGTACCTGGTTAACACATTTTCCATGGTATAGTTGTTTTATAAGATTATGACCACTTGTTCCAACCAATGAACTTTCAATTGCACTAAACAATATACGGTTCAATTCTTGTACATCACTCTGATAAAATTGCTGAAATAAAAAAAATGCAAATCACTTGCAATTGGACAATATTTGTGATGAAAGCACTCAGGTTGTCTTCTGTTGAAAACATGTTTGCATAATTATCTTATTTTTTATGGGTATTCTGTAATGGTACCATCCAATGGCAAGGGTTAATTTATTTAAATGGTAATACTATAAACACCAATTGACAAACTGATTAAATTTAATCAATAAATTTGATGTTAATTTTATTCAAACATCACATGTACATATATTTAACTTATTAGTCTTTACTTTCTTCTATATACCTCATCATTTATCCATCCAAAACTATGTGTAAGATCTTTGGTTGAGACACTTTGACAATTTTTCAGTAATAATCTTGCAAACAACCTCTGTAGTTGGATAGGAATCACCCTGACCTGTAAATAACATTACCATACATGTATACAATGCCTGCTGCATAAATATTCAAGTTATACCTCTACATATTTTGGTGTATTTTCTATGATATTATAACACATGTTCAAATAAGACATGATACAGTAAACTGCCCTTGTAAGGATATCACTTAAAACGATATACCACTTATAACAATACTGTTGCCAAGGCCTTGACTCTTGTTTTCACAATGATTGCCTTTTGGATATAACCATATTCGGATATAACAATATAAAATATAAATCTGACCATCCTATTCCCATGAATATTGTTGTAAGTTTATTGTATATAGAAAATCTGTATAATGTACAAGTGTGACCTGGAATGATGTTGTTGTATGGAGGTATGTTGTATAAGTCTTTATATAGGTACATATATCTTGACCAATTACTTGAATTTAGCCATCAGGGATTTAACTTGCACAGATTACACTCAGCATTTCTCTTAGGATCCTGACATGGCAAAATTGAGTTAAATACAAGTCTCATATCTACGGAGCCCCTAAGGTGACATTCTCGACACTTTTACCCCGGCGTTTAATTCGTTTTTACGAAATATTAATTCGTAATTACGAAATATCAATTCGTTTTTACGAAATATTAATTCGTTTTTACGAAATATTATTTCATAATTACGAAATATTAATTCGTAAAAACGAAATGATTATTTCGTAATTACGAAATATTAATTCGTTTTTTTACGAAATCTTATTTAAGGTCATTTTGAGCTTGATAACTGAACCTATTAATCTCACAAATGGGTCATTTACATGCCTTGATCAACTTTTGCAATTATAAGCCGCTGTTCTCAATTATTATATTTAAGTGAACAGGTTTTTGAGTGAGAGTCATTCTCTATCCAAAATGTTTTTTCCCCCTTGTCAAATATATGTTCTATCAGCAATGTTTTAAATGTTTGAGGCAATTTTTACGACATGTATCTTAAAACAGAAAATGCTATTTATTCCGTTCTTTTATCATATACATAAGTAAAACTAATGGGACCAGGGGGGTTGGTCAGATTTCACTAATCTAATCATTTAAAATGAATATTTCCTCAACAATTTAGTATTAGAATGTCCGTGTGTTTGGTTTGAAGCCAACAGGACCCAAATTTTAAGTTAATTTTTCTAGCGCGTGTCTATCACGGCTGTGGCTCAACGCTATTGACATGTGAACTATTTTAATTTATGTACAAATAATGTAACGTTAAAAACTTGGGGAGAACAAAATCACTATTTTATATTGGCATGTACATGCCTTATATTAAGTCAGGAACTTTAGTTTTGAGGCCTTTTTATAAATGATTACCAAAACTCTTTGAAACGCTAGAAAAATTTAATTCGTTTTACGAAATATTATTTTCGTATTTACGAATTATTTTATTTCGTAATTACGCAAATAACATTTCGTTTTTACGAATAATATTTCGTAATTACGAAATATATTTCGTAATTACGAAATAATATTTCTGTAAAAACGAATTAATATTTCGTAATAACGAATTAATATTTCGTAATTACGAAATAATATTTCGTAATTACGAATTCAATATTTCGATAATTACGAAATTAATATTTCGTAACTACGAATTAATATTTCGTAAAAACGAATTATATTTCAGTAAAAACGAATTAATATTTTCGTAAAAACGAAATAATATTCGTAATTACGTATTAATATTTCGTCAAAACTAATTAATATTTGTAAAAACGAATTAATATTTCGATTTACGAATTAATATTTCGTAAAAACGAATTACTATTTGTATTACGGAATTATTATTTCGTTAAAAACGAATTAAATTCCAGGGAAAAAAAGTGTGGAAAATGTCACCTTAGGGGCTCCGTACATATCAAGATACACTTACAATAACACTATTATATTCACATCAAATCATCTGAAATCTTACAATAACTATCATATTTCCAAATCTGTTAAATCCAATGCTTTAGTTAATAATTTCCCTCTACATGCCGTCATGTAACAATACCTCTGTGTACATGTAATATATTTCTATTTATTATCTAACATTTATTGCATAATAAATCACTTTATATGCACACTTAAACTTTAAAGTTATGCCTAAACAGTGACTATGTAGTGTAATTGGTATCAAATAAATACCAGTAGGTCAAAATGATGTTAAGGAAAAAAAAACACTGAAATTATTTGCCTACATTTAACCAAAAATCTTTGAAAATTTAAAACTGACACTATACCTTTGCTTCTGGTTTGTCAGCATCACATAATTTTCCTAATTCATCCTCTGACAAACAAAATAATCCATCTGAAATAGACAAGTTATAGATACATCTCATAATGGAAATTATCAATGTTAGCATGTACTTCATTTGAATAGTTTTGAACCCTTAACATGCTGAATTTCCTACATTAGCTTATCATGCTTCCATTTTTGAAACTGTTATCAATTTTGGGGATAACAAGATGAAAACGTAAGAGTCAGTCATAGCGCCATGACAGTCCTGGTGTCCAAGTTGGTATGGCGTGTATGGAAAGGTTATTATTTGAGACAAACGGGTGGGTTCACTTTGAAAAAGAAAATAACAAACTGGCTTTTCCAAATCATAATTTGCAAAGCAAAAATTTACTGCATACAATAGTTTAAGTCCCCAGATACATGTAGAAACAACATTTAATTAACTTTTGTTAAGGAACTTCACTAAGGACCAAAATCTGATCGAAAAACTAAATTTGAATTTCTTACAAAGATCAACTTGAGCACTTACAAGAATTATGTGCGAAAGATAAAATTAATACGGGGGGAAGTCAAAGACCGGGCCCGCAAAGCGGGTCCGGGGGGCTTTTGCGGCTTGCCCGGCCTAATAGGACTACACGTGAATATTTAAAGAAAATCAAAAATTGAAAAACAATTAAAAAAATATATAATTCTAATACCCTTATCATGAAATTTTCAGTGTCAGTTCTAGTCGGGCGCGCCATTTACAATGTATTGTCAATGAATAAAGGTGGCGGGGTATTCCGATAACGGAACAAAAATCTCACTTTTTGGTTTAGTAATAATCGGTCGAGTGTTCCTTAGTGAAACGGAAGCGGTGTATGTAATATAAATTTAGGACAAGTGTCTATTCTAGGACGCGCGGGATTTGCGCGATTCCGCTAGTATTTAACAGATCGCGCACAATTCCAAATTCATGTGCGTGAAAAATCGCGCATCTATAAAAAAAGTTAAAAAAAACCGTAAAATTCCATCCCGGCATTATATTTTTTGGTTGTTTTGTTTACATTTACACCGGGAAAACCCGAAGGGAAGAGGTAACCTGTAAGCTAATTATTAATAATTTACGTACCGTATGGTTACTGGTTACGTGAGTTGACGGAAATTAACGGAATGTTCCGTATCGGACCGGAACTACGTCCGTGTCGCTAGGTCTGACAGTTGGGCGCCATTTTTACTGGTAGTAAATAATCAAGGAAAAATGAGGCAATTCCTAGGTTGGCTACGATCCTAGACTTTGAAGATTAGTTCGATTATTTGTATTGCCAATCCTTTTATAATCAATCGCGGGCCAGTTCTGGTAATTAAAATTTGTTTTCGGGTTTAAAAATTAAGGGGGGAAAACTTCTGCCTGCCTTAAATAAATATTAATCCGTTTTTAATTATTTCATCGGTTTTGAACGGCCTCAGTGTGTAAACTTTAATGCAGACGATTTAACATTGGGCAGTTTTTCATTGGCACCCTTTGATTTTGAAAATGGGGCCCCTTTTTTGAAATAGAGTGGGGAAAAAATCACCCCTATTTTTCAATTCCTAGAAATAGACACTGATACACCTTTAAAAGGAAAGAATGACAAGGTTTTTTTTTACACGACTTTTCCCTGTTCATAAGGCTTTGCCTAATTTCTATTAAATATACCTAGAAATAAATTGACAATTGTAATTTGTATTATGCGCTGAATCTTTGCCTGATTTGAGTGAAAACCGTTGCAATGTTGGTCATTTTTGCAGCAATTAGAATAATTTATTTTGGAAAACAAGGGAGTGACCAAATGATCTGAAATTTTGCATAACAAGTTTTCTAGCGGAACTTTCATCTAATGGAAACAAATCTCGAAAAAATAAATTTCTTGAACTGTCATGCCAAATAACCAAAGTGCAGTCCCTTGAACAGTTTGACTTAATAAAATAGCCTTTAATTCTGGTGTCAACAGTAAAGTTTGTAACAATGAATTCAAGTAACATTGTAGCTCCTAGGTTGTCAAGACGCTCAAGTTGACACTGTCCTCTTGGCCTGGTGGAGATGAATTCCGACTTACGACTACGAGTTTGAGCAGTCTGTTCACTTGACTGTCCTTACCCTTCAAATAAATTACCAAATACGCCTTCCATACTATCTAACAATTCATAAACTGCACTAATACTCACAGAATAACAGTGACTAAAATATAACAAGGGCGACTATTTTCTGGAAAAAATGTAAATTTCACGTCATGTCGGGGAAAGTGAAACTTGACTCCATTTTTTTGTTTGTCTTGATTGAAATTTTTTTGTCGTTATAAAATTTGGAACATGTTCTTCCCCAACGCTTAGAATTGGGTTTCGGTACACTAATCTTTTTTCTTACTGCTGGCATTTTAATTAAAATTCCGAGTAAGTCCCCTATAATAAATTTAATTATTATATTCGAATAATAAATTGAATGTTGATATTGAAATTGAATGAGTGTATTTCAATAATAAATTATTGAACTCGTTAAATAAATTCAGTACAGACTGCATTTTTTACTTTATTCGAGTTCGAGTATATAAAATTAATATTTGTTTCGTGTTTTATTAACTTATTTTCAAGAATATTTACCGTGTAAAAAAGTAGTGGAATATTACTAAGTGTTTGAAAAAAATTGATAGTTTTTGTGTTTAATCACTTAAATTTATGTCATTATGACTGATAACTGTTATATTTGATTGTGGATATATTTGTGCGTACGCTGTGATAAAACTGTTAATGGGAAACACTTTAGTTGTGCTTTTGGTCATTTTCTTTTTTTTCTTTGTTTAAATACATACTGTAAAAAATTTAATT